AAATGCAGTGTCTCACTCACTGCATTGGCGACATGAGGATCCAGCAAAATGGAATCATCGACCCTGATCACTCGGTTCATGTGATCAGTGGCTCGGGGATTCCACTCCGCGGCCTCCACTGTAGGCGGAAGGGATGGGGAAGTCTGCTGCTGCTGTTGTTGCTGTTGTCGAGGCTGTTGCTGCTGCTGCTGTTGTGGAGGAGCAGGGGGTAACCCACGGCCTCTCCCGCTTTGCTGCTGAGCGGGAGGTGCCCTGGATCCTCGGCCGAGGCCATCATGCCGATGTTTGACCCTTCTCTCCTCCTCCACTTGAGGATCCCGGTCTCGCACCTGACCCCGACCAAGGACCCTTGAGGATGGGGTGGAACTGGTCCCTGCAGAGGGGGTGCCGCCGGTCGTTCCTCGACCCCTCCCGGCTGCGAGGGCTTGCCTCTGCCTGAGGAAACCCCAAATCAATGCGAGGGGTGCTGGACATCGCTACCTCGAGAGCGTCCTCGGCGTCTAAGGATTGAAGAATTTGGAAGTCTGGCCACAAGTCTCCTCCCGAAGTCCCCACCTCAGCGTCTAAAGGAACAGCGTCCTCTCTGACCCCGAGCTCTTCAGCAACTCCCTCTACCTCTGCCTCCGAAGCCCGATCCGGGTCTTCCTCCAAGTTTTCCTCAACCTCTAACCTCGCCGCCTGATCGAAGAGTTCAGACCACCGCGAAGGCTCAAAAGGCTGAGGAAGCTGTGAAAATTTCTTATACCGGGGGTATAATTCAGCAGGATGTGAGCAGCACGGCCAAACCCGTTGTCACCCGTGAATCTCCAAACCGTGATTAGGTCGGCAAAGTTCACCAGCGACCGAGGGGGAGGAGCTGTTTCCCGAGCAGGAATATCTGCACAAACAAAATAGTCATGAACATGGGAAGTCGGGAGAAAGAAAAAATAAACCCAAAGGAACCGACGTACTTGTCGTTCTCCATTCCAGAGGGCATAGTAAGTCATTGTACTCGGGACCAACACCTCTCTGCCAAGATCCCTTGAAGATAAGAATATCATCCTTGTACCCCTTGTCCGAGTCCGGAAGATGAGTTACAAGGTACATGGAGGGGTCCATGGCTTTGAGGTAGAAGTGTTGGTGAGGCATGACTCTCAGGAGGGAATACAAAAAAGGATATCGTTGAGCCCAATATTTACCCCGAGGCGCCTATTGAGCTCTAAGACCCCCATAATTATTCGGAAAAAATTAAGGCAACATTGCCCGGGGAAGAGGCGGAAATGAGAAAGGAACTGAAGAAGTAAGGGGGGTAAAGGAAACCTAATTCCTCCCTCTATTATGGCCTTAGTATAGAAGGGCATGGCATCCTCGGCCCCGAGGGTAGAAGAGTGCACCACCGGGTCATAATCCTCTACGTCTACGCACGGAGGAATGCCGTACTTGGCCCTAAACCTATTGATCTGCTCATCGCCTTTACCTTATATTTCCCCGACCCCGAAGGACCAGCCTGAGGATTCTCGGGAGCAGGGCGACGACGAGGCATCTCTAAAAAAGTAAGAAAGAAGAGGGTATTTGTTCTTGAAAATCCCTGAGGAAGTTTCCCGAAGGTTAAATCGTTGTGTATCAACCGGATGACACCTCCAGTCAATCGAAAAACAAAAGGCTAGGAGGAAGAAAAGAAAAAGGATTCTGAAACTCACCCGAATGTCAAAACGGAGTTTTTTCTGGAAAACCTTAAAGCGACTCCCTCCAGAAAGTTCAGAATCAACGATGGGTCTGCTGGCTTTAAGATTTTAAGGAAGAACAGGCAGTCGACGATGGAAGAAGAAACAAAACTCCGACGAAGATTAAGAAGAGGCTCTCTTGAGGAAGTCGAAATGGCAAAACGAGAAAAACGGAAGAGGAGCCCCCTTTATATAGAGGCAATTTTCATCATTAGACACGAGAAACGAAACGACGCATTAAATGCGCACGACATCCCAAAGCCGGGGAAAGCGGCTCGAGGCAATGATGAAGGACGGGTGGTAGTTGGGAAACCCTTCGTCTCCTTACAACGCGTGTCCTCGGTGTCAGAAGATCGAAGACTGGGGGGCAGTTGATGGAACTTTTCTGAAATACCCTATGATGAAGACACGTGTCCTCGGTTTTACTAAAACACTGTTGCTAAGATCAAGCACCATCGGCGCACGAATGTCCTCGCCCCCGAGGTACCGTCATATAGGATCATACATTCAGTATATTTTACAACCGACACGTGTCCTCGGTCAGATATGTACCTCGGTCGGCATACCTCCCTCGGTGTCGAGAGGTACCCCCGTCCTGGACGCTTCCTCTACTCCAGGATAAGCTATTGACGTACAGGTCATTAGCCTAGGCTAGTCTAGGCCATTCATCATGACCTCGTCTTACACAAGTAATGTCAGAACGTACTGGAATACAGAGGTCACAGCCAATAGGGGATGGACGCGTGGCATATGATATCACATCAAAGACAGACAAACCGCATGCCGTTGCTGACACGCGACTTAGGAAAACAAACAATTAATTGCATCATTCCCTTGATGAGACCGCATTCAATGCGGTAAGGCTCGGAAATGAAAGGCAATAAATGCTCCTATTACAGAGCATTTATTGCATCCTCCCCGAGAGGAGCACATTGTACCGTCGGCATCCCGACGACCCAGTATTGATTGCTCGGGACCCCGAGCAGTTAATTAGAGAAGACATTCCTCATCAGAATCAATGCACACGCTACCTGTGCCTAATGATCACCTACTGACCACACTGACAGCAATCATGAGTTTTTAAGGTATAAATGCTCCTTGCAAAAGGCAAAGCGGGTAGGCAACAATAAATTCTCTACTACAATACATTCTCAGTGTTTTCTCCTTCCTCTCTCTTTCTCAAAGACTGACTAGATCGTCGGAGGGGATACGCCGGAAAACACTCCGGCGCCCTTCTAACTTATTCTTCTTTGTTCCAGGAACCTCCTTCAGTCTTACTGGATCATTCTTCCGTTCCCAGGATCTCCCATTACCGTTCTAGGTTACCACCGTACTTTGCAGACTGTCCCAAGCAGCGTGTTTGGTCACTCAACGGACTCACTCGAAGTTCACCAAGGGAGAGATCTGTTCTCGTTTTTTATATTGTACAGGATCTCGCACGCACAATATATATATAGAGAGAGAGATAATTTAAAGAGACTAAATGACTCTTCACGTTTAGAGAGTTATTTTGGTGAAATGAGAAATAAAGAGTAGGATATAGAGTAGGTTGGATCGTTGGAGATTATTTTTTTTGTATTTAACTAGCTAAAATAATTCAAAGAGAGAAAATGGAGAGTGAGTTGAACATGCTCTTACATGTATGTTGGATTTGCATTCAAATTTTCCTTAGCACCTTTAATTTTTTTTACAAAAAAACTTATCACTTTTTGAGTGATAACATTAATCAAATCTCACTAAATTTATACACGATTCAACAAGACACTTATACTCTGTTTGATAAGAATGATAAAAAGTATAAATGGTACACTTTCTATCTTTTAAGGAAAAATAGTAAAAATGATACATTTTCCTTTATTTGTGTTTTGTAGAATAGATGAAAAATAAAAATGATTAATTTTTTTTTTGTGCTTGCTAAGATTAGGGGTGACAATCGAATCGTGTTGTGTCGTGTCAAGTTAGTATCGAGTCATTGCAGATTCGTGTTGACCATTAATCAAATCTGACTCAACTCATTTAATTAATCGTGTCGTTTCGAGTTGATTAATTTATTTTCGTGTCGTATTCGTGTTGACTCACATAAACTTTGAATAAAAAAATTTATCGTTAATATTTTATTTTCACTTAATTGAATCCATGCTCGTACTTTTCTTTCGATTTTAGAGTGATTGATTTTTATGAGTTGCAAAAAAAATCATCCATCCATTTTTCCAATCCTTTATATTTTCCTTCCTTACCAAACATAATGTTTTATTTATCATTTCAACTTTTTATTTTTCTATTTTTTCATCGTACCAAACAGAGACTTATCCTTATCGAATAATCAAAAACTTTTAAATTCATAATTGAGCATATATTCATTACAATAATGATTCGCGTGATGTAAATAAAGAGTATCATTTAAAGAAAGGTAAAATAGGTAAAATACATTATTGAAAAACCAACATATCAAAAATTTAATCTAAAGAAAGGTAAAATATATTTTTGATCCCCACAATATACGTTTAGTGTCTATTTAATCTCTAGTCTTTTAGTTGTGTCTACTTAGTTCATAAAGTTCCTAATTTGTATCTATGTTGTTCAATCCAAACGTTCGTTAAAAAAATCGTTTATTTACGCATCAATCACGTGATTCTTAATTTTGTGTTTATTTGGTCTCCAAATTTGTTAATTTGCGTCTATTTGGTCTTTAAAATTCTTAATTTGTGTTTATTTGATCCAAAGTGATTAGTGCGTGACTAGAACCGTTAACAATTTTTTGACAAATGTTTGAGATTAGACAACATAGATACAAATTAGGAACTTTAAAGATCAAAAATATATTTTATCCAAAATAAAGAATATTAAATAGTGATATATCATTTTTATTACTTTCTTCGTTCTTAAATATCTGTTGTTTTATATAATTTTTTTTGTTCCACAATATTTGTCGTTTAATAAAATCAAAGTATAAATAATATTTTTTTCTTCCAAATTTATCCTTAATTTTTCAATATATTAGATTAGGTGGAGGTTAAATGTCTTTTATATTTATTTCCTTCGTAATACTTATTGAATACAAATATTTTAATCTTATGTAATTATTTTTTACTCATATTAGAGTTATTTAATAGTTTTGTTAATTCATGTGTAAAAATTTTTAACGACAGATATTTAAGAACGGAAAAAGTATTTAAGTAATTAAATTGTATAATTGCAGCATATTCTCATCTATAGGATATTTGTGATTTCAATGCTTTGGTGTTTTCGTTTTTCAGTCATTCATAAATGAAGAAAGCAGTAGTTTCATTTCCAGAGGAGAGAGGGAAAAGGCTCAAATTTTCACAAGGGCCACCCATCTCTCTCTCTCTCTCTCTCTCTCTCTCCAGTGTGTATATATATAATATATATGTATATATATGCCCAAAAGGTTTTAAATTGTGAGGCCTAAAAAGAAGAAAGTCAGAAATTCAAATCTGGGTTTGAATCTGTTGGTAAAGTAAGTGTGGGGGAAAATGGTGATCATAACACAAGAAATAATCAAGCAGTTCCACACTTTGATGGAAGAAAGTCAGCTTCTTTAGAACTCTCACTTCACATTTATCTGATTTGGTCTTTTTTCTTGTTTGAAACTACAAAACACTAACAATTCCTCTGTTTGCTTTGTTTTTAAAGTCGATGAGCCGCTCAAAAACACCTTCAAGGTCAGCCTCTCTTGCCATCTATGTATGAAAATCTACATGCTAGATCTGTCTCATTTGGATTATAAAAAAATAAATGTTTGGTAAAGTTGAATTTGATCTTGGCCCACGAAGTTATTCTTAATGGGTTTTGTGGTATTGATTTGATCTTCAACTTATTTTATGGGAATCTAATTGCACTGAAAATTTAGTCAGTCTTTTTGTATTTATTGTGGAAACGGGCTGGTTAATCAGTTTCCTATCAAGCCTAAGTTGCTTTAATTCTTATTCTTGGAGTGCAGAAGCTATGCTTGTGGATCTCTGTGTTGGTTTTTCAAAGGAAGAACGAAAATAGATTTAGAATTTTTAATTGGCTTAAGCTGGGACATGTTTTGTTGGTGGGTTGAAAATTGAAATCTTTGATGCAATATCTTGAGTTTTGATGATATAATTTAGGTGGATCCTGAAATGTGATGTTCATAGTCTGAATAACCGGAGTCTTCTGAATTTTTTGTCAATTGAAGGCTCGTGAAATTGTGTTTGAAGTTGCTAACTGATCTCTCTTAGTTCAGTTAGTTGAACTTTTTTTCCCATATTTTTGACTTAGTTTATCTAGATCCAGAGTTTCTGTAACTTGAACTCCCTTTTTGAGTCTCTAGTTTATATTCGTCACTCGTCACAGTTCCAGCAACTCAAAGTATCCTTCTTTGGGTCAGTAGTGTATAGCACTCTGTAAAGTTCCAGTAACTTGTAAGTCTCCTTCTTTGGGGGCAGTAGTTTATAGGCACTCTGTGAACTTTCAGCAATTTGAAGTACCCTTCTTTGGGTAAGTTGTTTATAGCCGCTCATGCATGTGACTGCTCCAGCCCCCTGTGGCCTAATTGGGTTAGTACTTTACACTTATATCCAGAACAATTGTTTTTATTGTCATTTATGGAACAAAAAGTAGCATCGGATGCAAGATCAAGCAAACAGGTTTTGCGGCAGAAAGGAGTTCAAAATAAAGTGACCTAAAGCATCTTGAATTATTAGAGCCCAGCATGGGCAAAAACCATAATTACAAAATCAGTTCAAAAGTGATTGAAGTGACCAAGCACATCGGTTGTAAATTTTCTGCAAGTCACTCTTGAAGAATGATTATCATGAGGTAGTTTGGAAGTGAAAAGCTAACTTTCCAGTATAGTTCACCTTGCTTCCCCACCATCCTACTTTTCCATGCTATGTGTTAGAACGGCATCACATTCAGCTCATAATTTTGTAAGGTTTAAGGGTTATGAAGGAAATGAAAATTATACTGAGCAAGAGGACTAGTACACAATTAACCACAAGTATGAGCTTTTGTCTTGGTTTCCAGAATATTCATCAAGGATATCCAACTGAAACTCTGGTGCGGTTTCTCAAAGCGAGGGATGGGAATGTTGCCAAAGCCCATCAAATGGTTAGACCATGATTTCAGATGAGATATTTGAACAAACTGGTATATCTTCATTTCTCACTGATTGTGCAACTTCCCAGCTGGTTGATTCTTTGAACTGGAGAATACAAAATGGAATCGACAAAATATTGGCGGTAAGCTTCATTATTATGTTTATTTATTTATTTTTTTGGGGAGGGGGACTTGAACCCTTAAGCAAAACCTTTCTAAGGCAAGGAGTACAATTAGACCAAAGGCCCATCGGTTCATTATTATGTTTATATTGTCCTCTTTTCCAGCTAATTGTATTGTTCTTAGCTTGTGCTTAATATGACTCTCATCTACTGGGTAATCTATGATCACATGATGTGGTGTCTTGTCCATTCATTACGATCTGGATTAGGTCATAATGCCATATCTTCTGCTTTGGACTGAACGATTATCTAGGCTTAGCGTATACTAGAATTTTGGAAGAGGTTAACGACTGGTTCTACATCTAGGAAGTTGCGTAAGTGGAAGTGAAACAAATAGTTTTGTCTAATATGTTTTGACTATTAGTGTGATTAAATAGTAATCAGCTTTGGCAATGGATGTGGAAGAATGAGGGTCTATCATAAGGACTATGGCTTGTAGCATGCATGAAGTTTAAGTACAGTGCTTTTTGTTCTCCTAAAATTACCTGCTTGTGAGCAGTAGTTCAGTTTTTATTTCTTTTCCAATCGTATTTTTTGACTCTAAGTTGATTATCTATGATGTTCACTTGAACTCAAGGATATTTAGTGTCATATTCTGCCCAATTATATTCACCCCAAGATTCTTGAAAAGGACACATTGAATTCCTGAAATGGAATCATTGGCAGAAATTTGATGTCTCCCATGGGATATGAAAAACTGCAACATCAAATAAACTTATAGAAGATTTAGGAGTTAAAATGTCAACTTAATTTTGGAAGAGTATGAATTGTCACTGTAGGCCATGCCCTGTATACAATATCACTTTTTTGATGTGGTCCTTCTTATAAATTACTTAATCGACTATTTTAATTGCTTTTCTATGCAGAAACCAATCATCCCTGCTGATTTGTATAGAGCAGTGCGGGATTCACAGCTTGTTGGAATGTCAGGTTACTCAAAAGAGGTATTCCTTTGATGATAGTTACTTCTTTTGGCTGTCAATAAATGCTATTGTTGTCCTGGAATCCATTACCTGATATATTTTGTTTATATAGTGATTATGATACGCACATGTTTTGCAGGTCATGATTTCTATTTTTCCTTGTTAATTTTTCCAGGGTCTTCCTATCATTGCTGTTGGAGTAGGACTAAGCACATATGACAAAGCATCTGTAAGGATGTTCTGTTGTTTTGACTTCACTCAGTCTTGGTTAACATTGTGTAACTAAGAGTACTCAAGTGTTGTAAACAATCATATGATGTCATGTAAGACTTTGGACGTTACTGCAAGGATATGTTTTCCTTGCATGTCTGAAGAAGTTTGAGTTGTACGAGGGCATAATGTTTAATCTTTGCTTTTCTTAAGACTAAGGCATTTGCATTATGCATCCAGTTATTCCTGAAGAGTAACAATTTTGATGCATCAAATACAGCGGCTGTTATGGAAAAAGAGTGCATGCCTGCATTTTGATCTGATCCATCTTATATCCATGGTTTAACAGTACTCCGTATTTAGTACTACTGTTCCATTTAAGCTTATATTCCACTCTTTCCATACTTCTTAGCACCAAGAAAAACTTACTGTAAACACATATAAATCATTACAGATGCATGAATACCAGTTGAGAGAAAGGGATAAATTCACTATTACCAGATGCATTAATGGGTTATTGTTTTACTTTGTGATAGTTACTTGCAAATTTTCTTTCCATAACAGATTCACTACTATATTCAGTCACACATCCAGATGAATGAATATAGGGACCGCGTGATATTGGTGAGTATTGTGTCCACAGACTTCAGATTGTTCAATCATATATATAGCCATAGAATTTCTAGTGGACTGACTCATTGCTCTATTGTAGCCTTCTGCAACAAAGCAGTATGGGCGGCATATCAGCACCTGTGTGAAGATTCTGGATATGACTGGTCTAAAGCTTTCTGCACTGAACCAAATTAAGGTACTTATTGCATTGCCAACCTTCTTTTGATACGAAGTCACTTAAAAACCATGAGGAAGAAATTCCTCTTTTTCTTGAGAAATTTCCCTTATGAACTTTCCTGGTACTATCAACATTGCTTGTTAATTAACACATAGTAGCCAACTCCATGTAGTAAACTGTTCAGTTGTCCTGAATTTCGACTCAAATTTGGTCATCCTTTTGTTTTTTGGTTTTTCCACATACTACTCACCTATATGGCAGAAATAAAAGTTACAAATGAATCCCCCTTCAGTTCAACTTCTGCATTAATATCCAAGAATCGACTATTTTCTAGCTCAATCTGTCACATCAACATCTAAGACCCCATTATAATTTCCTGTACAGAACAACATCATTTAGTTGGATATCCACAAATTCTGAGTTCCTTTCTGATACATGCTAAACTCTTACTCTCTATGTGCTCGGGCGGATTCTGAAACATGCAACTTCCCATTCAATGTTCTTCAGATACTTGTGTTTATTACATTTATGAACCAATTTAGGTCATGCCACTAAATCCTTTGTTTGGGAATTCATATTTTTTGCCTTCACCCTTTGCTTGCAGTTATTGACAGCTATATCTACCATCGATGACCTGAACTACCCAGAGAAGACAGATACATATTACATTGTTAATGTCCCTTACATATTTTCGGCATGCTGGAAGGTTTGAATCTATCTTTACTTGTGCAAAAGATGTCACTGCTTTTTGTCAAAATAATGTAACCTAGCAACAGCATGAAACTCATAACTGTTGCAGGTTGTGAGGCCTCTTTTGCAAGAAAGGACAAGGAAGAAAGTTCAGGTGCTGGCAGGTTCTGGAAGGGATGAGTTATTAAAGGTATGGGAAACTTTTCCACATCATGGTCTTTATACTCCTTAGTTCATAAACATGTTTTTCTTCAAATATGAGATATTTACTTTGTGCAAGTGCATCATTCTCATTCCCAATGTCATTTTGGAATTTCCATTATTTTGTACGCCTATACAAAATAAATTTATAGAGATCTCTACTTGAGGAATCCACAAATTTGAGATGACATAATGTCATTGACCGATAATCCTGCTATTTTTAAGTAGATGGTCTTCTCTAATTCGCCAAGAATAACAATATTGTTGTTTGATGATAGTGTGATACCATTAAAGCCATGCCCCATTGCTCTCGACCCCCTCACACTTAAACAAAACCACATAAACCCTCATGGTTTGCGGACCAAAAATGCATAGCTACAATTTTCATCCAATTTGACTGCCAGTGTGAGGCATGCACTCCATTCATGGGACAAAAATAATTGCAAAAAATTCTACAAGACCAAATAAATATTCTAATTTGTTGAGAATTAAGGCTTTGATTTTAACTTTTTTGCCTCGAGTTTGTGCTTTTATGATGGTACCAGCCTTTGCTAATTTTCTCCTCTCACATTGGAATAGTGACCTGGATTTTATTGTTTTAGTTTTATGGAGGTAATGAAGTTAAGGCTTACAATTACTAATACTTGTGTTAGTCCTGATCTCCGCGACTTTGCTTCTGCTGATTGTATGGTTAAGAGCTCTGACAATCTGGCTGGTAACTTCAATGCAGATAATGGATTATTCATCTCTCCCACATTTTTGTAAAAGAGAAGGATCAGGATCATCTCGACATTCTAGAAATGGAACAAATGATGACTGTTTCTCATTGGACCATGCCTTCCATCAACAGCTCTATAGTTATGTCAAGCATCAAGCTGAGCTCATGGAACCCACTACACCAATAAAACAGGGGTCATTCCATGTGGATTTCCCTGAGCCAAACCCAGCCGATGCTAAGATAGCTGAAACATTACAATCTGAGTTTCAGAGGCTTGGAATTCAGAATGGGCTTTCCAACTCGCCTGATAACGTTAATATAAGCATTGATTGAAGAAGAATGAAAGGAAATAAACATACGTGAAGCTGATATGAAAATGTCTTGGTGGCCAATTACCTCCATAACAGCCATTGAGCAAACCATGCGGTTAAATTAGGAATGTAATTTCAATGGCTTGCGCGCTGCCTCAATGCATGCTTAGTAGGAAAAAGCTCAAGTTTTAGCTTGACATTACCACCTATGAGTGCACGATCTTAACCTTGAAATGAGAGGAAGTATAAGTTTTACACGTATATTTTTTGGCTTATTGTAACACAGCTTTTTCACTATAGATTTACATTTATGATTTATGGTTCTCTTCCAAAGGCCTTTTTTAAGGCAAGACCTGCCTGACATATAGGTTGGATCCATCACAGCTGCCACTTGATCGTGGGGTCCATCGCCATTGTAGCATTCACAGGGGTAGCCATTGGACAAATTGGCGTCAACCTGTCTTTAGTTGCCTTCCACACTCACTTCCTCCACCTCCCTAAGTTGTAGGTACTTGGAGTTTTTAAGGCCATACAAGAGAGTCTGTTCATTATTTTGATTCAGATTAGAGAATAATATGAAGCATTCTCTTGTACGAGAAAATGCAAACATTCTTCATATAACTACGAGATATTGGGGAGATTCACACATATTACAAAATCCAAATCTATACATCAAGCATCAAGGGAAGCAGCAAAGAAATGAAGCACCAAAACTCACCTTCCCAAACATTTTTCTTCTGATTTCTTAAGGATTCCTGTCTTTTGCCCTTCATATTTGAAGAAAGATATTTCTAGTGATGCATTACAGTATGCTGCAATATTCATATCTTGAACACATAGGAGACAGAAGGGCAAAGTTCTGCATCCTGCCGTAGCATCAACACAACACAAAGTTCGAATTCTCTAAGCATTTACCTCAACTGTTTATAGCAGTTATAGGCAAAGGCAACTGATACAGCAGCACAAATAACAGCAAGAGCTGCGTATGTGTCGTCACGCTCCCAGCTCTCAAACCACGTTGGCATAGAGCACACCTTTCGTGTACAAACCCCTTTTCCACTAGTCTTTCTAGGAATCTCTTTGTTGTTGCTCTTCTTTTCAGATGTAAACTTTGCCAATGTCTCATTGAGATTAGGATTATGTTTCTCTTCTGGTAATTGAGGGCTCTGACAACATGGGGAGCTTCCATTCGTCTGGCAACAGCTCATACCCTCGACTTGAGATCCACCTGTTGTATTACTTATCTCATTTGCTTGGGTTGAGTTTTTTGTGCTTCTTTCCACGGTGGCCCCAGCATTTAGTTGAAACCTTAGTTCCTGGGATTTCGTCTGCTCTTCTTCGGATAGACCCATCTGTCCCCTAAAAGCAAAGTACAAATAATCCAATCAAATTAGTATAACAAACAGCCGATTCACATCTTTGCATCTGGACTTAACAGCCAGCAGCTGCATATACACCAACATATATACATTCTATCAATTAATCACAATTTAGCTTCAAACACTGATCAATTTTACCATAGGAACAACTAAATATGTATACAACCCAAAGCCTTAATTCCAACAACATAGGATACAGTTCTTTGATCCCCCTTGGTGCCATTTAGCTCTATCTAGAGTTTTCTTAAGTTCCATGGCAATGATGTTACCCCTCTTCACCTTGTCGTACATTCTTCTTGCACTTCCCCTTGACTGTATATTTCAATTAAATGATCCCTAACTTCCATTTTTACCTTTTAGCCCCTTTCTCCCCACACTATCCGGACTCAAACTCTTCAGAAAATCCAATTAAAATGATGCCATACTATATTCACAGGAAAGGTTTTAAGTTTCATTGATTGATAAAACGTTGGTTTTCTGGACGGATCTACTCAACCTCAAGAATGAGAACTAGAGAGGCTCAATTTGAAAATAGAAAAAGTACTGCAGTTACCTCAAAACATCCGCACTTATTGTCCAGGTTACAAAATAATAATTGTCCAATTTTGTTGACGTCTAGTGGGCTTTATGGCATATCATCTCACAGCTTAAGACAATAAGAGCTCCTTGCAGGATGTGCTTATCCATGGAGAAAAATTGCTTTTACTTCATATATCGGGGTTAAGTAATGAGTGCACTTGTGGTTCTACCGGAAAATTCAAGGTGTCTCAAAATAATTTTCTTCAATGGTAACTCTTTCATAGAGAAAAATCTAAAGGATGAGCAACGAAAGAAACCCTAAGAAAGAATTTCCTGGACTAAGTATAATGAATTGCTGCCAAATAATTTGACGATCCCTCAGTCTGCAACTCTGCATTCAACAATGCTTCAAAAGCAGTAAATTCTAAATCAAATATAAGTAGACCCCAAGACCTCAGCACACAGTACACCTCATAAAAAAAAAAATTAAGTTGCTGGAAAAATTCATGAATTAATTGCTAGCGCGCACCCAAAAAAAAATTCTGAGTCGTACGCAACTGTGATGGCAAAAACATTTCATATTTTCCCATTTCCTTCAATGAGAACTGTCTTGCCAAAATTCTAGCTGAAGGAGCAAAATAAACTTCCAATCGGTCCCACCTTCCAAAATAGAAAATAAATTTGCACAAGGAATGTAAAATTACCTCCATAGCCACTCTACAATTTCTCCTTTCTCAATATGGTGTTCGAGTAAAACAGGTACATCATCTGGCATAACATACCCATACCTGAAGAGTTGAAAGAGAATTGCAAAAAGATCAGTAACTTATGCTGTGCAATTCAGGTAAGAAAAAGAAAAGCTTAGAGAAACTAAGAATCAGGAAAAAAGATGAAGCATTAACTGGGTAAAACATATCAATGAACTAAAAGATATTCCCTTACCAGTGTCCAGTGATATCTCCTCTGATATTTGCTCCAAATATGATGATATTCCCTGCATACTTGTGCCCCCCAATGTGTGAGCATGGGCTAACAGACACGTTGCATTGAAGACCACGTAATTCTATCTCTTCTTTGAATCTATTAAGCACAGGAGGTCCACAAACACCACACCGTCTATCCCTGCTACCATGAGCACATACAAATATGTACGAGCCCCTTAGTGCTTCAGGAGTTCCAGGTAGCCATTCACCATTCTTCACAAGTACTTCTTCAACAAATGTGTCGACGTCAAAATGTGTCAACCTCCTGTATTATTCGCCAACATCATATTGCGTCTTTGGGGAAAAGACAAGTGAAAAGTATCAAACAGTAGTTGACAACAAATTGTGTTTTGACCTGTATCTGATCATGTCTGGAAACATCAACACATCCCCATTTGATGTCTCAGTTCCATCATGTCCCTCACATATTGTCAAGCGGGTCTTCAATACAAAAGGGGAAAATTGAAGGTAAAATATCATAGCTGAGCCAGCACAATGAAGGAAGAAAAGATAAACTGGCAATCATGTCTAAATTTATGGCTTAAGAAGAAAAAGCATGCATAAATAATACATCCAGCCAATATCAAAGTCCAAACAACCTACTTGGCCTATCAAAACGAAACCAAACCATGTGTTAAATCACTTTTCATTAGCCAAGTGACTTCCTCGTGGGTTACATTTAGTTCCCCTTCTTGTAATAACAAATGTGTACTGCACCCCAGGCACATCTTTGTATGGCACACAACCATAATAGACACAAATAGTTTTTACAATGAATGTGACTTAGAGTAGAAAATGAAGTGAAAAATGCACAGGCACAAGTACCATATAAAGACATAAATAGAGGTGATTAGTTTTATGTAGTGCCAAACTGTTTTATGTAGACACTCATTATTTTTTAACCATACTTATTTCTAGATATTACCAGTTGAAATTATCACACTAGTTTAAATGATAATTTGGATAAACAAAACAGATACGTTGATCAAGTGACTCCAATCCATTATGTAAAATAGGAGTTAAGAACTTTACCCAGAGTTAATTAAAATGGAAGTTCATAAAAACTAGATAAGCTTTCCGAACACTTGATTAGCATCAACTATAGGAGTTTCATGTAAATATGATGATACACCGTTGAGAGGATTGATGATCAGTGTATGCACATAATATTACACCTATGTATATGAAGCAAAAGGTAGTTCATAGAACTGCAGGAAATAATTATCTTCATCACCCATGCATCTCAATACAATGAAATATGGTGTACCACATTCTAGGTGTATACATAGACACTCATAAAGCACCAACATTTGTTCCTCAACAGTATGCACTCACACACACACACCCTTACCAACATTGTTTCCAGTGCTTAACTTATGTGGATTAATAATATGGATAAGGGTTCCCTAGTTGCTAAACAAACATTAGAAGATGGTATCTTGACGAAAAACCGGCATTTATCATCACAATGTACAGTATCTACATAAGTTCTTCACTGATTTCTCAATCACAAGCCACGCCCGAAGCCCCAAACACCCCTTTCCGCTCAACAAAATCCCTAATCCTGTAGATCAAAATCCTTCAAATTGCATAAGGGCACATCGACACACATCACATCTTCCAAATCCTCGCTTTTGCAATAAAACCAAGTCCAAACATTTGGCAAAAAATCCAAATCCTAAAACCCCCCAGACAAATACAACATAAAAAACACAGTCCAAATCACAACATAGAAAGCTTAACCGATACTTTAAACGAATAAAATCAACCCACAAACCTGTCTTTTCATATCGCCCTTCCTGGCCGTCAAAGCAGCCGACAAAAGCCTCGGCAAGCGATCAAACTCAGCAGCTTCAATACGTGGAGGCCAGACCTGAGGGTTCTTGTAGCAAAGGAACACATGGCGATCGTAGTACTCAACGGTCCCAACCAGAGGGCTTTGCCGGAAATCTGCCCGAGAGAACCCGAACTCCGCGTCGCTGCCGTTACCACCCCCGTCAAGGCCACCGAGAAAACCCTCGTTCTGGAAGCTTCCAGAAGCGCTTCCAATCTGGGAATTATCTAGAAGATAGCTGTCTACGTCCAAGACCGCGATTGGGGACGATGTTGATGGATTTATGAAGGATAGAGCTTCGTCTCTGTTGGTCGCCATAGCAAGTGTTTGATAGTGTCCTCAGAGAGTGCTTACAGAGAGTGTGTGTGTGTGTGACGATGCCTACTGTTTTGGGGTTGCAGGGGGTTACTTCCCTTGAAATTGGAAGTGGGATGGTAATAGTAATGGTATTACTACTATATATGTTTTTTTTTTTGGAAAAAAACTATATATATGTTTGTTGGAGTACAAGGATTAGACAAGTAGTGCCCACGCTTGTGACTTGTGAGTGACACATTTTGGAAAGGATAGTATTCCCATGAAAAATTTAATTTCTCAACGTCAAACTAAATTTTTTTTTTATTTGTATACATAATATAATATAAATTTAAGTTATAAAATTTAAAATATTTGATATTTTATCTTTGATTGAAATATTTTTTTTATTTAAATATAACATATTAAACTTAAGAAATTTAAATATTATGCGCATAAAAATTTTAAGGGGTCTAAATATAATTTATTAATGGATGGAAGGAGTCTAAGTGTTACGCAAGTACAAAATACAAACCTTTGGGATATATGTATAATATTTTAAATATCAAGAGTTTAAGTGATTAATCGATAAATCTCAAAAGACTTTAGTATAATTTCTCAAATATATAATGTAACATTTTATGACGTGTTACTACTATTTAATAAGAATTAACACGTTGACAAGTTACCCTCACACGATTCAATAAATACCTTTTTATCCAATAATTCAATAACAATCTCGTGTCAAAATGATATTTATTTTATTTATTACATTATTTTTTATTAGATAATACCATCATGTAATTATTGCCTAAAGACGGCGATGCATAGTGTCAATGATAGACTAAGTTGAGGATCCTCTGCTGCTAAAAGATTAACAATAGAAACAACTTTATTTTGCACCAAAATAACTTCGTTCCGGTAAATAGAATAACATTATTTTGGTGTAAAATAATATTATTTTGATCAACAACGCCTCCAACGTTAGAAGAGAGCCGAATTCATTAGACTAAAAAAAGTCCACCAAGTCTTCCTATGAAAACGACCATTTTGTCCGGGGACGAAACACTGTCCAGTAAATTTTTGTGTTTGTTTTTTTTGAACATGTGTGCAAGATATCTTCGATACTTTTAGGGTAAATTATATTTTGTATCTTAAAAAATTTTAATTTTATATCTTTAAAAATTAAATATATTATAGTACACTTTTTAATATATCAAAAATATTACAAATATAGTCATTCTATTAATTTTTTGTTAATTTTTTTGTAAGTGTCAATAGATAAATTTTTGACAAAAAAAATAATAAAAACTAACAGAAATGTTAATACATAGTGTAATATAAAATATTTAATTTTTGAATATATAAATAAAAAACTTAAAATTTTTTATGATGTAAAGTGCAAACATTTCCGACTTTTACATGGAGGAAGCATGGGGTCCCACGTACGGTACTGGTGGGGAAGAAAAAAAAGTTAGTCTTATACTCTTTTTAGTACAAGACAATGAAGATAAGATTTATAACCACCCAAAAAAAAAAAAGAAGATAAAATTTATAAGCATGCGTAGACTAGCACAATAATCAACGCAAAGAGCGATAACATAGCACGCTAGCATCTTTATTGTTTATTTGTGGTGCTTATAATAGTGTTTATGACAGTGTGTGTGAGTAAGAGAGAGAGAGAGTGTACAGAGAGAGAGAGAGAGAGAGATGAGTGAGAATGGTGGAGGAAAAGAAGCTCTTCCCTTGTTTGAGACAAAAGCAGCGAAGGGTAGAGATGCTTATAAATTGTTTGCTTTTACATTGTTTGTGGGTGTGTGTATGATATTGGTGTACAGATTAACACACATGCCACAACCAGAAGAGCCAGGAAGATGGGCTTGGATTGGTTTTTTCATGGCCGAGCTCTGGTTTAGTTTCTACTGGATTTTCACTCAATCTGTTCGTTGGAACGTGGTTTACCGTTACCCTTTCAAAGCCAGACTCTCTTCCAGGTCCTCTCTCTCTCTCTCCCACACACACACACACACAATCAATCAATAAAAAGTCAGATATTCGATCATCTGCAACTTTCTCGGTCAAAAAAGAGAAAAGGTTTTAGCCTTAAGTTCGTGTAACAACCTCTCAGAGGTTCTACATATTAGTGTAACTCAACTCAACAATGTCTTGTTCTAATATTTTTGGGTTGACTTTAACTCACCAGCATTCTGTTGTTGAAGTGAGTAAAAATGAAGCTTATGCAAATTCCCACTTGTACTCTTTTGATCTTTGATTGTGTTTGTTGAGGAACTATCCACAGAGTGGCTAATATCTTCAAAACTTGGTTGGTGAATTCTTTTAGTAAAAATATGGTCACCCATTCTTACTAAGAAATCGAAAGAAACCTCACTTCCGAAACGAAGGGGTCGAGTAGTCCTTTCTTCGCCAAATTGCTAGAGGCCTATGTTTTGAATCCAATCACAGATATTATGTCAGTCATACCCTTACTGAATTAATCAAATATCCCCTCGATGTTGTGATTGACAATCATTGAGCTGAGTTTCAATGATTCCAAATATAAATCCTAATTTTTGAATCTAATCTTCATTCTATATGAGGATAAAATTATCTATTCTGTTGCTATTTCTTAATTTCATTGTCTCTTTTGATAACTTTACTCTTGCTTCGACATGTTTACATGATTCATCACAGATATGAGGACAAAATGCCTGGGGTTGACATTTTTGTTTGCACAGCGGATCCCAAGTTAGAACCACCAACGATGGTGATAAACACCGTTTTGTCTGTCATGTCATGCAATTTCCCACCTGAAAAATTGAGCATTTACCTTTCAGACGACGGTGGATCAGAATTGACCTTCTATGCTCTTGTAGAGGCGTCTCAGTTCGCTAAACATTGGATACCCTTTTGCAAGAAATTCAAGGTGGAACCAAGGTCCCCCGCGGCCTACTTTGCACAGAATTCTGGCTCACGAGATATTGCTTTTGCACAAGAATGGTTGGCTGTTAAGGTATTACAGCTAGACCATTTTCAAATTATTGCTCGTAGCCCTGAAACCACGGCAAGAACTGCTTTCTAGTTGGATTGTTATTATAGCTCCTCAGTTTATATTGCATTGAACTAGATTGGTCACACAGTTTAGAATTGAGTAACCTGTCAAGCAGTTTGTGCATGCTAAATATTCTTTCACTAACAACAGAATAGAATGATTCATATATTTTTAAGGCGGCTTCTTTTCCTAAAGGTTATATTGATTGAGTTAATTTCTTTCGTGTCCTTCCGCTCCTAAGAAACTTCATGAGGAGATGAAAATGCGGATTGAGACAGCTATTGGAAAAGGTAGCATTTCAAAAGATATGAAGGATCTACATGAAGGGTTCTCGGAGTGGAACTCCAAGGTGACAAAACAAGATCATCAGCCAATTGTCAAGGTAACCACTACATTATCCTCTCAAAACATCTATCTCCATAAATGTATTGGATGTTTTAATTCTTTTCTTTTTCCCCTCATAGTAGAAAGAAGAAAAAAAACGCACCTTTGTCTGTTGTTTGCAGATTTTAATTGACGGAAGGAACCCCAGTGCAGTGGATATTGATGGACATATATTGCCAACACTTGTGTACTTGGCACGAGAGAAGAGACCACAGTGGCCTCATAACTTTAAGGCTGGTTCAATGAATGCATTGGTAATCAATATGTTAGTTGGTGTGGCCCTGTAATTACAAGTTATATGACTCATCATTGAGTGGATTCTTTTATGAAGCTTGACTTGAACTTATGTTAATTTGAGTAGCGTTGTGAAGCTGATATCTTTTTGGTTCTGCAGATAAGAGTGTCTTCTATGATAAGCAATGCCCCCATCATCCTCAACTTGGACTGTGATATGTACTCGAATGATCCAGATGCAGTACGAGAGGCATTATGCTTCTTCATGGATGAAAAGCGAGGACATGAGATATCATATGTGCAACATCCACAGCGCTATGAAAATATTACCAAGAATGACATTTATTCAAATGCATGCAATGTAGTTAATAAGGTGCGTTGTATGAGCATGCTTAGGTTTCCTCTTTCCTATTTTTTTGGATTAATCAATAGAAGTATAAAGTATCTCAAACCCCTTGGTGCTTGTCATTTTGATGTATGCAATATATGATGGATGATTGGATAATGATGGGTCAGTGCCTTTAATGTTGTGTTCCGAAGGTTGAGCTTGCTGGCGTAGATGGATATGGTGCAGCTTTGTACTGTGGCACTGGATGCTTCCACCGGAGAGATAGCCTTTGTGGAAAGAAGTGCTCTAAGGATCTCAAAGCTGAGTGGAGCATTGTGACTGATCAAACTAAAAAGAGAAATGTAAACGAACTGGAAGAAGCATCAAAAGCTCTTGTAACTTGTAGCTATGAGAAGGGTACTCAGTGGGGGAAAGAGGTCTCTCTCTCTTTATCTCTCTCTCTCTCTCTCTCTCTCTCACACACACACACACATATGAATCTATACATGGAAGGTTAATCATAATGGACGGTGATGTGCAGATGGGACTGGTGTATGGGTGTCCAGTGGAGGATATCGTCACAGGCTTAACAATACAGTGCAGGGGTTGGAAACCAGTATTCTACAATCCAGATAAAGCAGCTTTTTTGGGTGTTGCTCCAAATACCCTTGATATAGCTCTTGTTCAACAGAAAAGATGGTCAGAGGGCATGTTTCAGATTTTCTTATCCAAGTATTGCCCCTTCATATATGGGCATGGGAAGATAAAATTAGGTGGCCAAATGGGATATTGTGTTTACCTTCTGTGGGCTTCTGTTTCAATTCCCACATTGTATTATGCAATGATGCCTTCTATTTGCTTGCTCCGTGGTATTGCTATAGTACCAGAGGTATCTCCATCTCTTTTCTTTCTGATAGATCAATAATCATACGAGTAGGAAGTCTTTCACTTCTGCATCAAATTGAAGGACATATGAATGTGGCATTGCTATATGTCAACATGTGCACAAAAGCTACTGCTCAATATTTGAACATAAGCAACTATCCAGTTCACTATGGTCATGGGGATATTTTCCATTCCTGAAGGACTATTTTTTTTTTTTAAAATTGTCATACATTGACCCAAGTCATGAGGATGCTGCATAGGGAATGGTTGGGAATTGGGACAGCTCAGCAGGCTGAGTGGACTGAAAGTCCTCATGTCACCGCACGGTTCAAATCTGGTTACTGGCACATGATTACTTTGCATTACTCTTTACTTTACAAATTAAGAAATATGAATCAACATACTATTCATCAATAGTTTAGATCATACTACATCCTTTTTTGATCCATCTCAATTTGTAGACATACATCCCGTCTATTTCATAGATGGGTAAATGATTCATTAAAGAAAGCATATAAGAGAATTAAATTCTATTTTCTGCTTATGTGTAATCGCTTAATGGCTTCTTTGAATGTGTCTCAGGTATCGAGCCCATGGTTCCTGCCTTTTGCATATGTTTTTATTGGAAGAAATGCTGGTAGCTTAGCTGAAGCTCTGACCTGTGGAGATACACTTAAAGGATGGTGGAACGTCCAAAGAATGTGGTTGATTCGGAGGACAACTTCTTATTTTTTTGCATTCTTTGATACTATTACTAGGCAATTGGGGTTTTCTGAAACAGCATTTGCCATCACGGCCAAGGTGGTGGATGATGATGTGTTGAAGAGGTACGAGCAAGAGATAATTGAGTTCGGAAGCTCATCTATAATGTTTACCATCACTTCAACAATAGCATTGCTGAACCTCTTCAGTTTTGCTTGGGGTATCAAGAGAGCTCTTTTGGATTGGAATTTAAGGGCTGTTGAACATCTGATTCCACAAATTATTCTTTGTTGGCTTATAGTAATGATCAATATACCTGTCTACCAAGCGCTCTTCTTCCGCAGTGACAAGGGCCACATACCATCGTCGGTTATGTTCAAGTCCATTGTAGGTGTCTCTCTAGCTTGTTTGTTGGCTGTTTGCTAGAACTAACATATTGCAGCCTTTTCTACTTGTGTTATTGCAACAAATATGTCTAGCCTGGTGTAGTTTTACAGAAATTACAGTTCAGGAATGCCAAGTTATATGTTCTCTCACTGCTTTCTTAGTCCCTTCAATTTTGTAGTTTTTTTTTCTCGGGATTTTTGTTCACAAACTGGATTTCATGTCATGATGGATTGGGTATTCGATTAAAACTCTACATTTGTGCATCAAAAGGCATTGATAATAATATTAACATATGCTATCTACATTCATCAATGTTATACATCGACACCTTATTGATATGATTAACGACATGCAACACCAAAATGCAACACCAAAATCTCATAATGCAACCAACTCCTTCCATGATCATGATGATCAAAAGGATCTCTTTACTATTCCTCACCATTGGTGCCTCTTAATCTAGTTCTTTAAAGTGGGGTGTGTGGAAAAGAGGTCTAGTTCAAAAGTTCAAGCAAATTGTAGTTTTGAAAAGGGCACTCAATGGGGAAATGAGGTCTCTCTCTCTCTCTCAGAAGCAAATTGTAGTTTTTTTTTTCTTTTTTCTCTCAAGCAGACCCGAAGAAAATTGTCAGTAATAATATTTATGCCTTGAAACAATTTATGCATCTGCCATATTCTGCAGGGCTAATCCTAAGTCAAGATATTTGTTCATTCTTTATGATTATGAAGATATTAATGGTTAAATTCAAAGAAATGTTGACACTTTCATTAAAGTTTGTTTCTTTTTAGTCGACGTGCATATAAGATAGTTGACTCAGACACTCCTGACTGTTGAACTAAAAAAAAAATCTTGTCCCCTTGGGGTAGCTGTGAATCCACATATAAACACCACAACTTTGAATTGGTATCTTAAGGCCATATAAATACTTACACAGCTGCATACCACTGGTCAGCAGTAACCTTGTCAACTAGGATGGCTTGGCCATGGTGGTAGAGGCCAGTTCTGACTTTGGCACCCACATTAGGTCTTACTATGATTCCGAAAAGTACTTTTTTGATACAATACTTTCACTTTTTATCTAATAAAATCTTGACATGTAAAATTTCTTCTTTTTATTTTTTATTAATTATTTCCAATCATTTAAACTAAAATTAATGGTGTAGATGAATTACAGAATCGGAACCGCAGCCTTATCCCCCTATATTTCTGGGGGAAAAATCTCCAGAATACAGCTTTAATAACCTTGTCAACTGGGAGGGCTTGGCCATGAAGTCAGAGGTCACTTCTGACTTTGACACCAAATCTTTCTTGGTGCAGATATGCTGTTCTCCTCTTAATTTTTTCACCTAATAAGTAAGATTTTTCTAATGGGAGTGAGTTACTCCGACTTAACTTGGTTCTGTTTTATATGTAAAATAGAAAATTTATTCACGTTTAACCTATTTTTTTAAACGAACCAAACTCAAAAATGATTCGAATTCGAATCGAACCCGAATAACTGTATGCTTAATTATTAGCTCTACTAATAAGTAATTCTTAAGGGGTGTCCCCCACTAATATACCATTGGAAGTTTACATAAGAACTTTTCACAGCAATGTTTTTCCTTGGTGACCATTATTCAACTGTTCTTCTTTAATGCCAATATCTTCAGTTGAAAAATAATTTGTGATATATCATGAAAAACTTTGAGCCTACGATAAAATTATGATACCAAAAAATAATTAGTTGATATCAAGATTTACAGATTTTTGGGTCAAAATCTACATAATAAAGTACAATACAATTCAAATTTTAAAAAATAAACAAAATAACTTTTGCTATTCGTAGTCGAGATCTCTTTAAATTTTACTTTAAAGTTAATCTGACAGTTAATATTAAAACCCCAAATTTAATACGGAAGATAAGCCCATAAGGGTGCATTTTGATTAATTTTTTAAAAGTATTTTTAAAAATTATTTCTCATAAATAGTGTTTGAAAACGCTCCACCACTACCTCTACCACCACAACCATCACCATTACCACCACCCCCACCGCTCCACCACCATTATGTGAAATAGGAGTTAAGAACTTTATCCAGAGTTAATTAAAATGGAAGTTCATAAAAGCTAGATAAGCTTTCCGAACACTTGATTAGGAGTTTCATGTAAATATGATGATACACCGTTGAGAGGATTGATGATCAGTGAATGCACATAATATTACACCTACGGATATGAAGCAAAAGGTATTTCATAGAACTGCAGGAAATAATTATCCTCATCACCCCCATGCATCTCAATATAATGAAACATGGAGTACCACATTCTAGGTGTATACATAGACACTCATAAAGCCCCAACATTTGTTCCTCAACAGTATGCACTCACACACACGCCCGCGCTTAAATCGAGCCAGCATTTGTTCCTTACCAACATTGTTTCCGGTGCTTAACTTTTGTGGATTAATAATATGGATAAATGGATAAGTGTTTCCTAGTTGATAAACAAACATTAGAAGATGGTAACTTGACGAAAAAACGGCATTTGTCATCACAATGTACAGCATCTACATAACTTCTTCACTGATTTCTCAATCACAAGCCACGCCCCAAGCCCCAGTATCTACATGGCGATCGTAGTACTCAACGGTCCCAACCAGAGGGCTTTGCCGGAAATCTGCCAGAGAGAACCCGAACTCCGCGTCGCTGCAGTTACCCCCGCCGTCAAGGCCACCGAGAAAACCCTCGTTCTGGAAGCTTCCAATCTGGGAATTATCTAGAAGATAGTTGTCTACGTCCAAGACCGCGATTGGGAACGATGTTGATGGATTTATGAAGGATAGAGCTTCGTCTCTGTTGGTCGCCATAGCAAGTGTTTGATAGTGTCCTCAGAGAGTGCTTACAGAGAGAAAGTGTGTGCGAGTGTGTGAGGATGCCTACTGTTTTGGGGTTGCAGGGGGTTACTTCCCTTGAAATTGGAAGTGGGATGGTAGGAGTATTGCTTCTATGTTTGCCGGAGTACAAGGATTAGACAAGTAGTGCCCACGCTTGTTGTGATACATTTTGGAAAGGATAGTATTCCTGTGGAAAATTTAATTTCTCAACGTCAAACTAAAAAATTATTATATACTAATTATAATTTTTTTAGATAAAAAAATTAAAATTTTATTTTTAATATTATATCAATAAATGACATAATATAATATGAATTTTAGTTATAAAATTTAAAATTTTTTAATTTTTAATTTGAATATTTTTTTATCAAAATATAAAATTTTAATTTTTTTATTTTATACCCTCAAAAATTAAATTTATCATATTACACATTTAATGTATTAAAAATATTACAAATATAGTCATTCTATTAATTTTTTGTTAACTTTTTTTTAAGTGTTAATAGGTTATCTTTCGACAAAAAAATAATGGAAGATAACAAAAAAATTAATACATTCAAAGTGCAATATAAAAAATTTATTCTATAAATATATAAAAAAAAAAATTTTAAGATGTGAAGTGCAAAAATCCCCGACTTTTATATGGGGGAAGCATGGGGCCCACGTAAGAGTAAGATACTGGTGGGGAAGTAGAAAAAGTTAGTCTTATACTCTTATTATTAGTAAAAGACAATGAAGATAAGATTTATAACCAGCAAAAAGAAAACTGAAGATAAGATTTATGTGCAAGGAAGACTAGCAGAATAATCAACGCAAAGAGCGATAACATAGAAGGCTATCATCTTTATTATTTATTTGTGGTGCTTATAATAGTGTTTATGACAGTGTGTGTGTGAGAGAGAGAGAGAGAGATATGAGTGAGAATGGTGGAGGAAAAGAAGCTCTTCCCTTGTTTGAGACAAAAGCAGCGAAGGGTAGAGATGCTTATAAATTGTTTGCTTTTACAGTGTTTGTGGGTGTGTGTATGATATTGGTGTACAGATTAACACACATGCCACAACCAGAAGAGCCAGGAAGATGGGCTTGGATTGGTTTTTTCATGGCCGAGCTCTGGTTTAGTTTCTATTGGATTTTCACTCAATCTGTTCGTTGGAACGTGGTTTACCGTTACCCTTTCAAAGCCAGACTCTCTTCCAGGTCCTCTCTCTCTCTCTCCCACACACACACACACACAATCAATCAATAAAAAGTCAGATATTCGATCATCTGCAACTTTCTGGGTCAAAAAAAAGAAAAGGTTTTAGCCTTAAGTTCGTGTAGCAACCTCTCAGAGGTTCTACATATTAGTCTAACTCAACTCAACAATGTCTTGTTCTAATATTTTTGGGTTGACTTTAACTCACCAACATTCTGTTGTTGAAGTGAGTAAAAATGAAGCTTATGCAAATTCCCACTTGTACTCTTTTGATCTTTGATTGTGTTTGTTGAGGATCTATCCACAAGGTGGCTAATATCTTCAAAACTTGGTTGAGGAATTCTTTTAGTAAACATATGGTCATCCATTCTTACTAAGAAACTGAAAGAAACCTCACTTCCGAAACGAAGGGGTCGAGTAGTCCTTTCTTCGCCAAATTGCCAGAAGCCTATGTTTTTTTGAATCCCATCACAGATATTATGACAGTCATACCCTTACTGAATTAATCAAATCTCCCCTCGATGTTGTGATTGACAATCATTGAGCAGAGTTTCAATGATTCCAAATATAAATCCTAATTTTTGAATCTAATCTTCATTCTATATGAGGATAAAATTATCTATTCTGTTGCTATTTCTTAATTTCATTGTCTCTTTTGATAACTTTACTCTTGCTTCCACATGTTTACATGATTCATCACAGATATGAGGACAAAATGCCTGGGGTTGACATTTTTGTTTGCACAGCGGATCCCAAGTTAGAACCACCAACGATGGTGATAAACACCGTTTTGTCTGTCATGTCATGCAATTTCCCACCTGAAAAATTGAGCATTTACCTTTCAGACGACGGTGGATCAGAATTGACCTTCTATGCTCTTGTAGAGGCGTCTCAGTTCGCTAAATATTGGATACCCTTTTGCAAGAAATTCAAGGTGGAACCAAGGTCCCCCGCGGCCTACTTTGCACAGAATTCTGGCTCACGAGATGTTGCATTTGCACAAGAATGGTTGGTTGTTAAGGTATTACAGCTATACCATTTTCAAATTATAGCTCGTAGCCCTGAAACCACAGCAAGAACTGCTTTCTAGTTGGATTGTTATTATAGCTCCTCAGCTTATATTGCATTGAACTAGATTGGTCACAGAGTTTAGAATTGAGTAACCTGTCAAGCAGTTTGCGCATGCTAAATATTCTTTCACTAACAACAGAATAGAATGATTCATATATTTTTAAGGCGGCTTCTTTTCCTAAAGGTTATATTGATTGAGTTAATTTCTTTCATGTCCTTCCGCTCCTAAGAAGCTTCATGAGGAGATGAAAATGCGGATTGAGACAGCTATCGGAAAAGGTAGCATTTCAAAAGATATGAAGGATCTACATGAAGGATTCTCGGAGTGGAACTCCAAGGTGACAAAACAAGATCATCAGCCAATCGTCAAGGTAACCACTACATTATCCTCTCAAAACATCTATCTCCATAAATGTATTGGATGTTTTCATTCTTTTCTTTTTTCCCTCATACTAAAAAGAAGAAAAAAACCCACCTTTGGCTTTTGTTTTCAGATTTTAATTGACGGAAGGAACCCCGGTGCAGTGGATATTGATGGACATATATTGCCAACGCTTGTGTACTTGGCACGAGAGAAGAGACCACAGTGGCCTCATAATTTTAAGGCTGGTTCAATGAATGCATTGGTAATCAATATGTTAGACGGGGTGGCCCTGTAATTACACTTTATATGACTCATCATTGAGTGGATTCTTTTATGAAGCTTTACTTGAACTTATGTTAATTGAGTAGTGTCGTGAAGCTGATATCTTTTTGGTTCTGCAGATAAGAGTGTCTTCTATGATAAGCCATGCCCCCATCATCCTCAACTTGGACTGTGATATGTACTCGAATGATCCAGATGCAGTACGAGAGGCATTATGCTTCTTCATGGATGAAAAGCGAGGACATGAGATATCATATGTGCAACATCCACAGCGCTATGAAAATATTACCAAGAATGACATTTATTCAAATGCATGCAATGTACTTAATAAGGTGCGTTGTATGAGCATGCTTAGGTTTCCTCTTTCCTATATTTTTGGATCAATCAATAGAAGTATAAAGTATCTCAAACCCTTGGTGCTTGTCACTTTGGCGTATGCAATATTTGATGGATGATTGCATAATGATGGGTCAGTGCCTTTAATGTTGTGTTCCGAAGGTTGAGCTTGCTGGCGCAGATGGATATGGTACAGCTTTTTACTGTGGCACTGGATGCTTCCACCGGAGAGATAGCCTTTGTGGAAGGAAGTGCTCTAAGGATCTCAAAGCTGAGTGGAACATTGTGACTGATCAAACTAAAAAGAGAAATGTAAACGAATTAGAAGAAGCATCAAAAGCTCTTGCAACTTGTAGCTATGAGAAGGGTACTCAGTGGGGGAAAGAGGTCTCTCTCTCTCTCTCTCTCTCACATACACACACATATGAATCTATGCATAGAAGGTTAATCATAATGGACGGTGATGTGCAGATGGGACTGGTGTATGGGTGTCCAGTGGAGGATATCGTCACAGGCTTAACAATACAGTGCAGGGGTTGGAAACCAGTATTCTACAATCCAGATAAAGCAGCTTTTTTGGGTGTTGCTCCAAATACCCTAGATATAGCACTTGTTCAACACAAAAGATGGTCTGAGGGCTTTTTTCAGATTTTCTTATCCAAGTATTGCCCCTTCATATATGGGCATGGGAAGATAAAATTAGGTGGCCAAATGGGATATTGTGTTTACCTTCTGTGGGCTTCTGTTTCAATTCCCACATTGTATTATGCAATGATGCCTTCTATTTGCTTGCTCCGTGGTATTGCTATAGTACCAGAGGTATCTCCATCTCTTTTCTTTCTGATAGATCAATAATCATACGAGTAGGAAGTCTTTCACTTCTGCATCAAATTGAAGGACATATGAATGTGGCATTGCTATATGTCAACATGTGCACAAAAGCTACAGCTCAATGTTTGAACATAAGCAACTATCCAGTTTATTAAGGTCATGGGGCTATTTTCCATTCCTGAAGGACTCTTTTTTTAAAAAAAATTGTCATACATTGACCCAAGTCATGAGGATGCTGCATAGGGAATGTCTGGGAATTGGGACAGCTCAGTAGGCAGAGTGAAGGACCGAAAGTCCTCGTGTCACCGCACCAGTTCAAATCTGGTAACCGGCACATGATTACTTGGCATTAGTCTTTATTCTACAAATTAAGTGATATAATCAAGATACTATTCGCCAATAGTTTAGATCATACTACATCTTTTTTGATCCATCTCGATTTGTAGACATACATCCTGTCTATTTCATAGATAGGTAAAGGATTCATTATCGAAAGCATATAAGAGAATTAGATTCTATTTTCTTCTTATGTGTAATTCCTTGATGGCTTCTTGAATGTGTCTTAGGCATCGTGCCCATGGTTCCTGCCTTTTGCATATGTTTTTATTGGAAGAAATGCTGGTAGCTTAGCCGAAGCTCTGACCTGTGGAGATACACTTAAAGCATGGTGGAACAGCCAAAGAATGTGGTTGATTCGGAGGACAACTTCTTATTTTTTTGCATTCTTCGATACTATTACTAGGCAATTGGGGTTTTCTGAAACAACATTTGCCATCACGGCCAAGGTGGTGGATGATGTTGTGTTGAAGAGGTACGAGCAAGAGATAATTGAGTTCGGAACCTCATCTATAATGTTTACCATCACTTCAACAATAGCATTGCTGAACCTCTTCAGTTTTGCTTGGGGTATCAAGATTGCTCTTTTGGATTGGAATTTGAGGGCTGTTGAACATCTGATTCCACAAATTATTCTTTGTTGGCTTATAGTAATGATCAATATACCTGTCTACCAAGCGCTCTTCTTCCGCAGTGACAAGGGCCACATACCATCGTCGGTTATGTTCAAGTCCATTGCAGTTGCCTCACTAGCTTGTTTGTTGGCTGTTTGCTAGAACAAAGATATTGCAGCCTTTTCTACTTGTGTTATTGCAACAAATATGTCTAGGCTGGTGTAGTTTTGCATTCTTCAGTCCTTACTTCTTATAGAACCATACCAGTTTAACAGAAATTACAGTTCAGGAATGCCAAGTTATTATATGTTCTCTCACTGTAAAGTAATTTTGTTTCCACTGATGCTATTGGGACATAATTTGGGGACCTAATATATTATAACCAATGGATTGATAGTGTTGGACAGTGTTCGACCCAGTGATAATTTAGTGTTAAGATCCATTGATAATCTAATGACTACAATCATTAAGTTCTCAAATTATATTACAATTGCATTGCTCGTTTGTTTTTCATAATTATTACAGTGGCTCAATTAATCCAAGAAAATATATAAAACATATATAACTAAAAAAAATATTTTTTTTAGGGTGGCCCAAGGCCTCTCTCCCTCCGTCCCCCGCCACTACCAGAGAGAGAAAGAGTGTGAAGAATGAGAGAGATAAAGAGTGTGAAGAATGAGAAGAGGAATATAAAATTTAATCGAAATAAATTTGAGAAAGATGTTGATGGCTGTTTGATTAATTTATTTAAGATCGTCGAATGATGTTTATTGCAGCTGTCTTGTTTTATATTAAAAATATTATATATATAAATCCACGAATTATGATGGAATTGACTTAAAAAAATATTAATTTATATACACGAAATCAAAATCGAATATTAATTTATATACATGTAATCAAAATCAAGTCAAATCTAATATAAACTAAAAATCTAATTTATCAAAAAGCATATTGCCAAAATATTTTCTATCAAAAAATGATCTACAAATATCATTTATAAAATATTATTTTTTAATTAGTACAAATTATTAATTTATAAAAATATATTAGCGTTAAATTTTCTTAAGAGATAAAAAAAAATTCGTCTTGAACATTTGATTCAAGTTATATATAAAACATATTAGTTTGAGATAATTATTCAATAAATAAAATTAAAATTAATTATATTCTATGGAAATGTGTTAAGCAGCGTCATTGCGTCCTTTTTTTTTATTTGTTAAATTGATTATTTTTTTTAATCAAAATATTATCATTGTGTCTTATAAAAATACAAAATGTTACACTACACAAATAATATTAATGACAAATTTGACCTATCTAATTATTATGTCAAGAGAAAATCATGTATTCCAAAGATCAACAATAATTGTTAACTTGTTGGGAGGGAAAGTATTAAGAAAAAAAATTATAATTTCTTTACCGTTGGATGAATGAATTTAAGACCGTACGATGTATTTCAAGATTAGTCGTAATCGTTAACCGGTTGATGAGAGAAAATATTAAGAAAACAAATAGTAATTTATTAACCGTTGAATGAATGAATTTGTGACCTCGACTAATCGTTGACTAGTTGGTGGAGGGAAATATTAAAAAAAAAAAATAGTAATTTATTGAATGTTGATTAAATGAATTTGAGATCGTAGAATGAACTTGGTCAGCATGAAAGTCTTACCCTATTTAGTATCATCTCACTAAGTAAATCACATTGGAAATGACTCAAAAAATAAAATTAGATCCCCTTATTTATGCCCTTGAATTTTATTTTTATTATTTTATTTGTGAAAAAAAGGAGGACGACAAGTAGATAATAACTCACTTGAACGTGACTATGAGGGTATTTTTATTACGGAATGTTCGCTTTGAGCCATAACTACTAATCGAAAGGTAATCCGTCATTATAACACCATCAAAATCAAACAATAAATCGCATTACTCTCATAAATTGAATCTTATTTAATAACTATAACTATGTGAGAGTGAAGGACGAACACACTACATTTCAATACATGCAGACCTCTTGATTAGGTAACCATTGATAGAGTTGACGCCAATTTGTCCGAAAAAGGGCAAAAAAAAATCATGATTAATAACATCGTTTTATTGAACAGTAGTCAATGACAGGTTTTTTAAGATAACGTGATAATACATTCTCTTATAGTTTCTTTCTTTACATTATATTTTATTAAATAAAACTTGTCTTGTACACCACCTGCAGCTAGTTTTGACTGAACTGGTCTCCAGCCAAGCTTGTTTGTCTCTTCCCCAATTAGTCTTTCTTCTTTAATTAATAACATATTCAAACCAACCAACCAATTAATCATCCTGTTCTAAGCTCTTACGTAATTCTCACCTCTTAGGAGCCCACAAAAGGCTGGCACATCAGAATTGAATATGTTAATCAAGAGAGTCTAATTGATAATAAATATAAGTTGTAGATTTTTTGGCAGTTCTTTGAGATCTCTTTCAAATACTTTAATCTCTTACGCACCGGTCCATAATTCTCCACTATTTAAAAGATTGGGTGGATCAAGGCCATTACCATATACATGTTTAGGACGGAAGAGAGAGGGAGAGAGAGATGGGAAGAGATGGGTATGTTCCACTGTTTGAGACAAAGAGAGCAAAGGGTAGGATCATATACAGGTTTTTTTCGGCATCCATATTTGTTGGGATAGTTTTGATTTGGGTTTACAGAGCGAGTCATATTCCAAGTTCAAGAGATGATGGTAGACTGGGCTGGATAGGCATGCTTGGGGCTGAACTCTGGTTCGGCCTTTATTGGGTCCTCACTCAGTCTCAGAGGTGGAACCGCATCTATCGTTACACCTTCAAGGACAGGCTCTCTCAGAGGTCCTCTCTCTCTCTCTCTCTCTCCTTTTCTTCTTCTTCTTCTTCTTTGTCCCGTGTGCTTTACCATTTGATTTCTTAGTATTTTTGGACATCCCAAGTTTTATATCTACAAAGGTTTCGACCCAAAACACAGAAGATCTGCCATGATATGGCTATTGAAGCAGTGCCATTAACTTGGATAGAGAAGATGAAGAGCTTTTAAATATCTAGGAAAGAAGGTCTAGGTTCAAGTCTCCTCAAAAAAAAAAAAAAAAAAAAAAACTTTTAAATATCCGGAAAAAAGAAATTATTGCTTGATATACGTTTTTTGGATTAATTGCACTTGAGGTCTCTAAAATATGGTATTTGATTTATTTTGATCCTCAATATTTCAATTGCATTATTTTAGTCTCTCAAGTATTTAATTCATTTCTATATAGCTTCTCACGTAGACAATGTCCAAATTATTAATAATTTTTTATTTAAACTAATACCTAAATATTGACAAAAAAAAATAATTTGAATAGCTCTTGACCAAATTTTTATCCAAATTTTTGTCAAAAAGCTATCCAAATTAAACAACTTTGATTGTGAGCTACCCAAATTTTGGTCAAGACCTACCTAAATTATTTTTTATCTATATTTAAGTATCAAGTGATAAATTTATGATAAAAAATTATTAGCAATTTAAATGTTGTCTGTTTGAAATATCACATAAAAATATATTTAATACTTTAAGAGCTAAAATGATCTAATTAAAATATCAGAGATTAAAATAAGATAAATTCTATATTTTGGGGACTTCCAGTGTAATTAATCCAAACTTTTTTGTGAAAAGAGTAAAGTGGGTATGGTGAAAAGTGATCACTATACCATCTAATAAGATCAAATAAGTGGGCAAGTAGATCCTATATATTGAGTAAATATTGAATGCACTAGTAAATATTGAATGCACTGCCAGTGGGCAAGTACATCCTATATATTGAGTAAATATTGAATGTACTAGTGGTACCATATCGTCATCGATAACATGATATCACTAATTAATAATAAAATTTCAAATGAAAAATGTGAATCCCTTTTAGGCTTATGGTCCATCTACTTATTTATTTTAGTATTATTAATTCGTGATATCACGTGGTAAGGTAATGTGGTAACCACCAAATTTTTGAAAATAACTATTGAATGGGATTTACCTTACCCACTTATAAATTTATGAGTAATGCTACGTGCACTTAAAAATTAAACTTAATAATTTCAACCATTGAATAGGTAATGGGTTTCAATAAATGCTGGGATCCACAGTGAAATCAATGATCGTAATTATCAAATCTACTACTTTTAAGTCTATGTAGAATTATTCTAAATTTATTATTAGACGATGATACACGTAAGGATAAAGTTACATTCAATATTTGCCGACAGGAAGGCCACGTTAAAGTCATATTTTTAATTGTCATGAATATTGACTTATTACATGATGCCAATCACAGTCATTTTGTCGTTGGATATGAACCACAACGCCACTATACTCTATCTGACACCAAATGAGGTACACCAATGATGCACAATAATACAATATGCATATCATACAAGTATCCACCGTATAGGATAAGATGGTGATCACGAACCAACGGATTGGATTAACAGTGTGAGGTCAAAAATTCATACATGTTGGAATCCTCTCAAATACGGGTTTAGTTATTGGGTCTCTGTCTTAAGTTCAACAAGTGGCGTAATTGAAACGATTATCGATTTAAAAGAATAAAAAAAAAAGACCACTGGTCATTTTGGAGCATTAGTTTAATCACAGCTACTTTGCTATGTGCTAAACTTTCATAGGTACGAGAATGAGTTGCCTGGAGTTGACATATTTGTGTGCACTGCTGACCCAATAATTGAGCCACCAATGGTGGTGATCAACACTGTTTTATCAGTAATGGCATACGAATACCCGTCTGAGAAGCTCAGTGTTTATCTATCCGACGATGGCGGATCAGATCTTACCTTCTATGCTCTACTGGAGGCCTCTCGCTTCTCTAAGCATTGGATACCTTACTGCAAGAAATACAAGGCGGAGCCTCGGTCTCCGGCGGCTTATTTCGTGTCAGACCCTGATCAATGTGATGCAAATCATGCCAAACATTTGGCATCAATCAAGGTAATTCCTAATGATCTGTTTTTTTGTAAATTGACCGACTAAATTATTACTGTTTTATTTCTGCTGTGGATCTCAGTGACATCACATGTAACCACCTTAAAGAATTCAAAATGTATGAATAAACAAATAATGATGTTGGTCAATGATGTGAGCCAGCCACCCCTAAGAAGATTCCACCAACCGAAGCTGTTCAAGTATTCAAATCATCCATAAAGTTGGTGCACGGCACATGCTTACTCTTTTGTCAATGACATTTACTTTTTGAGTAATAGGTGAAAGAAAAGTTGACACCCTCAACAGCCACATAGCCCTAACCCTTCATGCCCTATTCCTGCTCCCTTCTCTAAAAGACTCAAGAAACCCCAAAAACTAAGTAACCATGTTCAGATTTACAAGCTTTTCAAACAAGTAAAAATCAATATATCGATTCTAGATGCCATCAAACAAGTCCCTTCCTATCCCAAGTTCCTAAACGACTTGTGCACAGTCAAAAGGAATCCAAATGATCAAAAGAGGCCTTTTTGTGCCATAATATAACACAAAACTACTCCCAAATTCGAAGACCCAGGGTATCCCACGAATTTTGGGGACGTTTCTCATTTTGTAGACCTAGACATGTAATGGATGGTTATATTTGTTGTACCACTCTTTTACCTGTGGAATGAGTGGAAGCGAACACCTACCATGTTTCAATCAACCAAAGGAATTTTTTGAATGGGGTAATTTAATCATGCAATGCACAGCCACTACTAAGGGGTGATCTAAGATTGAAAACTAATCGAATCTATAGATATCTATTGCTTGATTATCTATTACTAGTCATTGTCCAATGTCCACTTCAAAAATCATCTCATGGTCATGACCAATTGACAGGGTCTGTCATCTGTGTTATTTTTCCCAATTAGGCATAGTCTTCTCCTAGATTTTGTTAACATCTCAATTGTCTGTTAGATTTGATGAAGCTCTTATAGTTTTCTTTTTTGGTTAATGTTGTAGAAATTATATGAGGACATGGAACGTCGAATTGAAACTGCAATGAAACTTGGACGAATCTCCGAGGAAGTAAAGTTAGAACACAAAGGCTTTTCTCAGTGGGATTCATATTCCTCCAGACGAGATCATGATACCATTCTACAGGTACTGCACTACTCACATTTCATTTGTGCAGACACTTCAGATGCTAGTATAATTCTTCTATCGGCTATGAGTTTCCTGACAGCATCAGTCTTTTTTGGGCATAACCGAACCATAGTCTAATTTATTATGCAAGTCAGTTGATTTATTAGAAGTTTCTTTCAAACACTAATCTTGTTTTGATTACTATATGCTTTATGTTTATTCTGAACCAGCTATTAATTGATGGAAGAGACCCAAATTCTAAGGACATTAAAGGGTGTACACTGCCAACGCTGGTATACTTGGCTCGGGAGAAGAGACCCCAGCATCACCATAATTTCAAAGCTGGAGCTATGAATGCATTGGTATGTTAAACACATGCTCATAGTTATACCTGTTGATCAATCAATGAGCATGGATTTTATTAGTATATGGCTAGGAAATAGCTCATATTCAAGTTGTCTGAAGTGGTAAATGTAATTGATTTTTATATGCTCATTCTCAGGTTTTATGATGATGCTATCTTCCCTAATAGCACAGTTCTGTGCCAAATTTATCTACTTTGATCTATATTTGAATGTGCAGATAAGGGTGTCCTCAGAGATTAGTAATGGACCAATCATTCTAAATGTAGATTGTGACATGTACTCAAACAATTCAGATTCTATCAGAGATGCGCTTTGCTTCTTTATGGACGATGAAAAGGGCCATGAAGTTGCTTTTGTGCAGTTCCCACAGAATTTTCATAACATTACCAAGAATGATCTGTATGGTAGCTTGCTAAGAGTGATAGGCGAGGTGAGTATATCATATATAGTTCATAGAGTTCAAAAAACATCCCAGTAAGTTGGTTCATATATCTTTTCCAAATATATTTATGTTACTTCTGCACTTGTTGCTTATTAAATCTTGGTAATTAAGGTGGAATTCCCTGGTCTGGATGGTCATGGCGGTCCTTTTTACATTGGTACTGGCTGCTTTCATCGAAGAGATACTCTATGTGGAAGAAAGTTTAGCAGCAAAGCAAGAATAGAATGGAAACACAAGAATGATAGAAAGACTGCAAAAATTGTAGATGACTTGGAAGAAAGCCTAAAGGGACTAGCAAGCTGTACATATGAGAAAAACACTCAATGGGGAAATGAGGTCTCTCCCCCCCCCCCCCCCCCCTCTCTCCGTCTATGTGAGTGTGGGTGTGTTTTGCAGTATATTGGGATTAATGAAAATTCAATTTGCAGATGGGTTTGAAATATGGTTGTCCAGTTGAAGATGTGATTACTGGATTATCAATTCAATGCCAAGGATGGAAATCAGTTTATTTCAATCCACCAAGGATGGGTTTCTTAGGCATTGCAGCAACCACTCTAGATCAATCGCTAGTTCAACATAAGAGGTGGTCAGAGGGTGATCTACAAATCCTCCTTTCCAAGTATAGTCCAGCATGGTATGGACTTGGAAGGATTCATCCTGGCCTTCTATTGGGATATCTTACTTACTGTCTTTGGGCTCCGAATTGCTTAGCAACACTGTATTATGCTATCATCCCTTCCCTTTATCTCCTCAGAGGCATGCCCTTGTTTCCACAGGTAATACTCTCTTAATTCTCATTTGCACCTTAGTAATCCCAAATCTTCTAGTTTTGAACTTTTTATATAAAACTGCTGACAATCAATCACTTTTTATTTCAATTTGCTCTTTTGGAAAACAACCAGGACACTCCATAGGGAGCTGTCATAAGCTTTGATTGGGAATTGTAAGATTCAAAGAAAGATCAAAAGATATAGAGAGATTCTAACTGATTTTTGTGCACATTAAGATGACAAATGAGTGCGATTGACTGAAACTTAATTTTGCTGTGAAAATTCAGGTCTCATGTCCATGGTTCTTGCCATTTGTTTATGTGGTTGCTGTCAAGTACATATATAGCTTTGGCGAGTTTCTGTGGTCTGGTGGCACAGCCCTGGGCTGGTGGAATGAACAAAGAATATGGCTTTACAAAAGAACAAGCTCCTACCTCTTTGCCTTTGTGGACACCATTTTAAGGTTACTGGGATTTTCCGACACTGGATTCATAATCAGTGCCAAAGTGTCCGAACAGGAAGTGTCCCAGAGATACGAGCAAGAGATGATGGAGTTTGGATCATCTTCTCCCATGGTCACTATTCTATCATCTCTGGCAATGCTCAATCTGTTCTGTTTTGTTGGACTGGTGAAGAAAGTGGTCATGACACAAGTGGGAATCAGAGTTTATGAGACTATGGCTTTGCAGATTCTTCTATGTGGGGTTTTGGTTGCCATTAACTTGCCATTGTACAATGCTATTTTCCTTCGAAAGGACAATGGCAAGATGCCAAGCTCTGTCACATTCAAATCAGTTTCTTTTGCTCTCTTTGCTTGTACTTGTTTTACATACTTGTATTAGATTGTTTTGGGTCTATGTATCTATCATATACTTTGTGACTTAGAGTTTTTTAAAATTTTTTTTTTTTTTTTAGAGATAAATGTGTTTGATTTCATTAACCGAAAAGGAGTGTTACAGATTCATTCATACATGTGTAATTTTAAAGAAACAAATGGAAATTCCAAGGGTGGGTTAAGTGTATGAGGCTCATGTTAGTGTAAGGTCTAAGGAGAGTTAGATGTATACAACCTTATCACTTAAAAATGCGAGAATGTTTTTGTGACTCAAACCTGTGACCTCCAAATCATAATAGAGCAACCTTATCTTTGTGTCAAGACCCGTCTCTAAATTCCAAGGGTGGTACTTGATGAGTCCGAATTTGACTATGTCAGGCCCAATAAAAATAAGCTGATAAAGCCCAGAGAAAGGTCCAAGAAATGATAGATTGACCAAGGAGTCAAGTAGGAGTCCAAAACAGAGACCACGCCCATGTGGCCTCAAGTGGGGGCCGTCCATGCCTTGCCCATCCTCCCCTCCTCACTTCACTCCAATATAAGTCCAAGATCACTCCGGGTCCAAGTCCAAAGTCAAGTACGAGCTCAGTCCAGTTCAAGAGCCTCTTCCGAAACAATAGAAGCACGAGGTAGAAAACATCAGGATAGGTACGGAGATCTCCTACCATAGCTGCACTTACTAAAACAGTAGAAGTCTTCCTCTTCACGTCACCGTCTCACTGCCTCATCACACCTATAAAATGTAAACCTTCTCCATATAGAAAGCAGACTCTCATATCCCTATACATAATACACCTTCTTACACGCATTACTCTCTCTCTTTCTCTTTCTCTCCAAATCATTGTAATACTCCTGGAGAATACTCACTCTAGTGACTTTACTCATTAATAAAATATCCAGGTCACCGCTGTCGTTCCAGAGAGTGGAATAGGTCACCCGGATCGAACCATTATAAATCTTTGTACTGATTGCTTATTTACTGTTTTTATCCATTGATTGTCGTTGATTGCTTATTAATTGCTTTTTAATCACACCCGTTAATATCATTGATTGTTGATCTTGCACAAGACAATTTTGTGCATCATCAGTTTGGCACCGTCTGTGGGAATCGACAGGCTTTCCTACTCTCATTCAATCCATGGCAATCACTACCCGATCTATGAGCCAGCAACCGGGAGATAACAACCCAGTTCACCAGGAGGAGGCTCTGCCTCCCACTGCACCTGTGGAACCTTCCGTTACTACCACTCCCGCTGCTGGACAGCAGCAACAACTCCTCCAGACCATGCAGCTACTAGTGAGCCAAAACCAACAAATCATCCAACTCATGTTCTCCCAAGGAGGCGTCGCCCCCTCCCCTCGCAAGAGGAGTCCCACTCCCTCCACTGGGAGAAGAACAACTGCCTATCTCTCCGAGGCGCCAGACAGTCCCCCACCACAAGGCCCCTCGCCAGACCACTCCAAGACCACACCAGGGCGCCCCTCCCCCATCATTCCCTCCTCAGCACGCAGGGAGCTCACGTGTTCTTCCTCCACACGTACCTGCACAGGAGAATGAAGACAGAGAAAACCAATATAGTGACCACGAATACCAGTACCACCACCCAACTGAGGACGTCCCTAACCAATGGGATGAGAAGATCAGAGAAGTGCAAAACCAACTCAGTGATGCCCTCAACGCCATCAGGGCATAGGAGCCCGAGACAGTAGACTACCTAGTAAGACGTACCGAAACACCCTTTGTTGCTGATTTTGTCAATTATCCCCTACCTTCGCAGTTTAAGATGCCTGTCATCTAGATCTTTGATGGTACCCAAGACCCCCTTGACCACTTGGACATTTACAAATCCCTTATGCAACTACACAACGTGCCTGAGGAGATTATGTGTAAAGCCTTCCCTACCACCCTCAAGGGGTCCGCACACCAATGGTTTGCAAAGATCAAACCCTCCTCCATCCACTCCTTCGTAGAACTCAGTAGGTCTTTCGTCTCCCACTTCATTGGAGGACGCCGACATCAGAAATCAGTGACCCACCTGCTCACTATCAAACAAGACAGGGGGTGAAAGCCTTAGAGACTACCTTTCCCGCTTCAATAAGGACATCCTCCAGGTTGAGGAGTCAGATGATAAGGTAGCTCTGGCCGCCTTTATGGCCGGTCTCTGTACCTCCAACCTCTTGTTCTCAGTCCTCAAGAAACCGCCCTCCAACATGTCCAAGCTGCTGTCAAGGGCACAAAAGTATATGAACGCCGAGGATGTCACCAAGGTCAAACGAGGTGAGTCTTCCCATGGGAGGCGAAAAGAGGAAGGGTACTCGTGAAAATAGGAGAGAAATAGAGAACAAGAGGAATAAGACAAAGAAAATCTCTGCCAAGGACCGCCTTGGTCCCCCACCTCTGAGAGAACGACAAGCATTCACGCCACTCAATGCTTTCGTGGAGCACATCCTGTTCCAAATACAGGATGATCCTACGCTCCGTTGGCCTGAAAAAATGAAGTCCGCCCCAAACCGCAGAAATCCCAACAGGTGCTGTCGTTTCCACCGCGACCACGACTATGATACAAACGACTGCTTTGATCTTAAAAGGCAGATCGAGAAACTCATACAACGTGACCATTTAAGGCAGTACGTTGCTGGCAGAGGACAAACTCTGCCACCTGGTTAGGACCAGGACGATAGAGAACGCCAACAACCTCTTGGAGAAATTTAGACGATCGCCTGAGGGCTAGGAGGAGAAGGTGATTCGAACTCTGTCAAGAAAGTCTCGGCCCACCTATGGGACACCGAGCACCTGAAGATTTATCTATCCTTTATTGTTTTAGCTTATTTATTTTGCTATTTTATCATCTTATGAAATAAAATTCTACGAAGATTATTGTGTCCATAATTGTCTTGTTTTCCTAAAATTTACAAACAACTTATAAAAGTTAAAACATGACTTAACAACAAGATGTAGACAAAATGACAATAGTCTTCATACTCCCAACGATCAGTCATTGCTCCGTGAGTCACAATCACTATAATCAAGACTCTCTCCATCACCAACTACTACTGGTGTCTTATAGGGGACAAAGCCAGAGAAATCAACAGTTGCCCACTCATCAAGTGCCTAGTAGCAGGCGACTAGCATCCAGGATGTCACTACCCAGGTCGACAGTGCCCAGGCTGGCTGTCGCCCACTTTCTGCACGCCATCCAAGAAGGACTTCTTCGCTCCTAACACCAGCGCCCCTCGACGCCTAGGGCCCCTCGGCGTTCATGCCCAACAGAAGGCGCTCATCACCAGGCGCCCAGCGTCCTTCAGCGTCCATGCCAAAATGCGCCCAACACCCCTATACGTCTGCGCCCAACGGTGCCCATAGTCCCTCGGCGTCCGTGCCCGACAATAGACACTCATCATTAGGCGCCCAGCACTAGATGCCTAGTCTCAGGCATCTAGCTCCTCAACACCCTACTTATCTCCTCGGCGCCCTCCTCATCTCCTCTATCCCTATGAAGTGAGCTTCTGCCCTAGTAGCTCTCTCAAGTGCTACTCAAAGGTCAGCCTCAAAGTTGGGCAGCCCTCTTTTGCGCTAGCCTCAACTTCTCAGTGGCTTCCTCTCGTGTATGCCACCCAAGCCCTATACAGCTTCGCAGCATCCTCTCGTGCAAGTTCAGTGGCATCCTCTCGTGTCTGCCACTCAAGTACCAACTGCTCTTCAATATCCTATATCTCCACATTCGCACTCTCTCATTAGTTACAAAGAAGCTCAGCCTATGACTCGGTTCTCGTGCAAGTCACCTAGTAAGCCTCTGCCACGATAACTACTTTTCGAGACTATACGTAGCTCGGCGTATAACTCTGCTCTCGTGCAAGTCACCTACTAAGCCTCTGCCATGAGAGCCACCTCCCTAGACTATACGTAGCTCGGCCTATGACTCTGTTTTTGCGCAAGTCTCTGCCACAGCAGCCACCTCCTAAGACTATACGTAGCTCAGCCTATGACTCTACTCTGGCATAAGTCACCTACCATCCTCGATACTATACATAGCTTGGCCTCAGCTCATGCGTCCCTCCCACGAGATGCCCACAACTCTAACTTTACTTTCACGCAAACAGCATACCCTTCTCTCCAGGTAATCATGTTAAATTTTTTAATGTTGAGATAACATTGTCTTTGCCAGACACATTGTTGAAGCTTAGGTCATCTAAAACTGAGCCACTATTAGAAGCAGGGTGAAGCCACAATCCCCGTAGAAATTGCAATAGAGTCTTAACTCATGTAGCGGTACAAAGGGCTAGTTCTGGTACACAATCTGGGAAGGAGTATGGGCACCACCTGATCTTACTCCTGCGAAGCAACCTAGCCATCAGACCTCGACCGAGGGGCATTGGGGACATCAAACATTGCCCTCTTGAGAGGAGATGAGGGAAAGACGCCACCCTAAAAGCAAAGAGAGTCCTCAGATCAACATTTAGAGACAAGGTCAGTTAGTGACCAAGCACCAGGGAGGCGCCGCCCATAGCAAGACTCAAGGCGTCCTCCAAACACAGCAGTGCCCAAGACCTCCTAGCGTCGCTCAAGGCGCCCTGCCAACATCTTGGCATCACCCAAGGAGCCTGTCCAACCTCGGGCATCTCTCAATACGCTGCCTAGCCTCCTGGAATTGCCTACGACGCCCTACCAACCTCTTGGCGTCGCCCAAGACGCCTGTCAACCTCCATTGGCGTCCACAGCAGCTTCCACCATCGCCCAAGACAATAAAAAAAAAATATTTAGGAAAAGGCCAGCGCGCAAAAAAAAAAAAGAATAAGGAGGCGGCGCCTAACCAAACCAAGAAAGAAGAAGAAAAAAAAAAGAGAGAAAGGGATGCCCATGAAAAAGAGGCGGCGCCCAAGCAAAAAAAAAAATGAGAAGGAGGCGGCGCCCAAGAGGAAGAAAGAAAAGAAAAAAAAAAGAGGGGAAGTAAAGGGCGACGCCCAAGCAGCCATGGAGAAGGAAAAAAAAAAGAGAAAGAAGGAGCAGCGCCCAGGCCAGACCAAAGGAAAAAAAAAAAAAATATATATATATATATATATATATTTGAAGAAACCCAAGAGGTGGCGCCCAACCAGGAAGCCTAAGCCAAAGAAAGGAAAAAAAAAAGTGTGTGAAGGAGGCGGCGCCCAAGATGAAGAAAGAAAGAAAAAAAAAAAGAAGAAAGAAGAAGAAGAAGAAGCAGGTCAGCGCCTAGGAAGGCTAAGAAGAAAAGACAAAAAAAAAAAAAAGAGGAGAGAAACAGGGGTCTGGCTCGTCTGCGGTTGGGAGCTTACCACATATTATGCGGTTAAGTGAAATGGCAGCGTTTCACTGGCTTTTGCAATTTTTTTTTATTGACCTCACCAAAATGACGTCGTTTTGGTCTAGCTAAAAACCTTATCTGCAGTCCTTCTTCTTTGTTATATCTGTATATATCTATAGCTGCTGCCATGACTTCTCAACGAAGTTAAACAACACAGAAAAATTACACTAAATTATACAGAAAGAGAAACTAGCAAGAACCAAAGAACAAGAAAGAGATCTGAAAAAAGAGGACCTAAAAACAACCTGTTTCTTGTGCCAAAACTAAAGAACATGTATATTAGACCCCCTTCTTCCCCTTTCTAAAAACCCCGCTTCTGAGATCCCTTTCTGTCATCTTCTGTCTTTCAAACTTACAATTTTGGGGGTTTGTTTTAGCTGATCTTAAACATATTTGAACACAAAACAAGAAAACCCATAAGGGTGTTTTTGAAAACTAGCTGATTCAAAATAGAGATCCAAGTTTTTTATGTATTTTTTTTTGATTTAATTTCTTCAAAACAACCAAGAGGGTTTGTTTTTCTGCCCCTCAGGTTGGTATTTGGTTTTCTTAAGCTTGTGCAAGTTTATTTTCTGTGTAAAAAATTGCTTTTTCTAATACACTTGTTCTTTAGTTTTGGTACAAGAAACATGTTGTTTTTAGGTCCTCTTTTTTCAGATCTCTTTCTTGCTCTTTGGTTATTGCTAGTTTCTCTTTCTGTATAATTTCATGTAATTCTTCTGTGTTGTTTAACTTTGTTGAGAAGTCATGACAGCAGCTATAGATATATACAGATATAACGAAGAAGAAGGACTTCAAATTAGATTTTTAGCTGGACCAAAACGACGTCGTTTTGGTGAGGTCAATAAAAAAAATAAATTGCAAAAGCCAGTGAAACGCTACCGTTTCACTTAATCGCATAATATGCGGTAAACTCCCAACCGCAGACGAGCCAGACCTAGAGAAACAGTCTGGAGAACGCCAGCCCAACAAGCAAGGATAACCAAGAAAGGAAAAAGACCAAAAAAAAAAGAAAAGAAAGAAAAGAGCCAGCAAGAAAAAAAATGTTGAAAAGTCAAATAAAGTGGGAGGCGCCCGATCAGCCCATCCAAGAAAAAAATAAAAAAATAAAAAATTTGTTCGATACCGATCAATACAGCGGAGTCCTGAAGACAAAGAAGATTTCGACTCACTCCAATGAAGACGAAGCACATGCATGCGGCACCTTCCTCTTGAAAAATGCAGAGGCTCGGGGCATAGAGGTTAAATGATGAGTTCGAATTTGACTGGGTCAGGCCCAATAAAAATAAGTCAAGAAAGCCCAGAGAAAAGTCCAAGAACAGATGGATCGACCAAAGAGTCAAGTGGGAGTCCAAAACAGAGACCACACCATGTGGCCTCAAGTGGGCGCCGTCCATGCCTTGCCCATCCTCCCCTCCTCACTTCACTCCAATGCAAGTCCAAGATCACTCTGAGTTTAAGCCCAAAGTCAAGTACGAGCTCAGTCCAGTTCAAGACCCTCTTCTGAAGAAATAGGAGTACGAGGGAGAAAATATCGGAATAAGTACGAAGATCTCCTACCATAGTTGTATTTACTAAAACAATAGTAGTTTTTCTCTTCACGTCACCGCCTCATCACACCTATATAATGTTAGCCCTCTCCATATAGAGAGCAGATTCTTATATCCCTACACACACTACACATTCCTACATGCATTTCTCTTTTTTTTTTTTCTCTCTCTCTCCAAAGCATTGTAATACTCCTGGAAAATACTCACTCCGATGACTTCATTTATTAATAAAAAATCCAGGTCATCGCTGCCATTCTCAAGAGTGGAGTAGGTCACCCAGATCGAATCACTATAAATCTTTGTGTTGATTGCTTATTTACTGTTTTTATCCATTGATTGCTCATTAATCACACTCGTTAATATCCTTGACTGTTGATCTTACACAAGACAATTTTGTGCATCATCAGTGCTATTAGCAAACTTTACTGGTGTTTCCCAAGCCTAAACATTCGGTTACCCAGCCCAAAGTTAAGCCCCAAAGTCCAAAGACTTAATGATTCTCTCTCTCTCTCTCCCCTTTTAATCTCTTGCTTCTTTTTCATATGATGAGATAAAAATATAGATTAATAACAAGAAGAATAAGAAGAACGAGAAAGAGCAAAAAGATAAACCATGGATTAAGACTGCTAAAGGCCCATCAAGTCTTGAGTTACGAACAGTCCAAGGTCCGCTCTTCCATCGTCTTCGGTAACTGACCATTCCACAGTCCAGCCCAAAAGAAGAAGGGACCCTTTGATTGATGGGCTGGGCCATCTCTTCGTGGTGTTGCAACTTTGCTATGCCTCGTAGGCCTTTTCCAGTTCAGGATGGCAGCGGCCCATATCCGCAGCAAAATCCAGGACCGTATATGGGGCGAAGTATGCTGTACGTCCAGCAAAAAAAACAGTAATATGAAAAACTTAACCAATACGACGCCGCATTTATTTAGCTTTCATTAATGTGACCGATAGCTTCACCAAATCTGTGTGCCACACACATCTACAGACAGCCCTACCAGGGGTTACTATATATAATGTGCCCTAGTTCGCCATTGGCCTCATCTTCAAAGTTCAGACAGTACCACCAGCGGGTTAGTATATATAATGCGCCATAGTTCGCCATTGGCCTCATCTTCAAAGCTCAGACAGTACCACCAGCTAAAATACATAACGGCAATTTCACCGAACCGCGTGGACATGGTTACTATCAGAGAATGAAGAAGCATTTGCTGGTTAGGGCACTCTCCAAAACCCTAACCCCAACCCTTTCGTCCCGTACCTTGACTCGCTCACTCGCTTCTTCTTCTTCAACAACAACATCGTCCTTCGCCTTGAAGAATGTCACGAAATCCAACTTCGAATCAGCTCTCAACGACCTTAAAGGCCTTGTCCGAGATGCCGACTTCGTTTCGATCGACCTGGAGATGACCGGGGTCACCAGCGCTCCGTGGAGGGAGTCGTTCGAGTTCGACCGGTTCGATATTCGGTATCTCAAAGTCAAAGACTCCGCCGAGAAGTTCGCTGTCGTTCAGTTCGGCGTCTGTCCCTTCCGCTGGGACCATTCCAAGCAGTCTTTCATTGCTCACCCGTCAGTTCTTCTTCTCATTTTGCTCGTAGTTTGTATTGGTTATTTGTTTTGGTTATGGAACGGAAGGAAATACTTTAAAAGGTTGTGTTTTATCCTAGTTTTCATCACATTGTGTTTTTACTCTGTTTATTGCTGAGAAAACCGAGGTATCCCTTTCGCTTGTTTTTTACTTAATTCTTACTTAATTCTCTTCTGTTGTGTTGGGTTGCTGAGAGTACAAGACCTTTGAAATGAACAGAAAAGGAAAATTCTCTTTCTTTATTCTTCAGTTTACTGAGTTTTGTATGCTACAAAGATGCTTTATTGCTTGATGGAAAATACTAACTTAGACAAATGTGTGCTAAATTTAATATCATAAGTTTGACTATGTGATGTCTCTTGACAGGCACAATTTTTATATATTTCCACGACAAGAAATTCCGGTTGGTGGCCCACCTTACGAGTTTCTGTGCCAGACCACGTCAATCGATTTCTTGGCAAGATACCAGTTTGATTTCAATGCATGTATACAAGAAGGTAATTCATTTTGCTACCTACTCTGTGCTTGATTTGGCTGCAGTGGTGTGCCAAATGAGGATCATGAATCAGTGTTTGATGCACACACTTTAGTATTAACAGCTAGTTTCTGATTCCAGTTCTTGGTTTGGTGTGGACCTGCATTAAGGATAGGATGATCTGTAGTACCTAAAAAGATGATTACATGAGCAAAATAATGGCATCCGACCTTCAACTCTTGGTTTCAAATACCTATATTTGTGTACCCTTAATATGAGACAATGGAACCTTGAGAGATGCGCATTGTAATAAACCATCACTTATGGGGACAGTATACACAGTCTTGTTTATTCTTGTGTTGGGTAATCTTTGAGTGGCTTTTAATTAGGTGGATTTTGCCACTGGTAGAGGCAATCCTGCTTTTGAGAATTATATATACTAAGCTGAATTCTGTCATGATACCCCGTTATGATTCTCCTATTGCTTTTACCTTGAGATTTTACATACTTGGATAATCTCAGGAGTATCTTATTTATCCAGAGGGCAAGAAGATGAAGCACTGAAATGCTTAAAATCGGCATATGAGAATGAGTTGTCAGAGTCATTCTGCACTTCAAGAGAAGTTAGAGAGACACCGTTTGTTAGAATGGCAGATGTCCTATTCACTGAGAGAATGAAGAACAAAATCAGTAACTGGCGTGATGGCTTATTAAGGGGTAAACTTGGAGGTTCTGATTTCCAAAAGACCTCAAATGGCTTAAATCAGCAATTTCAAACCATTTTCTTCAAGATGCATCCAGCTCTTACTCTGAATGGGTTTACTTGTCACCAGCTAAGGTTAATTCAGTTGGTAATGTTTTCTATTTTCCTTCAAATGTTCTATCTAGAGTTCATGTATTGGTTGAGAATCATGAATTCATGATAGTTATGATTACTAATGTGTAGAACTGGGAATAGCAGGTCACCAAAAAGCATTTCAAAGATCTTGCTTATGTCCGTTTGAATGGTGAAGATTCCTGTTTACAGCCATTGATTGTCTACACAGACTCCAAAAATGACAAGGACTTGCTCATGGTATGATGCTAATTCAAAGCCTTGGAAAAGAAGAGCTATTCCTAAGTTCATTTGCATTTGAATATGTCCCCACTTCTCTTTATTGGAATAATGTGAAATATGTTGGCTTTTTAATGTCTTTATCAATGTTTAGTGATTCTTCCATGTGCTTTTTATATTTATTCTGCTCTCTCTAGCGGTATCTTATGTTTCTGAGAGGCCTCTAGAGTCTGATGTTCTTCATGGATATGCTTATTGGATATTCAATGTAAAGTTATAACTCAGAAGCAGGGAGATCATTAGTAAATGACAGCAGTAATAACGAGCGATAATGATTTCAGTGCATTGTGTAATTTTATCTGCAACTTATCCTTACAAATTGCATCTTTTGCAGACAGAGGTGAAGGATAGCCTTCGCATAGAAGCAGAGATGAAGATCAAAGCTGCAGTTGGATTTCGGCATGTTATTGACCTTCTTTCCTCAGAACAGAAGTTGATTGTTGGTCACAATTGCTTTCTTGGTACAAATAGCTTTCCTAGTTTTGTCAAGAGTTAATATTTTCATTGTTCTTATCACTCAAATGCTTTGTCCATATGATACAGATATTGCACACGTATACAGTAAATTCTTAGGTCCTCTTCCATTGACGGCTGAAGAATATGTCTCCTCTGTTCATGCATATTTCCCATTCTTAGTTGACACAAAAATACTTTTGAATGCAAACATTATATTTCAACAAATGATGAGGAAGAGTGGCACCTCGTTATCCAAAGCATTTACCTTATTGTGTCCACAAATTGCTTCTGGTTTGTCTCATAAGCCATGTATTAAGGTGGAGGTTCAAGTGGACAATATGAGGTTAGCTTCCTCCTGTATATGTACTGTAGTCTTAAAGCACTTCAACTTACTCTGTTAATATTCCATTATGTTTTGTTTTGATTTGTTCATGTGCTGCCACAAGCTGGCGGAACTGTTTCTTTTAACTATCCACATGCAAGGCCTCTTACTCATTTTTTGGAAGATAAAATGAAGTTGCCTTTCAGTTTAATGTATTCTGCCTGTTTTTTAGAATAGATTCATATCCCTTAGTTTGATATTAAACTCTGGACTATATCTATATGTACTCGAACAATGGCTTGCATGATGGACTTCTCCCTACCCCACTTTTTTTTTTCCTTTTTCCCATTTTTTCGTGTGTGTCTGTGCGTTCTTGACTTCTTTCAGTCAGCAAGAGCTTTCTTTACAATGTTGTTCTTATTTGATGGGAGTTGCAGATGATGCGATAAAAATTAAATAATGTGAAACTACCACATGTTTAAGCTCCAATGAATGTTTTGAGAGAAGTTCAGGGAACACAAAGATACCTTTTCTAGAACAAAAGAAGGAATGTTAAGACAAGGAGTTCGATTCATATGAGTCATAGATGAATAAATTGAGCTTAGCAATTTATCAGCACCAAAAAAAAATAAAATGAAAGAATGTCATGCACTTGAGCAAGTTTCTTATGAATTGTAGACATGACCTGAGCTTCATGTTGGAATGAATACCTTTTTTTTTTTTTTTTTTTTATGTTGTTAATGATCATAATCTAAAACTCAATGCACAATGCAGACAGTACTAGAATATGAACACATGCCCGTCTTCTTACATGCAATTGGCATCTGGTGAAATGTATATGGTAGATACAAATGCATTTATTGTGCATCTCCATTGATATAGGATGCGAATAATGAGAATTATGACAGATGATATAATAAACCATTTCCCCAGGAGGAACCCTTCGTTTTGATTCTTTTTGAACCTGATTGAGTGATTAGCCAAGAGTTATCCCTCCTGTCACTAAGAATGGAACTACATTTGCAGGTCCTCAAACTGGAATTCTGGAGCAAAACATGAGGCTGGTTATGATGCTTTTATGACAGGGTGTGTTTTTGCCCAGGCATGCACTCATCTTGGTGTTGATTTCAATCTAAACTCACCATCAACAAATTTGGCCGACCATGAGAAGCTTCAGAAGCACATTAATCTTCTCTATCTCAGCTGGACTAACGGAGACATTGTCAATTTAAGGACCGGTAGACGGACAGCGGATTCTTCAAGTTCTAACTATCTCAAATACCGGTCTCCAAATATTTTATTCTCTAACATTGCTCTAGTTTGGGGATTCCCATCCAAGCTCAAGGCAAGGGAGATAAGAGAATGCATGACTAAAGCTTTTGGCCCAACCTCTGTTACTTCTGTCTACCACTTGGACGACACTGCAGTGTTTGTTCAGTTTAACAAGGCGGAACTGGTCTCTGATTTTCTGGAATTGAAGGAAACCTTAGAAAGAACCAACGATCCAATCTCGGTTTTGCATCCCCTCTCAAAACTTTTGGAAGGCGGAGGTACTCGTGCTTCCAGTTACGAGATTTATAAAGAGATTTGCAGTTCACCCATATCAGAAGTGTTGTTTGCGAATCAGGCTGAGGCAATTGGTATTAAATGGAAAACCAAATTGTTAGAATCTAAGGTAGAATTGGAAGCTCAAGAAGATGGAAATTGTAGCAATGGCATAGATACTGTTCTTGATTTACCTGACAGAACCGAGGCACAGCAGACAAACAATGTGATGGATGCTCCATCATGTGCCCGTTTCCCCGGTGATGAACTCATAGATTCTTTGTATCCTGCTGAAGCTCAGCTTGGCAAATAGATTAAATGTTCGAATTTTTGATTCTCCAGGCCTAGGCTGTAGATCTTGATTATATACAGATATATCATTATGTCATTTGCTTTTTTTTGTCAACAATAACATCCATTGAAGAATGTTCTGTACAAGTAAAATCTCTAATGTATTAATGCAAGGATCGTAACAAAAGGTACCTCCAAACATGCACAACAATACAGGTGTCATTCTTAGAAGCAATGTTTGAATCTTTAGCCCAAAGCATTTCTGATTTTGGTTCATTGGGGTCACCTGGTTCTTGTTGCCTCCTTTTGCTATGGGGTTTGCTCAAATATGGAGGCAGAATTGAGGGCCTTGAGGGATGGTTTGGTGTTAATTGATAGGTATGGTCTTTCAGGTTATCAGTTCCAGATTGAATCGGATTCTGAGGTGTTGATTCATATGGTTTTAAAAGGGCATCATAGGGCTTGGACGTTTTGGGGTTTATTGGGACAAATTTTGGGCCATTGGGAGAAGATGGATTTCAGTTTGCTGCATGTATACAGGGAATCTAATTGTCTGGCAGATTTTTTCGCTAATCTGGCTGTGATGAATGGCTTCTCCTCTGATTTTTTACAGGATCTTCATGTTCCTATGCAAGCAAAGCTACTGATGTTGCGTGACCAGCAAAGTCTGAAGGTGCTGAGGAAAAAAAGGAAATTTCTTTGATTTTCTTTTCTATGTTTTCCTGTATAGTTGTTGATTTTGGGAGGCTATTGGTGTTATGCTATTGGTAATTTGGCATTTTGAAGGATTAAAGCCAGTAGGGTTTGATGATAGGATGTTTGCAATATTTGTTTCATGTAATTTTTTTTAATTCTTTGAAATAAAATTTTTTCTTTGTTGTAAAAAAAAAAAAAAAATTGTTTGGATTTCTTTACATCGAATCTTTAGCCCAAAGCATTTCTGATTTTGTTTTTTTTTTTTTGGGTACTGTGGTCAATTTTAGCACCAGGGTAGCCCCCTCCTGCATAAACTCCTCTTTACCTGGATGAGGACAGGTTTGGGCTAGCTGACACTTGCAATTTCATGCTGAATTTTTTTTTTTGCCTGGTAGATAATTTAATTGTGATGTTACTGATTCTTTGACTTGTATCTGAGCTTTGGCAGGTAAAAAGCTATAGCCTGATGGATTGACAGCATGTAATGTATCAAGTCAATCAGGTGAGTGGTTTATTAGTTTTAAATCTGGAAGATGCACAGTTGTTCTCCTTATGAACCTATTAACGTGTTTAATTTGTTTGTTCCTAGCAACCTATATTGCTTGTTCGATGTGAAGTAAAGGACGTAATTTTGGTCGAGAAGTTATGCTTACGACAACCAAAACACAGTAAGTTCTCCAATGCCATTGAAGCCTATGAAGGCAATCGTCAATCAATTACAGTACTACAGGAAAGATCAAATTAAACAACTGTGAAAGCAAAGTCCATCCGAAAAGGAGGACTAGAGGAATCATCAACACTAGTTCATAAACAAATAGAGAATGACAAAAACGGCTCCAAAAGCAGTCATGAAGTAAGATGCAACAGAGAGCTTGGTGGTGGAATTCAGTCCCAGCCCAGGGGGTCCCCAGTCATCCGAATCCCAGCCATCCCCTCCGCCTCCATTCCCACCACAGGCAATAGGTGAGGGTGCAGATTCTGGTGGCTCAGGTGCGGGTTCTGATGGGCTAGTCTCAGTGTCGTGGATTACATCGATAATTAGTTTTTGACCAGCTTTGCAGTGACCAGACTGCCCACTGATGAAATAGAAGAATCCCGAGTGATCAAGTTGAAAAACTGTATTTCCATCTTCAAATTTGAAGATTGGGTTCGATGAAATGCAGTATCTGTAGCCTGTGGAATTCACTACCAGCACCGAGTCTCGTTGGTACTTGAAATCTGAAACCACAAAACAAGCAAAACACCAACAAAAATCCTAAGAAAAATCGTTCAAGTCAGTCCATAAAATGATCCAAGGTGACTTTGTAAACTTACAAATTGTATCTCCAACATGGAATCTATTCTTGGAAGCCCAGTGATTGTACGTCTCAGTCTCGTTGGTGGTCGGTTTTTCCCAACCTCTCTCACCTCCAACTTGGAACTGGAAGGAAGACACCAAGACTGTGGAGATGGAGATCAAGAGAAGAGGGGAAAGTAAAACCAAGTTGAAGGCATTATTAGAGGTTGCAGGAAAAGAAGCCATTAGAGATATGTGTTTTGAGTCAGCCGACGGAGCAAAACAAAGTAGAAGCAGAGGGGAAGAAGAAAAGATAGTTGCATTTTGAGATTTATAAGAGGGGAAGGGAGAAGAGTGGGCTGTCATGGCAGTTAAGACTGTTATTTTTCACTTTGGGTGGACACGAAGGTGGGGAAGTGGGTGTGGGCAGTTAAGCTTAGAGGACTTCTTGTTTAGATCAGTGAACACGAAGAACTGTTAAAAAAAAGGGTTAATTGCAAGTTGCACCTCGAAAGATAGTTTGAATCTTAAGTTAAATTTTTAAAGATCAAAAATTTTAATTTGTACCCTCAAAAATAGAAATTGGTATCAATGTACACCCCTAAAGATTAAAATTTTTAATTTGCACTCTCAAAAATAGAAATTTGTATCAAGGTGCACTTAAAACTAAATTTGATAAATTATACTTAGATTTTCTCATGCTTGTCACTTAATCATTTAGACCATTTCACATTTAGAATATTATTCCTACATCTTATGATGTTTATGCACATGTAACACGTAACCCCTTTCGTTGATATCGGTTAGTATAACTGTTAAAAAATATGATTTTATCATAATAAAAAATTATAATTTCATATTACTCTTTATTTTGTGGGTCTGATATAATCTAAAATTCAAAATCAAGTTTATCATTTGAATGTCTAATAGAATGTAGATATTTATATAATATTTTTTATATACAATGCAATATATTATTCAATGTACTACCCTTTATTCTATTAGACATTCAAATGGTAAGTTTTATTTTGAACTTTAGAGTTTATTGGACCCATAAAATAAAAGGTAATATAAAATTATAATTTTTTATTAGAATAAAATCATATTTTTTAACGGTTATATTAATAGATATCAACGAAAATGGGTTACGTGTTACACATGCACAAACGTCATGAGATGTAAGAGTAATATTTTAAATGTGAAGGGGTCCAAATAATTAAGTGACAAGTATAAGAGGATCTAGGTATAATTTATCAATTTAGTTTTAGGTTCATATTGATACAAATTTCTATTTTTGAAGGTGCAAATTAAGATTTTTTTATCTTTAGGGGTGCACATTGATATAAATTTCTATGTTTGAGGGTGCAAATTGAGATTTTTGATCTTTAGGGGTACACATTGATACAAATTTCTATTTTTGAAGGTGCAAATTAAGATTTTTGAGGATGCAAATTGAGATTCGAACGATCTTTCAAGGTACAATTTGTAATTAATCCTAAAAAAAGAAAAAAAAGACATGAAGGGGCCCTTTATGTTTTGGCGAGAAAATGACGGTTAAATAGTGGTACAATTGGCCAAAACCACCAATCTGATGTGTTTTTTTTTTTTTTTTTTTTTGGGGGGGGGGGGGAGTTGATGGAATCAAAATTTACTAAACGTAAAAGATAGTAATATGATTGAAAAATTTGTGTCACGCTACGTTGTTGAGTTATATCAAATCAACCCCAAGTTCATTTTATTATCTTGAGGACTTAAATCTATGTAACTCAGTCACTCCTCCTCCTCCCAAATCAATGTGGGATGCAACACATAAAGTTATAACATCACCTCATCTCGCAACACGGGCGAAGCTACACAATTTTTTTTAATATTATATGTATATTCATAATGATATATTTTAAAAATTATACATATATTTTTTACTTGTACCCACCTTACAATTGACATTCATTTAATTTTTTTTTTCTATGAGAAATCATTATTATTTTTATTTAAGTATTGATTATAGACTTTATTATGTGTCAATCGATTTTCAATGTTTTGATTTTTTTACTATGTTTGGAACATCGTTAATTAAATAAATTTAATGGGTTGTTAGTGAATAACTAATTTTTTTAATTAAAAAAATAACAATTAGATCGACTTTTTATAATTGTGATAATTGGTCATTTTTTATACATATATAATATACATTATTTTTGGCATTTTTTTTTATGTTAAATGGACTTCATGTATCAAATATGATATAATAAATATAAATCTATTATATAGTGTGATTGGTTATGAGAAAAAAAATTAAAATACCTTATTAAAGTGTCCACCATAACCAAAATTTCTTACTTCTCTTTGCCTTGCAAGACCTTTTTGATTTGATTTGGATTCACCGATCTAATCACCAATTCTCCATAATAATTGTAATTATTATGTTATCAATAGGTCTCTGCATTAAATATACTATAGTGTTACAATATATTATGTTCCAATAGTATTAATGTAAATTCTATTACATGATCATCACCATTTTAAGTTTTTTAATGAACAATGCTATTAAAACTTAATTTATTGACCTAATTTATTATGATTTTTGAATTGATTGTGAGCCCTATCAAGTATTAGAACTTGGTGTTGATCCAATGGTTTTACTAAATTCACATCATTATATTAATAAATTATGTCAAATTTTTAAACCCAAATAACATTACTCTTTTTTAATTTCATGTATATTATTTTTTGGGTTAAAGATATACATTTTTTAGAAAGTAGTGACACTTGGGCCAGGAAATCCCGGCCTGAAGGCTAGGCTGGCCTCCAGTCTCATCCATCTATACCATCTGGTCCCACCTCCACACTCCATCATTAGCAGCTGACCCAGCCCGCGAGCACCCCTAAGTAAGGACTTCGGCCTCTGGGCTGGGACCTTCAGCAGCTGGCCCAGCCCATAGATAACCCTACTTCAGTCTTCAAGACTTGGGTCCCAAACCATGCAATTACAGTAGACACAGACCCTTCTTGGATGCCAGCAACAACCGGTCACCATCTCACTACATTTAGCTAAACTGACATGACATTTAGTAGTTCTTAAATTCTTCTATATACCCAAACTCAAATTAAAACAAAAGAGTTCTCTACCACCTGACAAAGGCCATAGAGTTAATGCACATTTTTTCTGCCTGGTAGAACCAGCAAGGAGTCTTCAATACTTTGACTGAGAAATCTCCGATCAAATTTAACAGATTCTCTAAATATATAGAAAGAAATTGTTAAATTTTTTGGTACGGTTAAAAATAGGTTATTTATGTCGATACTAGAATATTCATGAAGGATAAATCTCTGATAATTTAACTCTAAAAAATTGTTAAAATTCGAACTCAGAACGTCTACGTTTACAGTTCGTCTTTATTACCACTTAAACTATCTCTTACAATTAAATTGTCAAAAATAAACGAGAGTATAGACTATTAGTTTTAGATATCCGAATCTTGTCTCACATTTTTTCCCTTCAATTATTTTATAATGGATTATTTATCATTAATAAGTGAAGAATCCGCATCTATATGATAAGTTTTATTTGAATAGATGGTATTGAAGCAATTTCACTCCAATTTTTACCACTTATGGCCTGTCACAGATCTTGCGCTACTGGCCTTGGCCTGTCCTCAAGGCTGGCTTATAAATTGGCAAGCCTTGAACCTTCATGATCTCACGATTCCACTGCATCGATAGAGTTACTTGCTAATACGTCTCTCTCTCTCTCTCTCCTCTCTCTAGGTCTCTCTTTTTCTCTCTCCGCTTCATCTTCTCCTACCCTAATTGCCTCTCGGTCGTGCAAATCACTTTATTGCTTCTAACTATCCATGGAAGAGAATAAATTTGCATGACATATGTTAAGTAAATAAAGAGTAAAGGTTACCCTAATTCATGAACACTTGTGGTGCATGTCTATGGTGATAGTGATATACTTATTTGATTGGATGAAGCATGCATGCTTTTTTTTGTGTGTGTTTTTTTTATCTTTCTGATGCACTGATCTCATGGTCTTCTACTGCAGATCGAGATGGAAAAACGAAAGCAGTTTTGGCTGTGCAGCGACGCTGATGATGGTGGATGAGAGTTGTTGACAGAAGAGAGAGAGCACAACCCGCCATTAGCTAAAGAAAGTCTTTGCCTTTTGTGGGAGTGTGCTCTTTCTTCTTCTGTCATCATCACCCACCTTGCTTCAATGTGACTAGCTATCACCATTGATCCTGATCAACCATAGCCAAGTACTTAATAGCATCACTCTTTCTCATTTCCTCAGTCCTTATTTGGTTTTCCTTCTTTCTCTATCTACTTCAGTACTTCATTAGGGTTTTTCAATGGGGGTTGGGGGTGGTTGGGGAGTGTACTTTTCTAATACTAGATGGTAAGATCATGAAGCAAAAGAGGAGAAATGGAGATTAGTGGAACACAAATCTGTAGAATTTAAAGAAATAGCTGGCTTTTGAGAATCAAACATAAGTTTAATGACTTATTTGGTAAAGAGGTATCATCCATTACCATTGATATAAGGGTTTTTAGATGCCAGATTTTGGGTTGATTTTTTCAATAATATTGTATTTTCTTGGGGTTTGAAATGTCTCTTAATCTAATTTTTGTCCCTAGCATTTCCATGAATTTAACTGTTTCAACCCATAAAAATTAAAGAAAAAAATCCTTATTTACTTTTCTTTTTAAGAGTTTCCTATAAATAAGGTTAGAGTTTCTTAGAAATAAGATCAAATTAAAAATTTTAGATGCCAAGTTAACAGACCAAACAATATACTTGCACTGTTGCATAATGCTAGTAGCTAGAATATCTTAGTTAAATTCCCAACTTCATCAATTTTAATTCCCTTTTTTTTTTTTCCTTTTTGTGATGCCTACTGAATTCATGGTGTGTGTTTTTTTTTGGAATAGGCATGGTGGGGTTTCAATGCCTTCTTTTTCATCCGGTTATCGTGGAGATTTTTTGAGTGCAAACCAGTAATGGGGAAGCAAGCTTAGATACGCAAATGATACGAAAGGTCCCTAACTCGTTCTCATCCTATTATTGTCATTATTGGCAAGGCAGTCGTCCCATTGTGATAATGGATATATTTTACTTGACTTTTTTGTTGGGACATTCATGAATAGGCTTGACACCATATATGATGACTATGTTAAGCCAACCAGAAAGAACTAATCAACTCTGGAACACTGAATATGACTTCCATCACCTCTAGTGGAGGTGCTTTGTCACAATAGTCAATATGTGTGAACTGTGAGGTTATTGAGATTTATCATATAAGAAGAAGGCTTAAACTGCTTTTGCTTTTCTACACCTTCGTTTATCATGGGCATGCACAGGAGCGCTGCTAATTTATACACAAAATAATTATTTTTTTGGGATAGAGATGACTTTGTAGAGCCTTTTCTCCTGCTTTTCTCAATTTACAAGATAATTAGCATACTTAACTAATTTTTCTTTCGAAAAATCAGTTTTTGTCACCTTATAACTTTGTATAATTCTCTTTCTTATTTTCGAAAATGATAAACTGAGAGAGGGGAAAAGAGACGATGAAAATACAGTTAGGAGCAAAGTAGACGGGTTATAAGTTTTGTGCATTGCAGGGCGTGTGTTGGTGTCTTAACTTGCTTTTTCATCTTTCTGGGGTTTGCACATTTTCTGATGGACTATTTTTGAAACATACAGATCAGCATAATCCCCTTTTGGTGGAAGAAACCTAGAGTTCAAGAGTTATCCAAATCGTTTATTCCTTTGGATCAGCATTGAAGATATGTACAAATAGTATTTTTATATGACTTTTCATGATATGAATGGTCAAATGAGAGTGCCTTTAGTCGTTATTTGCGAGCTTATGATGAGACCTCTCCCTCCACTTGGGCATTTATTTTTTAGTAAAAATTGACTTTTTATTAGGATTTAAATGACATGACACTAAATGAAGAAGTTTAAGTCAATTGTCATGTTATTTGAGTTCTTAATTTGGTCAGTGTAGCATTATTGATTATTTTTTATTTGTTCTTTTGATAACCCAATCCAAGGCTATTTCAACTATGTATCATTTTGACTTATGTATGTTATTTGTAGCGTAAATTTAAAATGCGCGGAATCACCTATAAATCATGTGTTTCAGGTCGACCATCACAAGATGAGATGAATGTTCAAGATCACGTTTGAAGTACTACAAAAGATGCACAGAGTTTGCGGCGTGGGTGGTGGGGTTTTTGTTTTTTTTTGGTTGGGGGGGGGGGGGTGGGTTCAATAGGGATAAGCATTAATTGGGTTCATGTTGATGTCATTCTGTACTGTATTATGATATGCAATTCAGTTTTTCATCTTCTTCTTGTCATTTCTCAACTATTTTTATCTTCTCCCAAATCTTTGTTTCCCTGTAGAAAAAGGTGGTTGGAAAAAATAGTCTTGAAAGCACTAAAAGCTCACCAAGGTGAAACGATTCGAACCTAAACAGATGTGTTGAACAGACTGTAGCACTACATTGAGAACCTTTAAGTTCCTTAGATGAGGCTTAGACTAATCTGTAATGGATTTTTGGACAATTATATTACTTCTTCTCTGGGTGGGAGCATTTGTAGGTGTAAATTTTGTGATCATGAAGCAACTAACACACTCTTGTCAAATACAGATTTTGCAATATATATTGCTGCACATATCAAAATAATGCAGATTTCTCCCTTGTCTACAATCTTCTGTTTCTTTTTTTCCCTTACAATTAAATCGAGAATAGGAAAGCGAAGAAATTTGTACTGCCGGGTGAGTCATGGTGTCTTACATTCAATACGTAACAAGTATAGATACTTTGACCTGAATGAAATGTCCGTTTTCCATAGACTGCGACTGAAGCAACTAATCAACAAAATAAAATAATTCACAAATTAACTTGCTCAACACAGGAGAAACATAAAAAGGAGACCTCAACCAACTTTGATCATAGACAATGGCTCAGGAGTCTCAAATTCATCGCCATCTGAAACAATATCTTCAATGCTCAAAGGCAAAAAACCACTAGAGAAACTGAGGGTAGGTTTCAACTTTGGTACTCTAATAGTCTCAGCCTCGTTATTAAGAATCTGCAACACTCTGCTCATTGTAGGCCTCTCTGTGCTATCTGGGTGAACACAGCTCAAACCCACAAGCAACAGCTTCCTCATCTCTTCCTCTTTAAAATCACTATTCAACCTTTTATCTGCTGCTTCAACAATCCTTCCTTGACCATACAATCCCCAAACCCAATCAACCAAATTCACCATTCTCTGACCTACTGTTTCTCTCTCAATTGGCCTTCTCCCACAAGTCACTTCAAGTACAACCACACCATAACTAAAAACATCCGTTTTGTCGGTTGCTTTGCCATACTGAAGATACTCAGGAGCAAGATAACCCATTGTTCCGGCTGTTAGAGTGGACACTGGAGACTTGTCATGATCCATGAGCCTTGCCAATCCAAAATCTCCGAGCCTTGGATTAAAGTTTGGATCAAGCATAATGTTACTGGTCTTTATGTCTCTGTGGATTACTTGCTGTTCACATTCTTGATGGAGGTAAGTCAGAACAGAGGCCAACCCAATTGCAATGTTGTATCTGTATGGCCATTTCAATGGGTTACCCAATTCAGATTCTTGGTATAGTATCTTATCAAGACTCCCATTGGACATAAACTCATACACAAGTAGCAATTCACCCTTCTCAACACACCAACCTTGGAGCTGAACTAAATTTTTGTGCCTCAAACGAGCAATAATGGACAATTCAGATAAGAATTCAGTTTTACCTTCATGAGAATGCTTGGATCTTTTCACTGCAGAAACAGTTCCTGATTCTATGAAAAAGGCTTTGTAAACTGTCCCAAATGCTCCGTCGCCTATAATCCTGCTGGAATGAAACCCTTTTGTGGCTGACTTGAGCTCTTTGTAGCTGAAAGCTCTTGGGCCTGTCACAAGCTCTGCTTTTAGGCTCTTCTCTGTTCTAACACCCATCCACTTCTTCACAGAAATCCAACCAAAAACCACAAGAACAACACAAAAGAAGGCTGGACCGCCAATCCCAAAACCTAAGCCAACCCTCTTGTGATGCTTATTTGTATTATCAGATACTGGAATAGGAGGCTTTAAATCCACAGTATCAGACTCATTATGAGGATGAATGCTTGGCCTCACGGGGCGGAACCCGAAAGTTTGAAACCTCCAATTCTCAATCAAGTGTAGCTCAGTGCTTCCCTCTGTTGATGCTGAAAAACCCACAAACATGAACTGCTTGAGATGATGAGAGAGATCAATATCAACCATTAACAGTGGATCTTCAGGCTTGAAACTTGAGTAACTCAAGAAAACTTCCAATTTGGCTTCCTCATTCTTGTAATCAATCCAAGCAGTGATCAAATTGCCACTCTTGAGACTAATACCTCCCTGCAACATTGGATCAGCAGTCTTCATCGAGACAAGGCTGCCAATGTCCAAACCAACGTGGTTCTCGTTCGGGTCATCGAAATCCAAATCGAGTTTTGTATCAAATTCAACTGCCACAAACTTGTTCTTGGTCAATTGGGATGAATTAACGAGACCAAGGTAACCTCCTGGACTCCCCAAGCTCTGATCAGGAGAGAGAAAGAAGGCTAACCCGTCCCCAAACGATGTGGGATTGATGTTGTTGATGGAGAAAGAGAATGTTGTAGAGAAAGAAGCAGTAATATTCAATTCTTGATCAAAAAAGGGAATTGGGTAGTTGTAGATTACGCTGCCAGAGGTTGAAGATGGGACTCCCAGATCTCTTGTGAGTCCAATGACACCATTTCGAAGGTAGGAATCGCCAAGAAGAGTGAGGTTTCGGAGAGTGAAAGATGGGAAGTCGAAGCTCATGTTCTCTGCTGATACCAGGGGTAGTAGGTGTGAGAAATTGGAGAAGATGAACGAAAGCAAGAAAAACAGAAGCTTGCTTCGGTGCATTTTGAGGCCGAATGTGTGGGTCTGTCAAGAACAGAATGGCGAGTCATGAGTGACTATGAGCAATGGAAGTGTATGGAGTTCTTGGTGGCTGTTCTTGAGTTCATTTCATCACATGAAGTTGAGAGAGAAAGAGAGAGAGAGAGAGAGAGAGACGTGGGAAAATGGGGTTTAAACGGTTAGAAAATGGGCGCGTGGGTAGGTTCGTTGAAAAAGATAAAAAAACAAACTTTAACACGGGATTAGTTTAAATCCTGACGTCTTTGAGTAATAGAATTATCGATTATGAATATCTTAGTATCAGTATAAATAATTTGTCTTTCATCAGATTGAAGAGGAAATTAATCAAGATACAAGTAAGTTAGTTCGAACATTTCTGATCGTTAAATAAAACAAAAAGATAAAAAATAAGAATAATATTATTAAAATTTAATTTATTAATTTAATTTACTACAGAACCTCTTGTATGGAGAGTACACGAGACAATAAATCATTGAGATTGTCGGGATGAGTCCAAAGCTCAAAAGGTTCATGTTTTAGACAAGTCATTTATTTGATTGATTGTGACCCCATTAAATAATAAAATTTAATATTAATTTAACAATTATAGTAACATTACATAATTAAGTCATTAAATTATGTTAAATTTTCAAGTGTCAATAACATTAGTCAAAAACACAAATGGGAGAGGAGATGATAGCGTATGGATCTGAAGCTATGACATATGCCTCATCTCCAATCATGTGCACGAGTTTCATTGTTTTGTTTTTCCAATTAGGATCCAGTTGATGTCTATATTTAATGAAAAATTATTACAACATTTGTTTGTCGGACGCTCAAATTAATTTTTTTCAAAAAAATTCCCGACAATTTTACAAGTAGCAGTGGATTGGGAAGTAAAGTATTTTATTGAGAGTCTTATGTGATGACCGATGAGCACCGAATTTTTTCTCCGCCTAAAGAAATCTGATTCAGTCTTGTAGGGAAACAAAATTGAAGCAAACTCGAATCTGGATGGATTAAACAAACGTTAGACGTTTAATCCTCAAATATTGAATTCTGAATGCATAAAAAAGTCCTGGGACGAGCTTTGGAAATGGAAATTGGGTCAGAAAGGAGGACTCGACTGCAATTGATTATAAAAATATTTACAACAGTGATAGAAATACTCAAAAAATTACAAATATTTATTCATTATCGAATTATTATTATTATTTTTTTGGGTACAGTACACAACTCCCGTGAAAGAATACTACTGCGACTGGGCCTGGGCCTGGAGAATTCAGTAGTTACACTGAACATCATGTGATCGTGGGTTCAAACTCCCACTGTTTTTTTCAACCTCAAAAATAATCGAAGCACACGTCACATAGCCGTTACAAGAGAATCTACAATGCCCACTGCTCTGTGTGCATGTGTGTGTTTTTTCATTTTTCTAGATTCCTTTTCTTGTTTGACCCCACATCATCTACAATAACTCCCAAAATAACCAGTAAACATCGGTTAAATGATATTATCACAGTAACGATTGACATGGGATTTCAGTATTAAATAATAAAATATCAAAGACATATCTTTAATAAAATAATAACCGCCCTATCAATATACATGTGGGTCATAATCCATATGATAATTTACATAATATCAACGTCGCAATGAAAATGACAATACGTACTCCCCCATATGCTCCTCTGCTCCACTCCTTGGTATATGCTCAATAATATTCAATAACAATATTTTCTGTTTGACACATTGTTGAAAGCAATAACAACAACAAACAAGGCATTAAAAGATCAGACACTTCCAATGTTGTTGGGTAGTAGGAATTGAAAATAGAAAGTGTTGAAGGAAGAACCATTACCGGATGTGATTCAGCAAGGCCTTTGGATGCTTGGCTTTTATGGAAGACTGGAGGATACTACGAGCACCCAAGCAGAACTTTGGGCTATACTCAAAGGGCTCGAACTTATACAAAGAAGAGGGATAGGTCCATCGGTGGTTGAAACTGATTCCCCAGATCTTCATGAAACCCATCCTAACAGAGCTCTTATCGCTAAGTGTAAGCAGCTGATGGATGTGAGTGGAATCTACATTTTGGATACTCTAAGAGAAGGAAATCAGTGTGCAGACTTGTTAGCCAACCTTGGAGTCCAACAACAAGAGGTCTTGATTCCACTGGAAGACCCACCACCAGAACTGGGGAGACTGCTGAATGCGGACTTAACTAGCACTTTGTATTCTAGGAAACCTATTTAGTTTGTTATGTGAACTTTCCAATGTACCCAAAAAAAAAAATACTGAAATCTCATGTCGCCCATCCAATTAACAGGAGGACTCATGAAGTACACGTAGTTTGGGAATCATCTCATCTAACTCTGCAGATGAAGAAGTATATACATCCTGAAAATTCTAAGCTCACTTTTTATGGACAAAGCTTCAACCACCTCAACTCCAATAACTTAGTTATCCTCATCCTCATGTGCACATCCAAATCCAAATTTTAATAACTTCAATGGGGGAAGGAGAACATTATCTTTGAGGAGTAACCCCCAATCCATTAATATTTGCCTGAAGTTCACAGATTCAATGACGCAACGCAGAACCAATCAAACTCGCATTGCAAATTAAAATCTGCTGTCGTTTTCGGGGCTGGAGAACTACATGCAGTAAGTTGTCATTAGTTCAAGAAAATATCTAATTCAGGTCCCTGACATAGAAAGAAAGTAACTTTACCTTCATCTATACTGCAAAAACTTCCTACCGGGAATATTACATCAGGGTTAATTTTTTGCTGCGAGGACAGTACCAGAGGCACCCAGTTTTTACTGCAGAAAACAAGCATAAATTCAACAGAAGTTCTAATTGCGCTAAAAAGAAGTCAAAGGGGTTTTTATGTTGAGTTAATCACCTTGCCCATGAAGGAATAAATTTAGTGGGCAAGTCATCCTCTTCATCATCTGAGCACTGATAAGGAGAAATCTCATAAGATTTTTCTAGACTTGTCTTGGTAACCAAGTAATTCTTTGTTGATTTATCCAACATGCTTATTGCCTAGGAGAAACAAAACAAATATATCAGCTTGAGGCTGGGCATGCAAATTAGTAAGTATGAACATGAGAGTGAAATTGCTAAATCCGAACATGACAAGTACACTGATAGTTCAATGATGTCAAGCTTTCATTTAATCTCTTCTAAGTATAATAACTAATAAAGTTATGATCATTTTCCATTATAAAAGCTTTCGAAGGAACTTTGGGTGAAGGCTCTCAGCATGAACACTAACATATATCATCCTTTTCTTTTCTGTCTTTTTTTTTTCCCAGGAGGGTTATGCTATGGATTGGTCTTTACTGGACAGCATATAGCTGATAAATTAGGCATAATACTTAAAAAACTGCCATAATAAACCCTTCCACCTTCCCATTATCACCACAATTGCTAGATACAACGCGATGATTAAAGGCAATGCCACTCTGTTGCACATCACTTGTCAAAATCCCAGCCGTCCTTGCTTCAGTTTCAGACTTTTTCAAAGTAAAGTCATCTCTTCTTTCTTTTTCCATTTTCCGATCTTTTTTCGATTCATTGTTAAAATCCTTTCTGCTGTTCATTTTCTCATCCTAGACATCACAACATAAGGAGCTCATGAACAACAGCAAGCAGAAAAGATTAATGTTTACTAATACTAAACATGGGAACTTACTGCGGTGCCACCCTGTTTTTCATTCTCCACTTTTCCAGCATGCAATTTTTCCTCTTGATCTCTCTGATGTCTCCGTGTTGCTTCAATCTGCTTTCTTTTCCTTTCCTTCCCCATCCTGTATTTTTCATCTCTCAATCTCTTCATATTAGGCCCTTTTTTCTTTTTCTTATTTAAATCCAGCTGCCTCAAATTCTCTTCTTGCCCTCTTGCTTGCTCAAGCTTCAGTGCTTCTTTCTTCAGCTTATGTTCATTCTGTATTCTTTCTTCAAGGCGTTTTGGGGCCTCAGCAGCCTCCAGGGCCTTCACTTTGATGTCTCTCTTCCCTGCAAGACAATACCAGAAGTTTTAAACTACCATAGCAAGAAGGGACCTCCTGAATATCCATCTATGATGTACTATTTCACAACAAACAAGTAGCATTCTTGTAGCATGTTAAGACCTAATTATGAATGTCAACCTCCCCCAAATCCAGCCAAAAATAAATAAAAACAAGAAATAAAGGAAAACCCCAGCCACCTATCCACACAAACCAAAAGAAAAGAGAGAAAGAACGAAAAAAACATTAAAAGCTTGTAATTAGTGCTTCACCAGAGAAACTGGACTGTAATGACTCGAAGAAAAGAAAACCAAACAAAAAAAAGAAGCTTCCTCTTCTACTTAATTTCTTGTTATCCACAATGCCTTAACCTTCTATTTGGTTTTCGCTTTTTTTTAAAGGAACCATGTGCACCAAGTTCAACATTTTTTTATACTAAGAACCCAAAATATAAAGTTACACGTACAAACTGCATCTGATTGTTTTTGTTGAACTTGTGTAATAAGGAGGTTATATTTGAAACAACTGTGGTTATGCTTATATTCCTTCCCTGAGAATATTCCTTTGCACACTTTTCTTCAAACAACTTTTACCTGATAATTTTGGATTGCTGAACCTGTTTTGGAGTGATACTTTAGGTTTCTTAACACCATTTATGCCCATAGATAAGGCCTTGTTCTCCTTTGCCTGAATCGTGCAATTTCTCTTTTTGCTGCAACAATTTCCAAACATCTCGTTGATCTTATTACGAGCACCCGTGATGCTGACTTCTGTGTTAACAGAACCCACACTACCTCTACCAGAAAAATTCTTTGCTTCAGAAACCAATGTAGGAGGATTTGAGCGTGCTTCTGTAGTATCAGCAAGGGTTTTTCTTTTGATGTAGCTGTTCATAACTTTTGAATTTATGCCTTCTTGGATATTATTGTCCACCTCATCTGCAATCTCATTTTCTTCACTAATACTGGGATATTCCTCAATGGGGAAGCAAGTGAACTCTGGATTTGAGTTGAAAAGGCTCTCTGAACTTTCCAAGTTTGACAAATTACTTTCCCAGAGCTTTCCAACAGGAGATGTATACAGGCTTCTCGAATTCCAACCAATTCGAGTACCAGAATAAGGTAGAAAATCAGAATATGATACCCCCTGAAGAACACAGTTGGCTTCATCCTCACCACTGTAACTGGCCCAAAGCTGTCTGCCAACACTATCATTCAGATATAAAGAGCTCCTTGATTCCATGTGCTCAAGAAGTCCATTTGGTACAGACTGGTACAAATCTTGGTTTCTTTGCAACTTAAATGTAGATGAGAAAAGGTGCAATGGTGTATGCCTGCTGGAAGAATTGTAAATATGCTCCAAAATGCTAGCCTGTTGTATTGTGTTTCTTGGAAGTTCTATTTTGCCAAAGTTGATCCCATCTCCGGCAGTACCTGGTTCTCCATCCCCTTTTTGCATATCTATGATGAAACCCTCAGACATGGGCATAGTTTGATCACCACCAATTAAATTCAGGTCTGTCTTTTTTGGAGATCGAACTGAACATGATGATGACAGTCGGCCATCCTCCCCAAGAGGAAAGTTACTTTCTTGCAGGGTTCTCTCAGTACAAGTCAAATCCTCTGTATTTATCAAATTAGCTTCATTCTCAAGATGCAACAAGTGCTGGTAATCATGCTCGTTGGAGTGTTGTCTTTCATCAGAATCAGAGCTAATAGGATCTGATCTTCCGACTTCCTCAATGAAGCAACCTTGGCAATCTCGAGTTGCCTCTTCAGTCAAGCTTGAGACTAGTGATACCCCTATCGGTTGATAGATGAATGACAAAGGGGTCCCTGCTTTCTTATTTCTCTCCTCAGAGTCCAGCACAACCTGCAGACACGTGACAGAAAACAGAGCTCCTGCTTCAGATAAGCTCTGATAGAGGCACAAAAGCTACCTATTCAAAATTATATATCAGATATGGAGAGAGAGAGAGAGAGAGAGCTGCCTCTGCAAAAACTAAAGCTCTTAGAATGAACAAAAATTAAATTTTGATACTTTTTAGCTTTGCACGAGGGGTTGGCAGTGCTCGTTGGGGCCCTAGAAGTTGCATGGCATTTCACAATCACCTTTCATTATTCTTTGATAGAATCAATTCAATCACACATGCATATCTGAACCCCCAATGTTTCAAATGGGATAGCAGATTAACAGCCAAACAGAGTTAAGAATGGAAGTAAGGACGTAACTTTGATGCTCATGAAATATGTACCTCGTCAACTAGCAGCTCCGGTGAAGATTCACACCCTTCTATCCAATGATGTTTCAACTGACATTTTTCTACATCAAAGCTCTTACTAACATACGATCGTACAATATCTGCCTCATGAGAAGCTAGAGAGTTTTGATTATGTTGGACGGCCTCATAATACTCTTTGATAGTCTCTGGCATAGCATTCTCATTTATAGCAGATCCAGATTTCTTTATCACTGCTCCAACACACTCCTCGGCATCAGCTCCAAAAGAACCCCTCCAAACATCCTCCAATTTTTTTGAGACGGCCTGCTCCACCAGTGATTCCTTCACCAAAGTTTTCCCATGGAGGTTATGAGATGTTTCTTTATCCAATGATGATGCAGTCTCTGCCAAAGTACAACGCATCTTCTCTGATGATGTGTCCAACATTCTGTTCTCACTACATTCTGCCATTTCATCAAAATTAAAATGCTTGGGCTTCACAAACGTACAATAATCCGAAGCAGCCCTTCTGACTAAGCCTTCCAATCCTGTTCTTGGGCTAGCACCATCCATGTTATTCCTGGGACCAATGGACCAATCTTCAGCTAGTGCATCTGAAGCAAGCTCTGTCCCTACAACAGTTTCACCAGTTCCTTTCAATAAATCATTAACATGGTAAGGGTGATGCAGGGAATTGACCGTAGGTTGTGCTAGAGCACCACTATCTTTATTTTCAATACCAGAAGAGATACCCAATTTCAAAGTAACATTTTCACTACTGAGTTGTTTAGAAGAGCTTCTAGATCTTGTAATTTTACTACGATACATGCTGATGTCCCTGTCATTGTTCTGGCAATCTCTTTCTTTCACTTCTTTCACAGCACAACTTCCGCTACCAACATCCAAATATCTGGCCAATCGCTTCAACTCATCAACATGCGGGGAAGCAGTAACAGAAAATGCAACCCCTCCAAAATCAACCTTGGCGTTATTTTCACAGCTTAAATTACTTTTAGCTACTGCTTTTTCACTATAACGAAGCTCTAAATCCGTTTGCCTTGATTTGGACCTTTGAATTCTAGCTAGTGACTGATCTGATACATTATAAATGTTTGAAACTCTTACTTCCACCTGATCCAGGGGAGAGGTAACACTAACATCCTGCTCCTGAACAAAATTGAAGGAACGTTCCATGTTATTGTCATGGCATTCAGAGATATTGGTTGGCCCATCTCCTATATTGAGACCATGGTTGACAGCCTGGGTGTCCATTTGTAATCCATCTGATAGCTCTTCATTATCACTTGTAACAACTGGCTTGTCATATGGACAGTAGTGGCTACTAAAGTAAGAGGCTGTGGGTTGTAGATGTGGAAGTAGTAGTTTGGAAATCAGCTCTTCTTTCTTTAGTTCTGCATAGACAAAAATTGGAGAGTTAGATTTTTACCAATAACATATAGGCGGGATGTGCACTGTGGAATTGACGTGGGACTGTAACTCTGCCTCCCAAACAAGCTATCAATGTCAATTTTCAAACACCTGGATGGCAAACTTTGTAGTTTTCACTCTGATTGTCATTACATATAAAGTGATGATGATAATATCTGAATTCCCTGCAACTGCAAGCACTAGTATCAGAGTGTTTGAAAATCCAAGAGATACTAAATTTCAAACCAAATTGTTGGAATGCTTCTAACATAGCTAAGCATATTCCAGCAGCAAGAATTCATCTACGGAAATACTGTGACAAAACTGGTATGATCAATTACCAAAACAGATAAATGCTAACAACAAACTTATGATAAACTAGAAGTAAAATTAGTTATTTTGAAAAATATCAAAGCACCATAAGTTTAAGTTTTATAAATCCACCTCTATTGTGCTGAAGAAATCTTGAAATGAGTAGCCCATTTCTAGATAGAAATGAGAAGATCCAATTAGAGAATGACACTGAAATTCTAAAAGAAAAACGATATATGCATAACTTGCTGCGAGTTAGTCCCTTCTGACTACTATTAATTTGATATAGTTTGATTGCTTAGAGAGAGAGAGAGAGAGTAGGAAATAGAAGATGAAATTTTCAGTTTCTGTGTATATAATTTCCAATTAAACCCCCCCCCCCCCCCCCCCACCCCCAAAAAAAAGAAAAAAGTATTGTCAGGTCAAAAACAATGAGTGGTTTGAAATATAAATCCTCAATTTCAATAATTTTCCAACAACTATCAGGCAAGAAAACAGTGCCCTAAGTACTTTGAACGCGATGTAACAACATGAAACTGTATATAAGTGTAAGAGCTTACCTTTGAGATCCGAGGATTGAGAGTAAGAATTAGGGTTCCAAAGCCACGAAGGAGGTGCAATTCCATCAATAAGGCATTTCGAAGCAAGGTGTTGATTGTACAAGTCTGTCTGTTGCTTGACTTGTTGAATAATCCAGTTCTTCCTCTCGAAAATCTGAAAGAACAGATTTTCTATCGTCGTCATCTTCACAAACCACTATCCATGAACGTACTCTGCTGTAACATTTCGAGATAGAAAGAGAAATGGTGAAGCAGTTTGTGTGTGTGTGTGTGTGTGTGTGTGAGGGAGATGAACGGTGGCAATCACACTACCATTAGCGGGGAGATGGGATTTCAAATTTCGGGGAAAGGGTCATTCGGCTATGGTGTAATTGCCAAAGTTGACGAGCAACGTCAAATGGGCTGGACCTGAATGCAATATGGGCCTACTGAGACGGATTTCGAAGTACTGTGAGCTTTAAGCCTGTGTATATAGCCTATTTTAATCCGAATCCGATTAGTCGGATATAAATCCATATTTTTTTAGCGATAATTCGAATCCGAATCTCAATTGAAAATATTACTTGATCAAATAAAAAAATTTCAAAATATTAAAACACAGACTGTTAAATTCAAATTTTCTGGTTTTAGAGACACATCACTTTTTTTAACCTCCTTTTAAGGTGAAGAAAAAATAAAAATAGTATCAAAAATTAAGTTTTCGATATCATATTAAAAAACTAGCAATAATCTCGTGTCTGAAATCACTATGCAATATAAAAAATAAAGCATTGATCGTACAATAATTAGATTTTATGAAGCAATTTTTTTTTATTTTCTTTAATTACATAATTTAAAATTAAAGTGAAGAGACAGAAAATAAAAGAGAGGTAGGGAAGAGAGAGGAGAGAGGTAGAAGTATTTTATTGTAGTTGGTTGGTATTGGAAAATATGTTGATTAAATTGTCTGAAATTGAAATTCATGCAGTGAAAATAATGCTTTTGAGCGGAAAAAAAAATTTGAGATTAAATTTATACCTCGGAATTAAAGTAGATAAAAAATTAAATAAATTTTGATCATTGTTATACTTTTATAAGTTCAGAATTCAACTTATTAACTCTAACATTAGATAGATGAATCCAAACTGTAAAACTTAAATTATATTATTTATAATTATAGATTGTTGAAGCAATATAACAATGGTCCTATTGGAAGCTAGTTTAAATTGGCAGTTTTTAAGGGCTTTGAAGTAAAATAAATTGCGACAAAAAAAAAAGTAAAATAAATCAAGTTCATTTGGACTTTAGTTTTTTTTACCAATTTATGCAGTAGTTTTTTGAACTCAAAAAGACTTATTTAGGCTGGTTCAAAAAATTGATTTTATGAAAATTTTTTTCGACTTTTTAGAGTTTTATTGTGGATCTCACATAACTTTTTAGTCTATTATATTCATAAAATATTAGTAATAACGTAAAAAATTTTGAAATTTATTTTTGGGAACTATTATGCATAATTTATACATATATATAATTACTTTTTTATTTAACATAAAACCCAAAAAATTTAGAATGTCATTCCAAATTTTTTTTTTCAACTATTTAAAGTACACCCAAAGGATTTTGAAAGTTTTTTAAACTTCGATTCTTTTACGAAGCTTTTTGAACAGTATCTTTTCACCTAAAAAAAATGAGCTCTAAACAAGCCCATTGTAAAAAAATAAAACACATTAATTATTTTTGTGCAATATCTTTATTTTTCAGAAATAATATTTTGTTTACTTACTAAAAAAAGGGAAAAAAAATTTAATGAGCAACAACACATTACAATTCAAATAAGTCCTCATTCATACATAAAATTTGCTAAAGTCTGCAATTATTTTTCATCACAACACTCAACACCATCACTTGAACTGCCCATAAGGATCGAAGCTCGGCAAACCATGCACATTTGAGGAGCTCCCACCTGGTAGACCCCGCTGAGCATTCCTATAGAACTCATTCACCATTGCAGCTGGGTTAAACAAACCTTGTGGATGGCCATGGCCAGGCCCAGGCCCATGAGGAAGCACCGGAGCATATGCCGGAGACGGCACCGGAAACGATGATCCCTGAGCATAGTCCACTGTCCGTTTGACAAAAGGCTCACCACGAACTGACGTGCGCTCGGACTCATATTGCCGGTACCTGTTCAGGTAGAGAGTGAGAGGCTGCATGTAATTGTCGAACCCAAGCTTGCTCATTGCCCATAGCACGTCCTCAGCGGTGATTGTCTTGCGCTGCTCACGGCGGCACCGGTCATTGGCCTCGGCGGTGATGAAGGAGATGTACTCGGAGACGCATTGCTGGATGGTTTCTTTGGCGTCGTCGGCGATCTTGGCATGTGGCGGAAGGAGGCGGCGCATGATTCGAATGACGTTGGCAATGGGCATGAATTGGTCTTGTTCATTCATGGGACGCCTAGAGGAGGTGTCGCCATTGTTTCCTTTGGAGTTTTCAGTCTCCTCCTCAATCGTCATGGCTAAATCCAAAAGAAAAGGAAACCATGCATTAACCAAGACTAATGTTACGTATACCCCCATCTATAAATTGTCAGTTTGACTTGTGATTATAATTTAATAGTATAAAATAAGTTGGAGATTTTGTGCAAACCTTGTGTAGTGAGCATCGCATGTACGATAACGAGAGAGGTTCGCATTTATACGTTTAGTGTGGTGGTTGGGCCAATACCCGTATTATTCATTCCGTTGTCTATGCTTCTCATCGTTTTTTTTAACTTGTATAAAATTAAAATTTCACTATTCATGTCATTGTCATATTATTAAGTAATTATTCTATCCTAGGAGTAGACACAGACTTGTCTCTTTAATTCAAAGTGAATATTCTTTTAAAAAAAAAAAAAGTGAATATGTTCAACGTGAGAACTTAAAACCTCTTGTGAGATGCCATACAAAAATGGGTGCAAAAGAAAAGTGGAAAAAATACTAAAACTTTTTCTTAGAGAAGTACCAAAGTTCACATAAGCATTTGCTGACACGCATATATAGAGATAAAGATATTAACTAGCATTAAATAGCAAACAAACCCTTTGAAAGGCAAACAGAAAATTTTATCGGGAATATATACAATCAACTAGACATATGCAGATGGAGTATGAAAGATGATCATAACCAGAAGAAAGAGAGAGAGAGAGAGACAAATGCTCAGTTCACACACACTTCTTCATATAGTATATGCATATGCAGAGAGGAAGAGAAACATATATATATCTAGCTAGAGAGAGAATATGAGCAAACAAAAAAAAAAAAAAAGAACGAGATAAGATCATAAGATCAAGACCCTTCATGCTACAATCAGAAGAGGGTTTAAAATTTCAGATATACGCATAGAAAAGGATCCAGATACGAAAGCGTCTGGTTTCAACTGAATCACCTGGTGTGAGCTTCTTATACAAAGCTGAGAAAGAAAGTTAAGGATGTATACACACACATGCAAATGAATAAACTTGCAGAATAAAAATTGAATCAATTCACAAAGATTTCACTGATAATCAGCATCCATGAAAGAATATATCAGATGAGATCTAAAGATGGCTCCTGCATGCAAGACATCATCACATAGAAGCAAAGAATCCAAAAGTACCCTCTACGTATATATATATATATGTCTCTGTGTGTGTACATATATATATATATATATATAACAAGAGAATGACATGAACTAAGCAACAGAGATCAAAAGTTATTTCAACGTGGATTACCAAGGCTTGATCTTGTGTTGGTCTTTGTGTTTTGCTCAGAGCTTTCCCCACGTTCCATCTTCTGAACTCTCTCTCTCTCTCTCTATTCAAACATCCACTGTGTGTGCTACCCTGTTGGGCGTGGAGCCATTTGAGGGGATTTATAGTACTTGATAGGCAGTCCCCACTCCACACAGCTATCGCCCGTAAGTAAAAACAGCCACTTATTGGACACTTGCAATAAAAGGTAGTTGAAGTAAACCCAAGGACCAGTTTAAATGATAAGATGCACGAACAAATTTAAATATCTTAATTTTAAATTTTGATAATATTTTATGGTTAAATTATGAGAAATTTTTATCTCGTGAATATTTTAGTTTTACTGTAAATGACCTGTTTTTTATCGGATCGGAGAGAAGATTAATTGAAGCTGGCTCGAGTACTCTTGACGATTGATTAGAAAAAAAAAACAAAAAAAGTGGTTGAAGTCTCTACATCATCATTGTCATATGGTGTCACCATCTAATAAAAATATAACAAATAAGTAAGTGGATCTCACATATTATAATAAGAGCAATGTTATTAAGACCTAATTCACTATAACCTTTGGATTGACTGTGAGCTCTATCAAATATTAGAACTTAGTGTTAATCAAATGGTTCCAATGAAATCACGTCATTAGATCAACAAATTATGTCAAATTTTTAGGTCCAAATAGCATTTCCTTATAATAACCATCATGTCATGTCATTTAATAACTATCCAAATAAAATTTATTTTGTTCATGTGTCAATCTATTATTAAATAATGATACTACGTGTTATTAACACAATAATGTGACGTCACCGTTACGCTCACTATTTACTCCCCAATAGGTCATTTGTGAGAAACCTAGCCAGATATATATGGTTCTATTGACCATTTGGTGAATGAAAGGAGTTAAACCTAAGAAAAAAGAACCAAATAATTATTTGCCTAATTAGAAGATTTATCTCATCTTCCTATGTGCCCAAGGGAAGTTAATAGAGATGCTGTGTGTCCACTTGGAATTTATTACCAACAGGTTTTGTAGTTCTTATATTATATTTTTGTCTAGAATAATAATGAGACAACAAACTTATTAATAAGACAAATAGAAAACAATTTAACACAACAACTCAGCAAAGTAAGCTTGATTCAAAAAAAAAAAGAAAAGAAAAAGATTAAGAACTCACCATATATAGACAGTACCAATAATTAATGGCAAATGGCCATATTACCCAATTATTCTCAATTAATTATGATCCCTTCTTCTTTTTATTAGTAGAATAAATATATAAAGGAATGACACACACAAATACATTTGCTTGCTCAAATTCTACTTGTTATTTTTTTTTTTCAAATTTCATAATTTATGAACTTAATAAAAGTGAATAAAAAAGTTGAATGACAAAGTTAAAGGACTCTTTTATTGGTGTTTTGTTTATTAGATAATATGTTTGACATCTAAAAAATATCTAGTTTGATATTTTAATATTTTCATTCACCGATGTTACATTAATTTCAATTTAAATCTCCGAGATTCGCGTAACTGAGTTGTTAAGTCATCAATATCGAATCTCCGGAAGTATGGAAAGATTTTTTTTTGTTTTCATTATGTTCGTTACTCATTATTATGCAGATAAATGTAATACGGCCAAACAATGTCTAAATGGTAGGTAAAATTGACCAAAATTACCATGGGCAAAAATTGTTGTCACTGGTTATTTTTATTTTTTACTATGGGAAGAAATAAATAATTAATAGTGTAATGAACTCCTTTACAAGAAAAAATGAGAAGATAAATAAATACATGTGTGTGTGTGTGTATTTATGCTTGCTGTGTTAGACTATCTGATATTTTTAGCTAAAAGCTTTTAGTAACATATTAAATAAGTTAAAAGAATCACTGCATAGCATAAAGCTGTTTGACTTGGACCACTCCATGGAGGGAGTTTCAAATCCACAATTGCATGAGCTTACAGCAAAATGATGCTTTCTTCTTCTTCTTCTTCTTTGGGGTGGGGAGCACCTCCTCCAAAGATTTGAACAGATACTCTTCATGTAAGCTCATTAATTTTGGCTTTTGTAATAATCATAAATGACAAATTGTCACTAATTTTCCATTTGTCTGTAATGCACCAAACTGTAGAAATTAGAAGTGGGTGGACACCATTAATGGCAGCATACAGTGAAATGGAATGGGATGAGCTCATTGAATGGCATTTGCCAGGCACCAAGTTGTCATAATAGTCTGTTCTGTCTTTATTTGTACCCAATATTAACAAAAACCAATTTCAAACTCTTAACAGATCTGAAATGGGTTTCAGTAATTAAGACCTCAGTTTGTTGAGACTAATTTAGGGTGTACTCGGTGCACGAGACTCCCGTCATTTTGAGGTTTGGAGAGGGTTAGATGTACACAGTCTTACCCTTGCAAGTAGATAAATTATTTTTATAAACTCGAACCCGTGACCTTCAAGTCATAATAGAACAAACTTACCGTGTCCTCCAATTTGTTGAGACTAATTGTAGTTCTAAAAATTTATGGTGTCACAGTACTGTAGGCAACAATGTTTATCGAGCTGATCCTTTCGAACTTCGCTATGCTCACTCTTGACTCTACTAGATTGTATGCTTAGATTTGGTTTAACTTGTTTTTGTATTACGAGCTCAAATCTCATGATAGGATTAGAGTAATTAGGGATATGACCATTATGATAGTAAGTGCAGTTAGACCTTTGTAAATTTGTTCACAGCTTACATTTATGAGTTTACCAATTGATGAAAAAAAGAGATAACCTGATTGATCGCATCAATAAATGTCTAATCAGAAACCAGTTTGGATCAAGACTTGAAAGAATTATATGTCAGTTGTAATTAACAGCAAACAAGATGGGAAGTACCTCAGTTTGAAGAGTTGGAAACTGCAGAAATTCAATTGATAAGGTGGTCAATCTCATATGAACGGGTCAGATTAGAATTTGAGTAAGAGTAAATTACTCATAACTCATCCCGTCACTGAACGAACCTTTATATATATATATAAATATTCATTTCAAAAATTGTCATTTTTTGAATCTGGACAAATTTTTTTTTGATTAAAGTGCGTGGACGGAAAGGTACGGGTGGGTTATTGGACCAAGTTTTTGTGGGCAGGCAAATAGGCCAAGTTTGGGCCTGAGTAACAAGCTTGGGACAAACCCGCAAGCCATCTCTTTATTAGGTTCGAATTCGGATGGGCCAATTATTAGGCTTATCAAGTTTTTGACCTATTTTTTTGGGCTAAGTAATGGGTCCCATAGGCCAACCCGACCCATGGAAACCCCATATCCTAATGATTTTAGCAGGATTGGCTTAGAGTTGATTGCACAGACCAACCTAGAACATCAAGTAGTTAATTCATCATACTAGCAAATGAACATGTAGAGTACAACTAGAATATCGACAGACGTGAAATAAAACGAACCAAAAACAAACAATTATATTTCAATAGGAAATGCAACAATTAACCAAGAAACTTTAAACCATGCTCACCATGAAATGCATGAATTCCAGAATTTTTAACCTACAAAACTGGCTCAGGTCAACCAAAGTTCCATCTTCCTATTATCTGTGAGACTGAGGGTATTATCTACCAAAATTCACTCAGCCCCTGCTGCCCCTGCATATTTGCATGTACCCATAGTTCTATCTAATAGTATAGCATATCTACACAGCTCTATCAACCACCATATCATCACCAACTACTGTCTACTTCTGTCATCCTGTGCTTACGCCGACGTTTTGATCGCTGTCCCTTTGATCGCTTCTGAGATGTTTCAATGTCACTCACGTCTTCATTTTTTCTTTTCAAGGTGCCATTACTTAAAGTCGTGGCTTTAGGAGGTCTTTCATACCCAACAATGTTGGTTACAATTGCATGGACAATGACCTCGCTTTTGGGAACTAGAGTGGCCTTTCTCTCAACAACTGCATTTTGCCCACAGCATGGATCTTGGATGGCTTCATCTTTCAGCTTTTGAAATATGGAATCCTTATCGTGTTTCAAAAAGTCCGCTGAAGCCTGCACAGTAGATGAGCGAGACATTGTCAGCTTTCCTCAAACAATATGTAATGCACATTTGCACAGACAAATTCATGTAGATCACCACATAGCAAAAGTCCAAGTGAAACATGAACGAAACACCATTGAATGAAAATGTAATGGAATTTGGAATTGGTTGTAAAAACATTTTAACAAGGTATAAGCTGCTAATGTAAGGATACACAAATTAGGAGACTAATTTGAAAATTCACAGTGAGGATGATGCATATTCTTCTTCCTCGGGCCATTACTCTGACTGCTCCAAGTAATGCTAAATATGAACTTTTTCTACCAAAGGCAAGTGAGCATGTTTAATGATAAATGAAGATGTTAAACTCTAGTTTTCACGAATAACTAGAGAATCACAGGCAAGATTAGCGGATAGTTTTTGGCTATGAAACATATGTAATTAACATGCATATTCATTCTCAATAATTTTCCCGCTCTATAGGGAGAAAGTTGTTTTGTGTGTCTCTCTGTGAAGGGGAGGGGGATTCTAATTCACAATAATGGGGCCTCGTGGGTAGAAAGGGGCGACCTGATTGGGGAGTCATCGGAAATAGGTGCCCTGGCTGTGCTTCACCCAATTATATAATCAACTTTATAAGTTATCTCAAGTGTGATTTCATGACACCCTAAGTACCATTTCCTATAAGTGAGTGGTGCTCAGACTCTTTCTTGATGACTAATTAGAACTCCATTTCTCTATATTCCTTCTTCTCCAGTCACCTTGCCTAAGTTGTCATTCTGGCGCTTTGATCACTACAGCTTCCTGTAATCGTGCGAACAGAAAATCAGCCACATCACCTCTGCAACCCAATACCCTCATGAACATCCAGTTCCTAGAATATGTATGAAACACTGAAAACCAATGATCCTGCTGAGTGAGGTCTAAGGCTTCTCTTTATTGATTATGCCAGCAAGGTTTCTACATCATCGAAACCTTGGGGACTTGAGGAAGGCAGGCCGTGCCAAGCCGTGTTGAGTTGAGAAAGCATTTTGGGGTGGGGTGGGTTAAGAAAACCAGACCTAAGGTTTCTACTCCAGATCTTATCAATAGGCCCTAGGCCTTGATCCTCCTGTTAGCAGCAGGCAACATTGAAGCACAAGGCTAGCACTTTAGACAGTCCTCAGGTCTGTGGAAGACACATTCATGTACACTGCTTTCCACATGTCAACACCAGCTGACAACCTCAGTCTTTCAGACTATTCAGAGGGATTAAAATTAAAAGGAGGAATAAAAAAATAATTAGAAAATCACACCTGAAAATCAACTGGAATCTTGATCTGGGTGCATGAGCACTTACAACCATTGCTGAAGTTCAGTTTCAACAGAATATCAAAAGGATTTGCCGTCCTCACTGTTCTCCTGCCATTCAACGTAGTTGCTTACTTTAATAGGGGTAGAATTGTTAGAGCATTCAATCCAAAATCAATTGGTAATGGGTGGAGTGACCCCACAAATATATAAACTAACCTTGGGTTGTCCTAATTATTCGATATGAGATCCATGCTCTCTTTACATGAAACCTGGACTCGCCAGTCGGGCGAACAAACAAACAACGATGCAAACCTCGAAAGTCATACGGGTAACAGACACCACCTAAGGCTCACCTTTTGTACCATGTTAGATAATTCACCCCAAAATTAATTGCCAATGCGTGGAGTGGCCCCTCAAATATATAAAGCAACTTTGGGTAGTCTTAATTATTTGATGTGGGATACAAGCTTTCTTTACAAGAATAACATGTCAACCAAAATGTACACACAATCTGCTTATTACATGTGGATCATACATATTTATTACTCCGATGAGCGTGGTTTCTTAGGCTCAAGCTTTGAACTATTATGGCCACAAGGTAATTCATTTCATCCATGTTATTTACTAATAGAAACATGCCGAAGTCTCAAAAACAAGTTTCTGTCAGGATTCGACTGGCGTTTGATACTATTTTCTGACACTGAAGATAACATTAAAATTTTGAACAAAAAAACTAATAGTTGGATTAAATCTTGGTGCCTCCCATAGGTGGAGCCCCATCGACTGAAATTCATGATTACTATGAGACATTTCCAAGTAACACATCCCCATTCACTATAGGACTACTGGCACTCCTACGAGAGCATGAGCCTTAAGCATTGTTGTATTACAATTTGCAGCATGGAAAATGGCTAGTGCTACCTTTTCAACAGAAGTGGTTGATCCTGTAGGACAGCTGCTTTCATGTTTTGACTTTCTGAGAAGGAAACCTAGGATGCATTGCAAAAAAAGCAGAGAGATTAACCCCGAATCAACAGGTGCTTGCAAGGACATGAGATATAGAATTACTGTTAACAGGTATGGAACCTAAATACTAATCCACATAAAGCATATATGATGTCTGAGAGTGTTTTTCTTTTAAAGTGACAATACAAATTAATATGTAAATATAGAGACACTCATAAAGATTCGGCAAATAAACAACTCGGGCATATAAGAGGGATCTTACAACCACCACCATAAAAAATGAATCAGCCGTGTCAGTAAACAGTCACGGTTCAAATTAACCTGCATTTGTGATTGATTTTCCAAGGAGGAGAACTTCTTCATGTAGTATTCTGAAGTAGTATAATTTTGTGCACTCCAAAAGAGCAAAAATCAACCCCACCTTCCAGTGGTTTCAGTCTATTCAGTTGCATGTGACAGTGTACCACAGCACAATTTTGCTACAACATGATGTGACCATCCTTATAGCATCCATTGACATAGAATAGCACTTTGTATACCATTAGTCAAGGGAAATGGTCAAAACTGATAAAGCATCTAACTTTAACTAATTGACAATGAGTGGAAGGGCCAGTAGGCTTATAACTAAACTAATTTAAGAAGCTCATTTTCTTTCGGTTGAGGAGGGAGGTTGGCCTTTGGCATGCCCCCTCACCTGTGACCCCCGAATCAAGGACATAACTAGGTGCACCAATAGCACATACAAAGGGTGAAGGGAACCAAATACTAGATCAATTCAATAGGCTTCTTATAACCTCCTGAAGCCTAGCTCTTACACCATTTTAAAGCATCTAACTCAACCAATTAGCAATGAGTTGATATGCATTCTGCTCGCAAGGATCATATAATAGTTTAGAAACATCAATTTTTCTGCTCTGGAACAAGCTCTAACGAAAACAAATTTTTAGAGAGAAACCCACCTCAACTGATTTGATGAATGGCAGTGGAGCTCTATTTCCATGCACACTTGTTATCCTCAGTGTCCAGTTCACATATCTTTTATCTGCAAAACAAGTGAATACACCCATGAGAAAGCAGTCAGTCAGTTTAATCTAGTTCTTATACATCCCATAATTAATATAAACGGGTTTATTTAAGTTTTGCTTCAATCAATAAACATAATTAACAGCAGCTGGTAGATGTGTCAGATCATGCATGTATTAATGATTGGTATGCCACAAATACAGAGATGTGTGAAGTGTTTAGGGCCAGCATATACCCAGGCACATGTTTTAATAGGAAGTCACTGTCCTTCATTTTGTGCACCAAAAAAAAAACCAAATAAAAAGATGAGAACTAATCTATATTTCTGAGGTAAAGCTAAGCGTCTGCTCTAAAAATTAAGAACGTAACCGTCAAGTTCACAGTTCAAACACAAATTCAATACAGCCTTATTGGAAAAACCAAGAAGTGCAGTTTTAATCTAGACTCCAGAAGGAAAGAAAGATGCATGTGAGGTTCACCTGCGCAACTGATATTTGTCACGATGAGTCAGTAATTTAAACGACGAGCCATTTATAAAGATAATATCATACTGTTTACATACATAACATTCGTGTAAACTGAAATGGAGAGCAAAATAATCAAAGGATAGAACTTATCCAGGAGAACTTACCTAAACTTAAGGCCTGTGTGAAAATTGTTTGGAGAAGATCAAGTCTAATGAATGGAGGAATCCCCAAATTAAGTAGGTCCATGACTCCTGCAACAACCTGTTAATAGTCAAATTATGAACAGATCTAGAAAGAGTCCAAACCGTATAGATCATAGGTCTGATAATTAGAAATACAAGATCTGACTAAAAATAATGCAAACATGACTACTTAAGTCCCAATAAAGAAAATTTTTTATGCAATTCCACCCTCAGACAGGACATATGATATGGATGTAGACATAGTGGGCAAGAATGGACTTGTGCTATGGTGAAAGAGATACAATAGGATAAAATGAATGTGTAGTTTCTAAAAAAGCTATGATTATTATGCAATTACTAATACTACAGCATACTGCATACTGCATCCGAAGATTCTATATATAATATATGTATATATATTATTCATATATGTATAATACCTTATCTACTGGGCCATGGATCACCAAACTAGCTTTCTTGTCCTTTGGAGTTTTCTGCAAATTAAGCAAATAAAAAAATGGCAGCTTGAATATCCACAAATTGTTGAAAACATAAAAGCCAGCACTGCAAACATTGTCCCAGGAGTGGAGAAAACATTGGGTGACATGCAAACTTCCACCCTGTTTGTACATCCTCAATTATCAGAGAATTTTTCAAGTATACTGTGTCTATACAACAAACAGTTTGCATTATATGAGAACACATCTTGGAGATGATGAAGATTTAAGGCAAATAATGCACAGACTAAAGCTTTTATATTGTCCTATTGCTCTCATCTCCTTTTTAGGTATGGTATACTTAAATATGACCAGTTGTTGACAGCCTTGTCAGGAACTGGTAGTCCAGGGTTAGAGGAGCGATGCTATTTAGGAATATTCTCACTCAACTATGTGGAACTCTAAAAGAGAAATTTGTTAACTTCTAAAGCTGTAAAAAATTACATTTCTTTGACATGTGAGTAGATGCATAGTTTATTACTTTTGCCTCTCACCACTCTGATTTGTCAGACTACAAGTCTTGGTTTTGAATATCCATCAAGCCTAAAAATCCATTCCCTTGGCCATTTCCATAACACCAGAATTTTGCTACACTTTGTATTGTTGTAAGCAAAAGTAATACCCGTTCAAGCAAGTTTTTTTTTCAGCTGGTGCAAAATATTGTTAAATCGTGATTGATTTTTCCATGATTATGATGATATCAATGCAACCTTAAAATTGGAAGCATGGAAAAAGTCTCTAGTGGCCTTTGGACACAAGTGATCTGAATATTAGGTGAAGCTTAATTAGTTTCATATAGACACGATATACACTTTTATTCTGTAATGAATAGGAATGAGATTAGGTCTTGCACTTGTCCATTGTTAGAAAAACTTTCAGTTAAAATTCAATCCGTAGAAGTCATGCATTCATGTGTCAGACTTTTTCTTTGAAAGGAAATGGAAAGCCAAATCCAGTTCTTTTGGCTAGATGTGCTCTAAACACTTCGAACATAGAAAGAAATACCTGAAGATTCACAATTACAATCCTCCCTCCACCACGAAGTGATTTGAGTGGCAAATTGCATGCAGGAGTGATCTGCAAACTGCACAGAATAGCAACATTTATGATTGAATTAAATATGCAGCATAGACATGTTATGTTAGGCCCACCACAGGACCCTTGATGCCCCGTTTCTGTGGACCCAAGCAATGAATAAAAGAAAGGTAGTTGTGGATTCAACTTTTATAGATTACTTCTTTAACATTTTTGTTACAGAAGTATAACCCCAATTCTCATAATCAACAACTACTAGCTTATGCCCTATGAAGCACGAATACTTCCCGGATATGGATACGTGTTTGATACAGCTGAATACGTATCCGATAAGGCTGGGAAGTATCCTAGAATTAAAAAAAATAAATTTAAATTTTGGATACTTCAGGATAAGCCGGGCTATGTTAGGATACTGGGGATACGTCAGAGATACAACGGGATATTACTTGAATTTTTTAAAAAGAATAGGGGCATCGGAGCAAATATGTTTGACCCTTATTTTCACAAAAAAGTAAAATAAAATTATGAATATATGTTTTCTGAATGATAGAATGGTTAGTTATTATTATATATCTTTAATAGATGTGTGATTCACTTTACAAATCATAATTATTACATTAAATATAATAATAAAAATTTTTTAAAAAATATATTTTATGGACGTATCCTAGCCGTACTTGTATCTTATTGTTTTAAGTTTTGCCTTATCGCCGTATCCGTATCCATATCCATGCTTCATAGCTTATGCCCATTTTTCCAATCTTTTTGGAGAAGCACAAATTCTATTCACTAAAAGAAATATAAAACATGTACTAAATGAGTAGTAAGCATTTAGTGTGAAGACAAAATGTACAACTAAGATAGCTGAGATTTACAACTCACTTTATCGCCCATTGAGGTTACTATTGGTTCTGTTTTTCTGATTCATATTCCTGCCACTCATCAATATAATTACTTACTTTTAGATAACAGTTTGCTAAAAGTTCACATACACATCTAAGTCCTTCCTTTAGGCATGTAGATTTTGCATTAAAACTAGCATAAACATGAGCTCAAATCACAATTGACTTCTTCACTATTTTAAGCAGATTGCTGAGTTTGGGTTTGGCTCAGCATATCTTTACTCTGATAAACAAGACCAACGAGTGGCTCTTCTCATGCTCCACAATTGAAAGAATCTGCCAAAACAGCACCTTATAAAAGGTCCTTAAGCTCCGTCTTAAATGTGAACTGAACTATGAAAGCTATAAAGTATGTAGTAGTTTGGCAATAGCTGGTTGGATGTAAAATATAATAAAAGAATGAAGTTGGGGAGAGTGATCAGGGAAAAGATAGGAGGATATGGTTTAATAGACCTATCTCCATATTCGTTAAGAGTAAAAGTAACGAGTTTCCTCTGGGTACAGCCAACCCTCCTGATCAAGCAGCTGGAAGGAAGTAAAGGGGGTTGTTATGAAGTTTTAACTGGTATTAACAGTCTAAACCTTGCCCTGCCAGTGAATCAACTGAAGGCAAAGAAGTAAGTCATTAGATAAGGTGTGTATTATTGTTAGTGCAACCCCAGCTTTGTTTATGAATTGTTTGAACCATAATCCAGAACTCTAGACTAAAGCAACTTTAAATCAATATGCCGATTAAAAGGACTGCATTCCAAAAATGGTAAATATGGCCATGTCAAGTGCCTAATCCTATAATTACCATGGTGTCATTACCTTGTCCCTAAGCATAATACGACATCAGCCATTCTGCATTGCCTCTCTGCTGGATTGATCTCCTTTTGGGGCAAAGCATCCTGTACTCACCCACAGACATTGAGAGATACAAGGAGTTAATTGACAATGTGTGTTCATGAAATGAGGAGTTCATCCGGACTAGCTCGCTAAGTGAGTTTGCTTTCCCTTCCCTCCATGACTGCTGTTAGGAAGGCATGGTCCAGGGCAGTCCAGTCCAGTCCTAAGTTCTCCTATAAGCTGCAATCTCATTCATAAACCTTGGGCTTTTGAGCAGCCCAAATGCAAGGCTGCTATAAATGAGCACTACTCATCACAAATGTTCTCTTTCAACAGTTCCAGTTTAGGTTTAAAACTGCAAATTGAATTCCATATAAGCGATTGTTTTGTGCCGTACATCTTACTTTGTAAACCATAATTTTCAACATCAATCATGCGTAATGCAGCTAAATCATAATTTTCAACGGCAATCATGCGTAATACAGTAAGGTCACCAATTAAACCCCAAATTGGTCCTATTTACTACAACCAAAGCGCCAATATAACTCCACTCCAGACGGTCAATATGCTTATGCATTTGTCTATGTGATGTGTGCAAAATTCCTCAATTTTAGAAATGAATAAAGTCACAATATTTTGGACATAGTTGAATCATATAAACTATTTCAGGATCATTACTTTTGGTAATGGCCCCTGGGTTAATAACCAGAGGCTTAGTAACCACAAAGTTAAAATGTCCCTGGCAGACAATTTTCACAAAACAGATGTTTATTTTTGTATGCGTGTATGCATGCGTGAAAACTGACACATATTGGAAGAACAGGTGTCAAAAGAATTTAGCTCACTTACATCATACAAGAGTCTGAGCTCTCCTAACAAAAAATTACAGAAATGCTGATGGAATAGTCAGATCTATACTCCCACTCTAGATATTTGGATATGAAATTATTTTTGGTAACTCTAGAATTGGACCATATGACTGCTGTTGAGGCAATTATTGACCCGTCAACAAGATGGTTGTTGATGTATTATACATAAACTAAGAGGTTTAACTATAATGAGACCATCAACACAAGGAACTTGTACCTCCCAATCGAGAACCGTGTCCTTAAGTTTTGAGCCACAAGCTGCATTGGAACAACATCGTGGTGTCTCTTTCAATCCAATAGTTTCCACCTCAAAATCTCGCAAATACCTTCACAAGATAAATTTGTCGAATCAATTCTTTGTTACAGAATCTTTTTAAAAGAAGCCATGATAGCATATGTTACTAAACGAGACTCAATTGCCGACCTGAAATATTAAGCACACTATTGTTGAAAGCCATAAAAGAAGGTCGAATGTCCAAGAAGGGTCATGTGTACTTTGAAAAGACAGGTTGGAGATTGAGATAATCTTACTCAAATCCACAAGAAGGACAAATTTCCATGAAGGAGTTCCCGTGCAATTCGGCAAGTTTCTTTCTTGGTATTCCAGAACGAAGATGCAGGCCATCAATATTCTAGCAATAGAATAGTAAGCATCAACCAAGGGAGTCAGAAACTCAATCATATATGGGTACACATAACTACTAATTTAAATAAATGCCGGGTGGTTGAGAAGCACAGAAAGCCATGGTCACAAAATTTTGAATACTAACTCCAATATGTTTGCATTGTCCAGATTTTCGAGGAATGCATTATGCCTTTGAACTGTGCTTTATAAAGTAAAAACTCCCCCCCCCCCCGGCACGGGGGTTAGGGGTTCTCCCTTAAACAAAGAAGTTCTTCCGCAAATTCAGTAAATGATGAGTAAGAGTGGTTATGTTACAGTGTCACTCCCTTGTTAGGCTATTTGCAAAATTATATATCCAAAGGACATCATCTTTCTTCAAATTTTAGCATAAGAATAAGACAGACTTCTAACCTCAATCATAGGTTGATAAAGTAGGGATTGTATATCGCAATAGATTAGAAACTAAAAAGCATGATAAAACGAGTGTTGTAAATTGCAATAGATTAGAACTTAAAAGAACCATTTTATAAACTTGCCTAAAGTAGTGGGAAGGCTCTCTAGAAAAAGAACAAAAAATGACCAATATCATAAGCAATTTATTTTGGAAAATAGATTAAGGCATATATATAGCTGGACAATTAAAAGCAAAGTTTTACCTGGCTGATAACAAACTTTAGAAGACCAGCTTTCTCTAGTTCAACCAAAGCCATGTGGGTCATGCTTGGCATTGCACGATGAAATGGCAGTGATGCTTCTGGCAGCGCTTTGCCTTCCCGCTACAAGTCAGTAAGAAAGGATCAAGCCCCGTCTAAGTATGATCAATTTATTTACAGGTAAGGCAATGTGAATATTAAATTGATATAAAAAACCAACTTGACACAATACAAATGATCGAATGATGTACCTACTACAATCAATACGTAGCATATAAAAAGAATGGAAAAATTGGCTAACCCACTCGATCTCTAAAATCAATGGGTACCAGACTACTAAATGCCTTTTATTTTATATGTCCCACCTTCATTCTGCCTTATAATGCAAGTAGTGACAACTGCATCCTGTCCATATCCATTATTATATGGCATTACACTTCCTTTTAGGCCACCAAGTCAGACACCAACACCAAGGTTTATGCCCCCATTATATGAGTTTGAAAAGACTCAAGCTATGTTAGTTAGAAAGACTTTGCAGGTCCTCTGGATGTATTTTGAACGGGAATCTTTTACTTTCTTTTGTTTACCTTATGATGTATCCCTTGTTGTTTGTGCCCTTATACTCTATCGTTGAAGTACTTATCAAAATAGATCAGATATATAGTAATAACCTGAAAGACTTCCCAATTCCATTACTATGCTTTCAAGTAATTCAAAGTTTTCTGCAATAAAGTGACATAAATTTCTCGTTACAAAATATGCCAGCACTCATAGTCATATCACTTTATTGCTTCCATTAGGGAAGAATCTTCTGCTAATGTTTTAAAGCGGTTGAATTTCCCCTGCATAAATTTTCTTTGAAGGATGCTGTTTGTACGCGAATGTTAAAGAATATTCATCTAATGCATTTTTCGAACTTGGGCAGATCACCAACTATGAACTAACAGATAAGGCTCCAAGAAAAAATTAAATGGGTTGAGCAACAATACAATATTCAACCATTTATCTGGTGGGCAAAACCCCGGACATACATGTTCATTACATCGATTAAACCACATCAAATGATTGAATTAGGGGTGCGAGCATAATACAGTTGCTACCAAACAAAAACATGGTGATCCCTGGTCATGAGTAAATGTATACTACTTACCTGAAGAGTCCAAATGCCTTTAGGACCACGAAAGTCAGGTATACCACAAGAAGTAGAAATTCCTGCTCCCGTAAACACCACTAGATGCTTACTCTGCAAGTAAAGAAAAAAGGAATAAAAGTTGATGATGGAGACTCAACATGACAGCCCATAAATTATGAATCAGAGGAGTGATTCATTGGCAGGTCTGACCTTCTGTATCATCATGGCAAGTCGTTCAATCTGCCATTGCAAAATCCAAAACCCAGTGGAGGAAAGCATAAAAAGAAAACATATGGAAACGTAGTGTATTATCAGTGCATCAAACATAATATAAAAAAAAATGTTAAATAATATCTAACAAGAGAAAAAGTGGCTAAGATGGCAAAACAAGAAAACATATGGAAACGTAGTGTATTATCAGTGCATCAAACATAATATAAAAAAAAACATTAAATAATATCTAACAAGAGAAAAAGTGGCTAAGATGGCAAAACACGTTAAGTTACTCATAGAAGAATTGAGCACGATCTCTATTTTCAAATAGTAATTTGGGCTATGTTATATATTTTCCTCTCAGATAAATACAAGCATTTATATTTATACTAATTGAAAAAATTAAATAAAACTATTGTATCAATTCAAGAAAATGTTAGTCTGGGAGGATTTTAGAAAAGGACCAGTATACACACTCTCTGTGCTAACAATTCCAAAGCCACGTGTTTTGTAGCCGTCATTTTACTCAGGCAAATTTTCTTCACAAGTAACCAAAAACATTGGGAAGTTCATTTCTTTCTCGTCAACCAAAGTCAAGTAAGGGCATTTTTCCATGACTTACTTCAAGTGCTGAGCATACCCTACTGACTGACAATTTCCAAACCTAGAAATTTCAAGTATACACGAGAAGAAATGAAGTATAAAATAGTAGATGATCTATGGATGGACACAAGTTGTGACTAACTTTTGTGAGTTATATATCAACTCGTAGAAACATACTATCCCCTCACCCAATCACGGGATATCCTTGTCTATTTACAAACCAACTTATTCCATCCTATGTCTCATAAACATATCCAGACATCCATGTTGTCTAAGAATGATTAAATGTCGACTCACAAGTTTTTTTCTCCTACAACAACAGCAACACTATTCTGCTTCGGAGCTCATCATCTGCATACGGTTCTTGGTGGTGTCCGAGATACCACTATCAAAGCTATGCCCAATTCCAAGGAAGATATGGTTATTAAACCAATATTCTCCTATAAAGTATAACAATAACTAACATCCTTTGGAACAGGGATCAAGTTGGAACACGAATCACTGTGGTGAAAATGGAAAGAGGAATGCAGTACATAACTTACCCTTGCAGGTGGTACAATAGGTGGAGACCTGCATTACTTGTGTGCATTTCTTAAACATAAAGGTTAATATGGTATGTTTGGCTTCATTGTAAAAAATCGATTGTCTTTCTTACTATGAAATGGTAAAGCAGAACACATTCATTCGTCTCATTATGCTTTTACTCATTTTGTAGATACTTTCTGGGGAAAAAGGGGAGCAAGATTCAAATTTCACATTTTTGATGTTTTAAAAATATTTATCAAAAAACGGAATATTTTAGAATGGAACTGCACCATTCAAGCAGTGTGAGTCCAATCATCGATCTATAGTGTTAGTATTGCAATGATGCTGACTATGAATGACTACCTAAAGCAATTATATCAGAAGATATAACCGCTTGATCCCCCTAAATTATGAGAAATTAGCACACCTGAAGCAATTATATTACAAGATATAACCACTCGATATCCCAAAATTAGGAGAAATTAGCACCAAAAAAAACAGATAAACAGTTTTCCAGGATGTTTTTCATACAGGAGGGTGAGTCTTGGCGCAATCATAAGATTGCTTCATTGTGATGGGGCACAGGTTCTAGTTGTGAAACAATCTCTCTGCAAGCAGGGATAAACTTTCGTACATCTAGCCAAATAGTCATGTAATACATTTTACACAACACAAAATGCATCGACCGAGTGAAATGTAAGGCAGAACTCCAAACAAGCAGCAAGTAAGGATAACAAGAAACTGGCCCTATCAAGGTAACAACCAACTTAGGGGGTTCTTCAATTGTCAATATATTCTCTGAGAGTATGATATCTATTGCAGATGAAACAAATCGAATGCGTGCCTTTTTGTCTAAATCTTGAAGTTCCCAGTTAGGATACTGTCAATCAAACCCTTGAAAATTCGCATATTCCTCTATCTCATCTTATTTTTCATGATTATCAATGAAAGAACTTTCTAGATTCACATAAACCACATTGGCGATTGATAACAATGCAATAAATTTGCCTGCATTACGCAAAGGGCTCCCAGTGCTTGATTTCAATACAAACAAAACTTCACGCATTCAACTATTTCAGCACAAACGGAATTCAATAGTAGTGTATATAAACGTCAATACCCAGATGCCAGACCTCATCAAAGAACTAAACAACACGGTTTTAACGCCCTAAACAGAGTTACACAGTAAACCATTGCACTACACCGATTAGAGATTGAAAACAGACTTAAATAGCTCTCTTTAAGAATTGATCAACAACTAGTCAACTAATGTGAGAAGAAACAAGAACAAGCAAATCATATTATAAAAATGAAAATGTCAACAAAGCAGAAGGAATGAGGGGCAAAAAAAATCATACTTTCTCTTGCAAAACGTCAGGTGGGTCGAAAATCTCTGACATTCCAACTTTGCCCACATCTTCTATGTACGAAAGCTTCTCTGCATAACCCAGAGACATGGCGGTTTTGCTTTGGGAAAAAACCTCTGTCACTCTCTCTCTCTAAAAGTTGATCAAAAAATGAAGGGGGGCAAGGAGTCTTGCTTTTTCTTTTGCAGTGTTACTAGTAGAAGTAATTTGGTTCTTTATAGGAGACCCCAAAAGCCAATATAGGCATTCCCCTGCATAACTGGAAAGAATTTTCGGTTGAAATTACTTCAATGCCCATATTTTACTGGAGAGTACTGTATGACTTTGCTAGTATTGCCCTTGACTTAATAACCCCATGTTGCCCAAGATTCATGTTTTAGACAATATCAATGTTGTGCATATTGCCAATGATTGAATCAAGTCGAGACTTACTATTATATCGATATAGCCATCGGTTCAAAAGGCGCGTAATTGATTTGGGTCAATTCTCACCCAAAAAAAATCAACCCTAATTTAAAATTATAGGCATTGCGGTGACCATGAGTTTCGGATAGTTTCATCAACATAAATTAGCTAGGAAGCACTGCAATACACAAGGAGTCCTGATTCAGAAAGCCCATCACATAACACAACCTGTATGCAGCTTCATAAAAAGAGCTATTTGTAAAACCTCTAGCGTTTTGTCGCAGAACCTGTGAAACATGGGTTTGGGAGGACCATGGAGCTTATCCATTGTCATTGCAGTGGCCTCGGAAGGGGGTCATATCTACTGTGTCCAGTGCCATTGCAATCTTGAGAAGTGATGTAAATGTGATGCCCCTTGCCCAATTTCAACAGTAAACAGAGATGGTCCAAGGACCATCTTCTTTCTTTCAGAAGAATAAAGGCTCTTGTTATACAATCCCACAGAACTCAAACCATGAATCCATCTCAGTTCTTATTCATTCCCTGTTAAGCTTATTAAAGTCGAAAAATAGTCAATTTACCTTACATTTCTGTCTAAATTCCCTTTGTGTACAACTCACCACTCCATAATCCAAATTCTAACCAGTCTCTGTTTGTCATGGAAGTGCAGTAATTGAGACTGCTTTGAGGAATATGGAGAGAATGGTTTTGTTGAAGATAAGATCATACCATATGGTGGAATCAACCAAATTGATTTTCGGATTCTTGTTTATCTCAATTGAATGCGGCTGTATCTTCACCCTACATAGGGGGTGTAATTCAGTTTTCTGTATGTACCAAGTATCAATAGTAAGATATATAACTCATCAGCGTATTTGGTCTGTAGATGAATGTTTAATAAACCGACCCACGTTAAAATTCCTTGTGTTGTTGCTCAAGTACTTTCTCTCTGTATCTTTCTTATTTAAATTTTATCAAGTTTAATCACCATGACAAAAATCAGAATATAGAAGCATTTAATAATATGATTAGATTGGACTGTAGATGTCTATTTAATTTTCAAATTGCCCTTCTATAACAATGATTACATTTAGACATTATAGCACAAAGGCCAATTGCTGGCTTCTTAACAAGAAACACAATGGCAATCAATCACGCTATACTGCCAAAAGACCAGTCAACCCTTGTGCTAACCAACTCCAACATTGATGTCCCCTGTACTTATGGAACTACATAAAACATCATTTTGTGACTGTTTTTTCCTGTGTAGCAATATGAAGAACAAAGATCCATTGACTCAGTAGGTGTCTTTTTTTTTGCAAATCAATAATCGGCTTATAACTGCATTTAAAAAATAAGTTGAACTAAATAAGGTGTAATGAAATGTTTCTGGTAGATATTTAGAGGGAAAGGGGGAAAAGTTTATGCACAAGTAAATCTGCTGTTGACTGCCGAAACATATACTTTAAAAACAAAGAGAGTTTTGGATGTTTTTACTTTCTAATTCAATCTAGTTTGATCTGAAAATTTTATTAACAACCCTTTGTTTTTCAAGTTCAATGGGCAGTATCCCAAGACTTAAAAAGCAAAATTGAAGATAAATCCATGGACACTTCCAAAAGGGCATAGATTTTAAAGAGGTAATTGAGCTTTTAAGAACTCATAGCTCTTAGGAATCCTATTGTTATGTCGACTTGTGACACAAAGTTCAGTACATTTATAGATAAACATATGGTACAGAGATTGAAATCTTCAAAAACAAGATCCATCTGCGATTTTTTTAGGAGACTTTTCAAGAGAACACGACGATGGCAATTGAACTCTCAGAAATATTGGTTGGTTGTAGATGTAACAAAACCCCTTGAATGCATTGATTGTAAATCTTTCATTTTGCTGTACTCATTTCCCTATAGTGTCGGCCTTTTTGAGTGTGACTCTTTGTAGTTTTTTTCATCAGGGTTTAGAAATTGGAGAATTGAGCAAATTGCTGATGTAGATTCTTTTGTTTTTGTGTGTAGATTCATTCAAATAAGTCAAACTTTCATGCTACTTGTACATAGGTGACAATGTGTTTGCCATGTGGCATTAGTACCCGTAATATGCAAAACCACCATCAAGTTTTTCACTCCCTTAGGTATGACATCCTTAATTATCTGCTGTGTCTTCGTGAAAGCCTGCTTTCTGCTACCAAGAAAGACCGTATGTCTGTGGAAAAACTCCCTTTCCTTACAGCAGTTGGGCTGTTGTTTTTAAGCATTGGGTATGCAGAGCTAGGAGACGGGTCTGGCAATGTCATGCCTTCTCCAATTGCTTGTATGAACTGCACATTCTGCCAATATCCCTGCCACTCTCTCCCTCCACCACCACCACCTTCTGGCCCTTTCTACGAAGTGCCACCGCAACCACCCGAAGGAAACCCATCACCACCTTTTGGTCCTTTTTATGGAGTGCCACCGCAGCCACCTTCTGGACCTATATATGGAGTGCAGCCACCACCATCACCACAACTGGGTCAAGGCAATTACCCACCAACTCCATGTGTTCCCTGCTACCATTACCCTCCAACTCCTAATGGTTATGTGCCTTTCGGCTGTTCTGCAACTTCCCCTTTGCACTTTCCTTTTGTTTCTTCTAAGGTTTTAGTGCTTTCCTTTGCTCTTTTGTTCTAGGCTTCATAGTCTTGTGATGGGACTCTTCTGAAAAAGCCTATGATGAAGACACGTGTCCTCGGGGGTTTCTAGAACAATGTTGCTCGGGTTCAAGCACCATCGGCAAAAACGTCCTCTCCCCCGAGGTACCTCTCATATAGGATCACATATTCGGTACATTATACAATGACATGTGTCCTCGGTCACCATGTACCTTGGGACACACCACCCCTTGGTCCCCCGAGGTGAGCCTTTCCTCGGCGCCGAGGGTCACTCCATCCTGGACGCTTCCTCTACTCCCGGATAAAGTTACTGACGTACGGGACATCAGCCTATGCCAGTCTAGACTATTCATCATGACCTCGTCTTACACACGTAATGTCAGAACATGCTGGAATACAGAAGTCATAGCCAATACGTGACGGACGCGTGGCATATGATATCACATCAAAAACAGGCAAACCGCACGCTGTTGCTGACATGCGCTTTGGGAAGCAAACAAATAATTACACCCTTCTGTTGACGAGACCGCATTCAATGCGGTAAAGTTCGGATATGAAAGGCAATAAATGCTCCTATTACGGAGCATTTATTACATCCTTCCCGAAAGGAGCATATTGTACCGTCGGCGTCCCGACGACTCAACATTGATTGCTCGGGACCCCGAGCAGTCAATTAGAGAGGACATTCCTCGTCAAATCAATACACACGCTACCAGTGCCTGATGATCACCTACTGACCACACTGACAGCAATCATGAGCTTCTAAGGTATAAATACCCCTCCCAAAAAGGCAAACATGTATGAAATCTAAAACTCTCTACTACGAAATATCCTCCTCAGTGTTTTCTCCTTCCTCTCTCTCATTCAAAGACTGACTAGACCGTCGGAGGGGATACGCCGGAAAACACTCCGGCGCCCTTCTAACTTGTTCTCTTTTGTCCCAGGAAATACCTTTCGCACGTACAGGATCGTTCCTCCTTTCCCAGGATCGTAAGCTGTTTCGAGCAGTGTGTTTGGCCACTCAATCGGCTCACCCAAAGTTCACCAGGGGAGAGATCTGTTCCCAATATTTTATATATATCGTGCAGGATCAAACCCGCACATCTTGCAATGTTTTGTTTTATGTCATGGGTGCATAGAATCATTGCTTTACATTTTTTGGTTGTTTTTAGTAAAAATAGTATAATAATTAAGCAAGCGATGGTGTTTTTTGCTATTGTTTCTTTTTCTGCTAAGATTTTGCTGCTCTCCTCTGCTATTTGTTCCAGGACTCAATACTCTTGCAATGTTATGTTCTTGACTGCATAGAATCAAGACCTAACAAAGTTGCAATTTTTAGTTGTTTTGGTGGTATGGGGTAATAATTAAGCATTGGTGTTTATACTTTTTGTGTATAGATTGTACCGAATACTCTTTCGAATTCAATGTTTACATGACTGACACCGTGACACGAGCCAACCGTGTGTATATCTGATGAATTATGAAGCCGGTGTGAAAATACAAGAAATTAGTATTGGAGTGTGTTGAATCTCACGTTAAAAAGAGTAATATTACATGAATTTAGGTAGTGTTTAGTAACCATGGAGTCAGATCCCCTCCATTATCCCTTCCCTTCAATTCCCCTCAATACAATGCTAGATGAGTGACACGTGTAAAATTTTGAACTTCAACGGATAAGATTTTGTTCTTGTAAAAAAATTCATTAATAATGGTTAGCACTCCACCAACAACAAAAATGAACGAAGAAACATCTTATCCATTAAAATTCAAAATTTTACACGTGTCACTCATTTAACACTGTATTGAAGGGAATGGGTAATGGAGGGGATCCAAATCCGATAGCTATGTGTTTGTTTGTTTGTTTTTTTTTTTTGTCTTTTTGCTAAAAAAAACACTAACGTATTTGGAGAGTGTTTTTTTTTTTTTGGTTAGTCTGTTTTGTAAACAACCCCAAAATTTAAAAAATCAAAAGAGGTGTTTTTGAAAACACAAAAAAAGGAAAACAGGTGCGTCCCTTTAACACATTTAATGAGGTCTAGCCTTCGAACTCCATTAGCAACAAAAAAAAAGGGTTTTTTTCATTCCCACAATAAAAGCATTTCTTACCCCTTTTTCCTCTTCCCTCGTTCATCTCTCTCACGAGGCAGCAACAAAAGAGCCAGCACACACATACTCTCTCTCTCTCCCTCTCTTCTCTAATGGGTTCTACTGGGGAGTTAAGTGGTTGAGTTTTGTGTGTGGGTGGGTGGGGGGTGGGTTTCAGTGTGTGGATTAGGGGTGGGTTTCAATAGATTTTAGTGGTGGGGTGGATTGTGGGTTTCGGTTGGTTTCAGTGGTGGGGGTGGTTTTCGGTTGGTTTCAGTGGTGAGGATGGGTTAGGGGGTGGGGTTTCGGTGGAGGTGGTGGTGGATTGAGGGTGAGTTTCGATTGGTTTCAATGATAAGGGTGGATTGGGGGTGGGTTTCAATGGTGGGGGTGAGTTGTGGGTTTTGGTGGAGGTGGGGATGGATTGGGAGTGTGTTTCGGTTGGTTTTAGTGGTGGGGGGTGGCTAGTGGGGTTGAGTGGGTGGGCTTTCATGGTGGGGTTAGGTGGTGGGATTTGGGTGATAAATCTTTGGACTAATATCAAACAAGTTTTTTATTTTTGATTTCCTAATTTTTAAAATATAAATGACTATCAAACATGTTTTATATTTTTAATTTTTATCACAAAAAAAAAAAAAACAAAATGTAATTCTATTTTTTTTATAAAAAAAAAACATAAAAATAAAAATGTTACCAAATGCACACTTAAAAATTAGACTTAAAAAATAGATTTAATAATCACAATTATTGAATAATTAGTACGTCCCAATAAATACTGGAATCTACAATAAAATCAATAGCAGTTGTAATTATCAAATCTATTTTTTAAATCCATGAGTATTGCTCCCTTAAAAAAATATCTCTGATGATGGGCTAAATCCAATGGCCCAACTTATGTTACAAGCCCAATGACCCAACTCCAAGAGGTCCAACTAGCCAAGTCCAAAGGAGTCTGCACCCCGGTCAAGTTCATCAGATTCCACGAGTTATATCAGTAGAGCAACATGCAAGGCCATCCATAGGCGCTTAGATCTCCTCTGCAGGCGCCTAGCTCTCCTTTGTAGGCGCCAAACTTTCCTCCTCTATCACCTTAGAGTAAGGGTCATCCAAGAGTCTTATCCTCTTCCCCTTGGAAAGAGTCAACATCACGTCATCATTTGACCGAATCCCATGGAGAGCACCACAACTGCCTAGCCTGTTGAGGAGAAATCGTGAGCTCCACCAGAATAGTTATATAGTTGCTAATACCTCGCCCAAATTTGTTAGGAGGACGACTATAAATTGTAAGCCCCACTAACACTTGGGAGGAGGAGGATGAGCAAGATCACACTCCTACTTAAGCACGACTCTCCTCTCTCTCAAAGCTTGTACTATTTGTTTCTCATACCCTTGAGCTAATAAAAGTACCCGGCGACCAGAGCCATTCAAGAGTAGACGTAGGTCACATTGACCAAACCACTATAAATTGTTTGTGTCTCTCCATCTCCTTATTTTACTCTTGCATTTATTATTCACACTTGATAGGTGGTGTGCAAAAATTATTTTGTGCATCATCAGTTTGACACCGTCTGTGGAAATTGACTAAATTCCCACTTTTAAACACTCTCTCAGTTGAACCTATGACGATCACCATTAGATCCATGAATCAACCTAAGGATAATCCACAACGAGAGGAGGAGGTTGTTCCTCCACCTATCAACCCTGTCCCAAATGCTCCAGTTCCAAATCCTCAACAAATGTTGGAGACCATGCAGCAGATGGTGGCCCAAAACCAACAGATCCTGTAACTTATGCGCCAGACAAAGAAGAGCATAACTCCCTGGACATCAAAGAGCTCCATATCCTGGACCTCAAGGAGCTCCACGCCCTGGACATCAAGGAGCCTCACGCCCTACTGCTCCCCATTTGGGCTCCTATGTAGGTCTAGGTGCCCCACACAAGGGAGCCCATCCTGAGAGACCTCCAGGTCCTCTTACTTCCCATGGTGAAGACCCTCATCTCCAAGAAGATGATGACTAAAACCAAAGCATGGAGCATGAGAGTCATTTTCATGATCATTCCAGAGGAGACAGTAATCATTGGGACAAGAAAATTAAGGAAGTGCAAAATCAATTAGGTGACGTCTTCAACGCCATGAAGGCGCAGGGACCCGAGACAATGGACTACCTTGTAAAGAGGACAAACACGCCTTTCAAACCTGACGTGGCGAACTACCCCCTCCCTCAAAAGTTTAAAATGTCATCTGTGGAGACCTTTGACGGAACAAAGGATCCACTTGATCACCTCAAAACCTACAAGACCTTAATGCAACTGCACAACGTCCCCCGATGAAATTATGTGTAGGGCATTCCTAACTACCTTGAAGGGATCAGTGCAACAATAGTTCACCAAACTCACCCCGGGTTCCATAGGATCCTTCGCCGAATTAAATAGATTATTTGTGGCACAGTTCATTGGTGGATGCCGCCAACAAAAGTAAGGAACTGCAAGGATGCCCAAATGCCCAACGGGGACACTAAGAAGCCCAGCAAAGACTTTTAAGCGCCCAAACTGGGTACCCAGGTAGCCCTTGCAGGCGCCCAAGCTGCACCTCCAACTCCTGATGCCCAGGCAGCCTCTGTAGGCGCCCAAGCTGCCCCTCTAGCTCCTGATGCCCAGGCTACCACCCATCTGCTCAACATAAAACAGGATCGAGACGAGAGTCTGAAGAGTTATCTCACTCGTTTTAACGAGAAGGTCCTCCAAATCGAGGAGTCCAATGACAAAGTCACTATGGCCACCTTTCTGGGAGACCTCCACTCATCCAAATTTCTTTTTTTAGTAATATAGCGACCACCAAAGAGCATGCTAGAACTATTGATAAAAACTCAAAAATATATGAATGCTGAGGAAATTAACAGGTCCAGGCGAGGTAAATCATCTCGGGGATCTCCAAAACCTTGGCCTGCCTCTGCATTGTTCTTAAACAGGCAACCTCAATATCTAGCTTAGCTACTTTCTCGCGGGTCGCCAAAAGCTTGACCTCTGCACTATTCTCAAACAGGCAACCTTAATATCTAGCTTAACTACTCTCACAGAACACCAAAAGTTTGGTCTCTGCATTGTTCTCAAACAGGTAGCCTCAATATCTAGCTTAGCGACCCTCTCACGGGTCGCCAAAAGATTGGTCTCTGCATTGTTCTCAAACAGGCAGCCTCAATATCTAGCTTAGTGACCCTCTCACGGGTCGCCAAAAGTTTGACCTCTGCACTGTTCTCAAACAGGCAGCCTCAATATTCAGCTTAGCGACTCTCTCACGGGTCTCTAAAAGTTTGGTCTGCCTCTACACTGTTCTCAAATAGGCAGTCTAAATATCCAACTTAGCAACTCCTTCACGGGTCGCCAAAAGTTTGACTTATGCACTGTTTTTAAACAGGCAGTCGCAATATCCAGCTTAGCGACTCTCTCGCGGGTCGCAAAAAGCTTGACCTCTGCATTGTTCTTAAACAAGGCAGTCCTAGGCTCGCCCATGGCATTCCCCCCAAAACGCCTGAGGCAGCTCTAAGCTCGCCCAAACGAGGCAGCCAAGCAGAGGTGTCTGACGCTTAATGCTCGCCCAAACGAGGCAGCCCAGCACCTGGAGAGGTGTCTGACTCCCTCTGTTACCCCAAACAGGGAAGCCCAGCATTGCCTGGCCCTTCAAAATTGGGCAAAACATCATCTCTGGTGCTCAAATCAACGCCTATGGCGCCCAGATCAGCTCTTGGAGTGGCATCCAGATCTGCCCCCTACAGACTGCTGCCTAGCTCTCTCCGCTGCTCCCTGGCCCGATTTTCTGCACCTCAAACTGGAAAAAGGCTGCTACCCAGCGCGCTTAAGTTGCCCACGACAACATTATTAGCACCTAAGCAGCTGCCCATCGCACCAGAGCTATCCAAGACAGCATTATCAGCACCCAGGCAGCTATCCATCGCACCAGAGTTGTCCAAGACAACATTATCAGCGCCTAGGCAGTCCATATTGGCACCCAGGTTGCTGCCTATCTCGCCCATGTTGTCCATCACATTCCCTGCATGCTTACTTGGGTTGGAGATTTTGCCAAAACTACCCAAACCCGCACCTAGAACGCCCAGACCAGCACCTACAGCCCCCCTCGTGAGCTGTTGGTGCGCACCCATGGCAGCGGCGGCTAGCGGGGACTTCTCTCCTCCTCCTCCTTCAATCCTTGCAGCTCCAAGAGCACCATGACCGTTGGATTTAGCTCCAACTTCGCCACCCTCCATGGCACCAATGGAGTTTTTCACTCCAGCTCCTCTAAACAACATTAAGTGTGCACCAAAAGCAAAAATGCATCATGCAAGGGAAGAGTCATTTAGCAAAGGAAGTCTCCACCACCCAAAACTCAAGATGCAAACGAATATCTTCCTTTTCAAGCTCCGTTGGACGCAGAACATTAGGGGGCAAAGGATGGGTCAAGCCCAAAGGCCTAACTCATGTTACAAGCCCAATGGCTCAACTCTAAGAGGTCCAGCTAGCCAAGTCCAAAGGAGTTTGCACCCCTGGTCAAGTTCATCAGGTTCCATGAGTTATATCAGTAGAGCAGCATGCAAGGCCATCCTCAGGCGCTCAGGTCTCTTCTGCAGGCGCCTAGCTCTCCTCTGTAGGCGCTCAACTTTCCTCCTCTACCACCTTGGAGTAAGGGTCATCCAAGAACCTTATCCTCTTCCCCTGAAAAAGAGTCAACATCCACATTATCATTTGACAGAATCTCATAGAGAGCACCACAATTGTCTAACCCGTTGAGGAAAAGTCGTGAGTTCTACCAGAATAGTTATGCAGATGTTAATACCTTGCCCAAATTTGTTAAAAAGGCAATTATAAATTGTAAGTCCCATCAACACTTAGAAGGAGGAGGATGAGCAAGATCACACTCCTACCTAAACACGACTCTCCTCTCTTTCTCAAAACTTGTACTCTTTGCTCTCCATACCCTTGAGCTAATAAAAATATCCGATGATCAGAGCCATTCAAGAATGAGTGTAGGTCACATTGACCGAACCACTATAAATTATTCGTATCTCTTCATCTCTTTATTTTACTCTTCCATTTATTGTTCTGATAGATAATGTACAAAAATTATTTTGTACATCATCACCTGTCACTTCAATTCTACCCATAGAAAAATAAACAGACCGATGATTATATAATTGAAAATCTACATCATCTGTGACTAACAAACATTTAGAAACTTACAGGGACAAAGGCGAATCACAACCATACTGACACTCTCTCAATCATAAAAACGAAATTAATTAAAGAAAAAAATATTAAAAAAACACACATAAAACCCCCCAAAATAGAAAAAAAAAACTAATAAGTTAATAGCCACAAAGGCCTTACTTATTTCACAGGTTCAAAAAAAAAAAAAACCTAATAATTAACTCACGAAAAGAAGAAAGCCAAACACAGACTCAATCCCAAAGCAACAAATCTCTCTCCGTTAAATCCAACGGCGCCGTTATTGTCCGCCGTCTGATCCGCTGGATCTCCATCAGGAGAATCCGCGGGCGAATCCGCCGGAGAAGCTGGTGCAGGTGGCGAGTTATGCTTCTTGGAAGGCTTCGGAGCGTCCGCCACTGGTGCCGGCGCCGGAGCTGGGGTTAGAGTAGCCTTAAACAACTCCTTCGGCAGCAAAACCTTGTCGATCGTGAAAATAGCCAACGGTTGTTCATCGATCAGCGTCCCCGTTATCTTCGCCGTCACTCGCGTCGTCTTCAACGTCACGTCCTCGCCGTCATTCTGAACAGTAAAATCATACTTGTTCGCTCCATCAGTAGCCAAAGTGTTCATAACCCCGTTATTGGATTTCAACGTTGAGAGTGACTGATACACCGGAACGCCGTGATATTCCAACACCGATTGCTGTCCCGCAGCTGATAAATTCTTGTATTTCGGCAAGAAGTTCTTGAAAGCATCGTCGCCGGGACAAAATATCGTTAACCCACTTTCAATATTGTCGTCAAATGTCTTTTCAGCATCGGAGCCAAGCAATGTTTCGGCGAAGACTTTGCAGCCATGAGCGGACATGAGATCGGTCAGATTCGTCTGGCTCGGTCCCGGAGTCGGAGCTTCGGCTTCGGAAGACGGCAAGATCGAGCTGATTTGGATCACGGAAATGTTGTACGGAATTTCATCCACTGACTTGACAAATGTGGCGTCGACGGTGCCATCATCTTTGGTTCCGAAGCCGACTTTGCCACCGCGAAGATCTGTGATATTGACGAAGCCAGAGGATCCAGGAGCGTCTCCGGTGGCTTGGAACATGGTGGCGGCGAGGGCTGTGCCATTGGTGATCTGGTGTAGCTTCTTGGCTCCGAAATAATCCAAGAGGATATGGAAAGAGAGGACGTTCTTGATGGAGTTGATGGGGAGGTGTTTGGCGAGGAGCTCTGACATTCCGGCGTTGCTGACGACGCATACAGTGATGGTTGTTCGACGATTAATGTCGTCGGCGAGGTGTGTCACCGTTAATAAGTGGTTGAAGGTTGAGAACTCTGGGTACTTGGCAAGGATGCGAGTGATGTTGTGGGCCTCAGCGGAGTTGGGTAACAGGAAAACCATGACTGAGAGGAGGACCACCACTACCGACACAGTGGCCGTCAAGCGGAGCTGCATTGTGCCCTGTAGAGAGAGAGTGAAAAAAGAGAGAGACAGAGTAATAGAGCATGAAGGTTTTGGCTTTTTCTCCAGAGGCACACAGAGAATGGACGAGTGGGAATGGACTGAAGTGGAGATAAGACTGTAATAAGTAAAAGGAGATTTGGAGTGGTGGTAAAAATGACCAAGGATTTTGAGTAATTTACGCGGAGGGCCATTGCATAGCAGTGGGGCCTTAATGTAATTATTTAACTCGATTTGGTGATGAAAATGACTGAGTTTTAATGCGGGGTTGGTTAGGATTGTGGGATTAATGGGGACACAAGAAGTCTTGACACGTCAAACTGATGAAATTGGAAAGGGGGAACATGAAGCTACACACCTCTTTTCAAGGATTTCTAATAATTGAACTTCCTTCTATTTCTAATAACGGACTGATTAGATGCTCTCTTAATATTAAAAGTATTTAGGAAGTTCAATAATATGCTTGATGTCGGGATATAATCTTTCTAAAGCTCCCTTGAATCAACCATATGTGGAGAAAAGGAAGCAAAGTGGGAATTAGTAGAAGGAAAGGATTAGAATCTTTTGCTATTGAATCTGCTCTTACTGTTGGACTCCTATTTTCATAAAAATAAGTATAGTGTTGTAAATATTATAATTACAATCATTATGACGTCAACATAAAAGTAACAAATTATGCTAAGTCAGTCTCAAAAAGTTTTTCCCATTAATTTGATTTTGTTGTCTCAGATATGCTCAAAACTCAATGAAAAAAATTATAAGGACAAGTCTTATAGTTTTTCCAGAAATAAACCATTAAATCTTCAAGCTCAAAGTTTATTAGCTTGTATAAAAAAAATGTGTAATTAGATTTATTGTCATTATCATCTTTTGTGTGCAAGTTTGAGTTGTTCTATTCATACGTCTTGACTATTTATTTAAAAAGATAATTACACTTAGATTCTTTAATGTTTGTCACTTAATTAAATAGATCTCTTTATATTTGACAAATTACATTAAAAACCATTAAAATATATGCACGTATAACATATATTGGAATCTATATATAATTTATCATTTATTTTACTTTGATATTATTAGAGCCTCTCATGATTAAGTTGACAAAAAAGTTAGTGGTAGTTTTCAAAGGATAGTTTCGTCTTTTAACTCCACCATGCCGCCTCCTTTCATGAGAAGATCACAGATTAGCAACTAGCTGTGAGAGTGAAAAGTGCAACAGATTAGCAACTAGCTGTAAGATTGAAAAGTAGAGAGAGAGAGAGAGAGAGAGAGAGAACAGATCACGTGGATTAGGTATCCAAGTTGAGCAGAAATTAAGGCGAGACAACAATAAAAGGTGTATGTACTGCCAAAGACCGCCACACAAGTATAGAATATGCCAACAGTACACCGCACTCTTTGCTTTCCAGTGGATTACACGCTTATACATTGGATTGGAATAAAATCAACAAACCACGATGATATGATCATCAACGTGTCCTCATATTTGAATAAAATTCATTATATGTGTGAATTTCTAAAAAATATGAAGTGAAATTTGTTAGGAAAATAAGTTTAAGAAAAATAATAATATAATAACCCTCTCTCTATATATTATTGGGCTAATCATAGTTTTGATCGGGTCCAGGGGCAGCTTCTAGAAGGACACATTTGCTGTTTATATACATTTAGGGAAGTTTTACAAATTACCACCCACCCAATCATTTAACTGAAAATTCTTCCTCATACAAATCATTTTTTATTATATAAAAAACAAAGCCATTAGGATTCAAGTCTAGACACCCTAACCATTAAACAAAAAAAATGTTGATTGGGTTTGGGGATTCAAATTTCCTCTAATTTTTTTTTTTTTTTTCCAATTCAATATTTGATAGATGATTTATTCGTAAGACAATAAAAAAAAACCTATTAGATTAAATCTGGACTTCAAAAATAGCTGTAAAATAAAACTGCGTGGAGGTATTTTCGTAGTTTCTGGGAAAAGCGAGGCCCACTTTAGCGGCTAAAGCATGTGAGCACAGGTAAGTTGTCTGTAGTCAGGGTGAAGGGTGTGGGACCCAACACAGCTCGAAGCTGCATGTAACCCCACAAAGTTTTGCCAGCTGGCATCAACCAATGAGATGGTACCACGTATACGGAATCTCATGGACAGTACAGTCTGTGAAGTGTGAGAAAGATGGCTCCGCCGACGAGAGCTGCGTTCGTTTGCTTTCGTTTGCTTCTACGAGGTTCTTTTGTTTCCAAGTTTGACGGTTACGATTTTTTCTAATCAGGAATCAAACAGGCTTAAAACTCGAGCTAGGGCTCGAGCCATGTTTAAAGAAAAAAAAAAAACCTCAAAACTCTGGCTCACGTTTAGGGGTCTTCCTCCGGTCAAACTTTTTTGAGTTACAATTTATGTTTGCGAAGCTTATTTTTTAAATAAATTTGAAAAAATATTTAAGCTTAATTTGTTTAGAAAATAAGTTAAACTTAAATAATTTGATTATTTTTATATAAAAGAGTCAAGTTTTCAACTTGAATTTAATTTTTTTGTCTTATTTTTTTTAAACAAGTCTTAAAAATAAAACGAAAATAAAAAATGTTCAATTTCATCTCATTTAAAACACAAATTAAACTCGTTGGTCAAGTCCGAGACTCCGAGTCTCCCATATTGATTAACACCACTAACTCTTTGATTAATCATTTCTGTCTAAAATCACAAGTTCCACTTGCGTGAATCTCTTTTCTAATGAAAAAACCTCAAAACTTGAGCTCATTAATTTATATTTTTTTTTCAATAACCTAATTGTGTGTAACGGCTATAATTGTTGATCTCGGATTTTTAAATTTTCAATTTTTTTTGCAGATTTTTTGAGTTTTTTTTTTTATGAATAAATTTAGAAACATCTAAATGGTGATAGACGTGTTGAAGAGACGTCATTTTATTTTCAAAGACAAATTTGTCTTGCAGAATGAAGTAGTTTTTTAATATCCAAAAAGATGATGTTTGGATGTATTGAGTATACAAGAACCTATACTCCATGATTTTTGTGAATTAAAGTATAATTTTATGAAACAACTATAATAAATCTAAAATTGGTTCTTGCATTTTAAGATCAATTCCAAAACTATAATTTTTAGGATTGATTAAATTATACCCTTAAAAAGGATCAGTTATAACTTTTTGAAGTATTTGAGATTTCAAAAAATTATAACTGTCTTCTAAAAATTATATTTTTTAATATGCTACCAAAAAAAAAATCCCTGACTATAAATTTAGGAAAATATTATACAACTCAAATGAAACATAAAAACTATAATTCAAATACGTATCATCTCTTAGTTGAATGTTGAATGTTGAATGAGTGGATTTTACTAAAAAAATTGATAAAACCCACCCATCCAATAGATGATATTCACCTAGGTTATATCTTTTTTGGATTTCATTTGAATGATATAGTATTACTCATGAACGCGTTGGGTATAATATTTGCCCCACTAGATGTCACAAGGGACACGAAATGTGGCGTTGCTTATGCATAAGCAACACACCTTATCTTCCTATTCTCCTTCCAGATCTTCCCTCTCCTCCGTCTCCTTGTACGTTCATCCTTAGCTTTGGACATGACTTCCAAAATCAAACCGGGTTCCATACTTAACAAGCAATTTGTTTTAGGACACAAGCATACTCCACCTTACATGGTCATTTGATCTTGTCTAGAATCAAAAAAAATATGGAGAGAAACTGTGCAGAGGAGATCCAGTTAACATTCATCCAAAGGAGTTCCCCCTTGGGAGATTGCTCCTTAGGTTGCCGTGGCAGCCATAGATAAATCTATACCAGAGATACTGTTCTCCCCGATTTATAAGCCATACTAGTTCTATCTGATTGAAATCCCTAGTCTCAATAATCACCTCTAGCATGGTACCTAAACCCTACCATGCCTTTGGTTTCAATTAATGTTATGGCCAATTCACCAATGGCCCTGATGCTTCTAGTTTTCCGTATCATCAAAGCAAAACTCCTTCACTCCCCCAAGTTTAGAAGACCCCATGACTAGTATCATTAAAACTGTTACAGATTACCCTATGCAATTTCTGTACAAGACTATGCCTGAAGAAGCATAAAAGGGCTCACAACCCTCCGGTGACAAATTCATCCTTCCTCCCAGATTACTTTCCCTCCCTCTCATCTCCTACTGCACACACTTGCAATAAACCAAATGCCACCTTCAACAACTCAAGCAGGCCCTAGAATCCAGTAACCATCATCTACAACCACCCAAGAAAATCTCTCTGTCCTCCCTTTCTTTTCCTTGACATTTTCCTGTTTTATTTTTGCTCTTCCCTTTGCTTGTGATATACCTGTAGCTCCAAGAGCACACCAACTCTTTGATTAAAAAAGCCCATGTCAAGTTAGACAGAAACTTCTCAATCATGGCTGCTGGTGTGCCAGACAAAACTGCCAAACCATTTCCACCCCCACGCCTCAACCCTTTACCAAAACCTTCACATTCTCCCACCCTCTCTCCCTGCACCTAGAACTCCATAACCACACATTTTTCCGCTCCACCAATGCCTTTAACACCCTGTCAAAATCCCAACAACTAACAACACACCACCCCAGAAATCCCCCTCACAGACCATTCTGAGACAATCACATCAACATACATTCTCTTAGACAGATGCCTTGGCCACAAAGACTATTGGGAAGGTTTATGCCACTTCATTGCAGGACGAAGTCTCCAGTTCGTAAAGAGAACTCAAAGATGATTCAAGATATGGTTACCGCAATTCACTAAACCCTTAACGACCCACAATCTGGGTACATCGATCCCAAACGAGGTGGGTTTGCGATCCAGATCACCAAAATGGACGATCCCAAATTGTAATACTAACCTTAAATTAATTCACTTTAGAACATGTAGCACAAATACAAAATACATATTAATTGACTACATGTATATAGATTTATAATTATATATTGTTTTAAATAATAGAAAATCAAGCACGACTATAAATGATAATTAACTAGATGTTTATGAATGTTTTGTAATATATAATGTTGTATAGTAGTGAAAACGATTTAAATAGAGTTCTAAAACGAATTGCAACTCAAAATACCATACCAGCTAAACATACCCCTATCGTATTACGTACCTAAAAAAGTGTCGTACCATGTACCCGTACCAATACCAAAGCAAACCACGATCCAAGTAACATTGATTCAAAAAGCCCTACAATCAATCTATCAATGAAGATAAATCAAGAATTTGACGCCCTTGGGCTAATGCTATCATCTTCAAAACCTAAGCGTGAACGCATAGCTACCACTACGTGATTGAGAAATTGAGAGAATGGAATGTATGGCTCTAGCTGGATGATACTACATTGCTGGTTTTTTTTCAGAAGGAGATTCCAGAAGGATACTAAGCGGAGGTTCATGGTTCATTGGACAACGCTTTGTAGGTGTGAAACAATGGGAGCCTGAATTCCATCCTTTTGTTGTAGAGGCCAACGCTATGGTACTTTGGGTTCGCCTGGGTGATTTGCCAATTGAATATTATGATTCCCTTATCTTGAAAAAATTGGGCTCAAAATCGACAAGTTAATTAAGATAGATGCTAGAACTGAGGGAATATCTAAAGATTTGCAAGGCTATGTGTTCAAATTAATACCTCAACAACGCTGGTCTCACATGTTTTCATTGGTCAGCATAAACAACGTGTTATGTATGAAGATTTGTTTCGCATGCAGTCATCTTGGTCACCGTACTGAAGATTGCAGTATGAAAGAAGATACTCTCACAAATCCTCAACAAGAGATACAAAAGGAGCAGGGGCAAAATCAAAAACTCCACAACAACCATGAAGGAAGCTTTGGTCCATGGCTTTTAGTCCAGCACAAAAAACCTAGAAACATGTCTATGCAAAACCATGTGACTAATTTATGCAGCCACACCATAACCTTAACTCTGACAGCACAGAAGCTTGGAGGAAGAAGGGAGATGAAACATTACCACCTACCAGTGCTATTAATACCACAGGAACCCCAAGTACAAGCCAACTTCATTGCAAGGACCATGACATTAGAGAAACTTTGGAAAATACAAATGAGCAACAGGTATGCTTTCATGCAACAAAGTTCAGAAATGTCCAACTAAGCAAGCATTTCTAATGTGGTGAAAAAATTGAATTCCGAGTGACAAGAAAGCAACCAGAGGTTTCATGACTAGAAGTTCTACTCAATTGAGAGTTTAGGAATATTTGTAAACCTCAATCCATATCCATTTAGTTTGCAGCAAATCATATACATCTTTGTCTCTGTTGAACCAATATATATCGCAAAAGGGTAACTGCGTCAGAAAGAGAGCCAAATATTTCGTTCATAACAAAGAAAGCATAACAAAAAATGTTTGGGCCAGAGCAATCATACTAAATTACTTCAGCACAAATGAAAATTTTGAAGCATAAACAACCCAAAAGTTTTTTTTGGTAGATAGGTATCAAAGCTCAGCAACTCCGGTTAGTTTGCTTCTCACAGCATCACCAAAAAGATTATGCTCAACACAACAATATTTTAATCGAACACCCAAAACATCCATCCGAAATCATGCAATTTTTCATTTTTCTCAATAAATAAAACACAATCAATTAACATCAATATTCAAATACAGAGGCATTGATCACAGAACCGAAAAAACAAACCAAATGGGTATTTCCAGTAGTTCATCGAACTTGCCTATCTGCGGCCTCCGCAACAATGGGCAATCTGGGAAGCTGACCCAACAAGCAAGAAGATGACCCATAAATCAAGCACACCAAAAGGAACAAAAACACAGTGCTATCCAAACTCATCATCAAATCCAAGCCCACCCCATCTCTTGGATTGTAACTCCTCTCCAATAGATCAGGGAAAATCAGCAACACATCAAGAACTATAGCCTGCATGGTGTTGAACCTCACATATCTACTGAAATTGGGGTTTCTGACGACAACAAAATAAAGGGTCAAAAACACCAAGAACCCATTAAATGGGAAGCTCTTGAAGACCTTAATAGCTGGAACTAAGGGTTGAATTAGGGCTTGAATGGGCGTGAACTGTGTGATGACGTATTTTCCATACTGTATACCATCGAAGAAGGGGTAAAAGTAACAGACGGCTGATATTATGCGGTCCGGGGCGTCTGCTGAGTCACTGCCTTTAGATTGGACTGTGATGGACTTTCTCGGTCTGTCTGAGGTTGTGGGTGTTCTTGTGGGGTTTGTTAGAGAGAGAAGTGATGGTGGGTGTCTGAGACTGAGAGAGAAGAGTGAGGATTTATATGGGGGTAGCTTGTAGGAGAAAGTGAGAGGTGTTGCGTTGGATAGAAGATTGGTCATGGCCATTCTGGTGAATGGAGATGAAGAGAACCAAGGAAAGAGAGAGAGAATTACAGACTCCTTCATCCGCCAGGATTGGATCATTGGGTGATGTCGACCAAATTGTGTTCACTTTTGGGCCAAATCAGGCCCCATAATATGGGCTCCAGAGCTCCCAAAGTCCACATGGAGACAACTTCAAGCCCATAAAGGATCCGATCCACCTATTTCTAATTTAATCTTTGTACCAATAAGTAATACTACTTGAACCTTATTTGCTAACTAAATTAATTATTATCATTAAATTGACAATGGATTCTAGTACTACTTAAAATCCAACTCTAGGACCGTTGTAACTATGGTCGCTGGCTCTCCTTTTATCAGGTTATTAACTTTCTTGACCTCTCGACATTGGGCATGCGTTAACCCTAATACAAGATCTTATGATCTTGGGAAGAATGGTGTTTTTGATAAACAATAGGGAAACAATTGAAAGTGGGGCCCTATGATTGAAAATAATCGAGATTCATTGTCAATCAATCCGATGACAATAATTTAATTTGGTTTATAAATTAAATCTAAATAAAATTATAAATTTGTCAAATGGAAATAGGTTTTTACAAGTCCAGCATGAAAGTAATTATCAATACAGGGGAAAAACTCATAAATTTCAGTACAGAGGGTTTATTAGTGAATATAAGCACACGACAACAATAACAATTAATAAATAAATAGAAGTTGGTGGAAAAAATAATCCTTTACTTAAATAGCCAGAGCGGCCCAAATAGCCAGCCCACTAAAAACGATGCATTCCCCATGATGGGCATTTGAACCCGAAGAATCACCAACCGGACCCTCTGCAGTCTCCGGCGATGAACTGGCCGGTGTTGGACTAGGTGGACTGACACTTGATGGGAACGCCTCTGGTGCATCCGAAGGTGTTGCTGAACTCGAAGGAACACTTGGCAATGTAGACGGAGTTGCAGATGTTGCCGGAACATCTGCCACGGTCGGACTTAATGCGGGAGGAGATGATACCGGAGCGGTCATCGGAGTTTCAGCCGTAGGTGGAGAAATTTCCGGGGTGCTCACTGGAGTTTCAGACGAAGGCGGAAGAATCGTCGGAGATGGAACCGGAGCAGTCCCACTGGACGACGGAACGGGCGCCGGAGATAGTTTACTTGGCGGTGGACTTGTTGTCGGAGTTTGGGAAGGAGAAGAAGATGGGCTGGTTTTCGGAGAAGTCGGCATTGAAGGAGAAATTTTCGGAGTGGAGGCGGTAGGCGGCGAAGAAGTCGGAGACTTCGCAGGGGATGCATGAGGACTGGACGGAGTATGCGCCGGAGAAACTGCCGGCGTCGAGGAACTCTCCGGCGCTTGTGAATTAATGGGCGCTCCTGCAGGCGCATTGTTGCTCTGTGCTCTACCGAAATCAACCACAAACAATAACAACAAAGAAATCAAAATTGCTCTACACATTCTGAAAATTGGGAAATGTGAGCGAATGGAGAATGTTCCGGCGGCCGGAAAATGGAAACGTCTAATAGATGCTATTGAAGTTTCGATTTTAGTGGACCGGAGAACATGGAGAAGGATTGAAGGAGAGAGAGAGATATATAGCCGGAGAGTTTTGAAACTAAACGTCGTTAGAATTTCGAAGGTTAGAGTGACCGTTAGGGGTGGTGGTGTCGTTTTGTGCCGGTTAAAGGTGGTGAACTAGCCGTTTTTTTGAACGTACATGACAGGTGGGTTCGGTTTTAGTGCACAGACTCTGCCAAGTTTGATTATTATTATTATGTTTTTTTGTCGGACCATCCGATATTGAAAATCACTTTAACTAATCCGGATTCGAATTGGATAAAATTACAAGGGTGGTAAAATTTTTCCTATTAAACGTAGTTGCATTTCTAAAACGCGAACTTAAAATCTTGGTTAAGTTAGAATAATTCATCACCAACTAATCTAACGCTCAGTGGTCCAGATTTGATTATCAACTTTGGGTAATAATGTACAAAAATAATTTGTATTTTTTATAAAAATATTTAAATTTGTGTCGATTATTTTTTTAAACTCGAATTTAGTCCTAAAAATCTATATCTGTTTAAATACCATGCAGAAGCATGATGGAGGGGCTACTTACTTACAATAGATTATTATATAACTCTTGAGGTTTGAAAACAAGAGATTATCTTTCATGACTATCTAAGTTTTGATATAAATAATTTATTTTTGATAGAATCAAAAAAAAATTGATTGAGTTGTGCATAAGTTAACTTAAACACGGCTAACCATCGAAACAAAAAAAAAAAAATTGCTTTATTGTCAGAATTGATGATAGATCTACGTCATAAAAGTGATAATGAGGCCAGGTTTCCAAATTATTTACTCAAAAAGACTGTTTTTTCAGCCTGTGGATGCGTTTTTGTCATGAGAATTAGACTGGATGTACCCGTACCCACTCCAATATCAAACTTTATGACAAAATTCTATCGTGAAGAATCATGTTCTACGACTAAAATTAATAAAATATTTAAGAAACTTATGATATGGGCACAATACCTCTTTCATAGCTTTTGATTTAATAAAAAGTATAGGCTTCATAAGAATATTTTGGCAAAATAAGATTCATGTAGTCGCCGCCCGAGTGAAGATGGAATAATGACTCTTATCTGTTTGGGATGGAGCTGCCTAATGGCATCCCTAGGCTTCGGATAGGCAACTAATACAAAGGGCAATCATAACAAAGCTAATGCATAGTCAAATTTGTTGATTAACATTTCTTTTTTATCTCTTTCTTTGTTTTTTTTTTTTGGTTTTTGGGTTGAACCTTGGCCGCAGTATGAGGGTATAATTTTATTAAATTAAAAGAAAATTAGGTGTAACATGGGGACGTAACGAGCTTTACCCTTCAATGTAATCTTCTTACATTGAAAACTATGCTAGAATAATTTCACATTATGAGTCTCCATTTCGCATGGACAGAGAGAACAGTGAAGAAGTTTTGAGTAACTTACAAGATAAGAAAATACTTAGGTAAACTGATGGTCGTGGCCAGTCAAACGTACTCTGGCACTTAAGTCAAATCGTAAGTCGAAGAAGAGTATGAAATGAATATACTATGATTGAATGCCCTACAATTGAAATATATGTGGCTAAAATCCAGTGATGATAATTAAGCTATGATTAGTAGTCAAATCTGAAATATATAAAATCTAAATTCATTGGTTAAATATTGCATTATTCATGTTATTATTATTTTATAATGGTGCATACATATATAGTTGATATTTTTCTAGTTAGCATGAGTGACTTGACTAAAAGAACCCATCAAGTAGTGAAAAACTAGTCAAGATAATTAATCATACTTGAAATGTTTTAGCCTTTTTTGACAATAAGAAGTTGAGTAAATATTGGTAGACATGGAGATGAATCAGGTGAGTGATAACGGCTAGTTGAACAACCAATTGATACATCCTCCAGTATAAATAAGACTCTCTGAATACAGAGAGAACTATCAGTGAGAAACACCTAATTGAGAGAAAACTCATTAGAGGAAAAATTTTAACTTTATTGCAGTCATATCAAAAAGAGTTTTAACTCTCAAAGACTAGCTCTCTTTGCTCCATAAATCTATTGAAATTGATAGAAATCCGTCAATCAACAAACAATTCTCAAGCGATTGTTTGTGAATGTATTCAAATATCTTATTTCAAAACTTTCTTGGATGAATTCTTAAAGTGATGGACACACAGAATTATGAATCAATAAAAATAGATTCTTTTATTAAATCAATCGAATGGGTTTTGGTTACACTGATTTAATAGCCTTTGATTATAACACTAACTAATTTCTAAAAACTAATTTTAGCACTACTCTTAAATGCCCTGATCGTAGATCTTGTGGGGGTTTGAGTTATTTTCCATCTTTCTTCTCTTTCTCTTTTTTATAGTCACTTCCTTCATAGTTTTCCTTTATCAACGATTGATTGACTTTTTGACTTCCAAGTAGTTATTCCTTCTTTCAAACTAAAGTTGTGACGGGTCGTTTTTCCTTTTTCTTTAGATCTTGATACGTGGCCATCCTTTAATGATTTTAAGCTTGCCAACAACATCGAATGTTTTATAATTGTATTTTAAGTCCAAACAATACTCCCTCATTTAATGGAGTTTATTCCTTAATCAAGCCAAGTAAATGAACTATCACGGCCGTTGTTTTTTTCATTGTCTACTTAAGACTTTTTTTTATAGTTAATCTTTTCATTTCAAGTAAGCAAATGAACATTCGATAATCGCTAAAAAACCCTCAGCACACCTATTTAAAGAGTTTGACCACTATAGAAGTCGTTATCCGTATTGTTCCTCTTTACCGCACTTTTAATGCTCTTTCTTGGATTGTTCTCAATTTTAGGCCTCTCCTTGATCTTTGATGGCATCCAAACGAAAAACAAGTTGCTCCACTCCTGCTAGTTCTCCTCCAAGCATGCCTCGTGCTTTATCATCATCAACGTTCAAAAAATTGGTATATGGCATTAGAATGGGTCAAGTTTGTGACCAATCCAATTGATTTATGATCAAGGAGAGATTGTCATCAAGGAGAATATCCACATCAAGATACAGGACATATGCACAATGTATTCTTTTTCCTTCGTTTAGGTTTGTCCCATTGGATTTTTCTAACAAGGTTTTAATGATACAATATTAGTGCGTACAACACTATTCTAAAATGCATTTGAATATGTATTATTTTTCTTTGCTATGTTTTTTCCCATAGGGTTTTCCTGATAAGGTTTTAATGGAATATATTATCTTAACATAGTAGTCATGAGTGTTGTAAATATATTGTATATAGATATGAATGAATTCTAACCTACTAATTTAATAGGTATTAGTATTTGACTATATAACCTCTACCTTTGTATTTGATGACTATTATGATCTGAGACTTATAAAAATAGGTCTTCACCACATTGAGAAATATACAAGTTGATAAATTCTTTTTCTAACATATATATATATATTATATTCTCTTTGTAGTCTATATAATTCCCTTATTTTTACAATAATTGCATTGATATAATTGGATATTTGGGTTAGATCTTTTTTAGTCAGCATGAGTAACTTGGCTAGAAAGACCTATCAAGTAGTGAAAGACTAATCTAACATAGTTAATCATACTTAGAGTATTTTTAGCTTTTTTTGACTGTAGGGAGTTAAAAAAAATATTGGTGGAGTTGAAAAAATATTGGTGGATATGAAAACTAATCAAGTGAGTGACAAGGGCAAGTTGAATTGCTAATTGATACATCCTCACTTTACTGCATTGATATCAAAGATAATTTTTAACTCTCAAAGGCTAGTTCATCATTCATCAATAAATAAAAAAAAAAAAATTCATTGATCAAAATTATCAAATCCTATTTCGTAAATTCTTACACCTACTTAGTACCCAGAGACCTTTATTTATAGTAATAAGAAGTTATGTTTCAAAGGAACCCAAATTCTAGGTTGATTGGTTCAACCTTATCACCAAGTCCAAAATACTCGAGGTAAAGTTAGACTAGGACTCTAGGTCCTTAGTGCCTCATCACAATCTCTTAGGCATTTGGAGTGATATTTACACGAGATAATTCCTGCAATAGTTCGAGATAGTGATCTCTAACCTAGCGAACCTGAAATAACAGGCTCAGAAAAAAAAGGGGCTAGGTGAACACCCGGCTTATCCCCTTCGAAGCTTAAGTCAGTATTAAGATTCGAGGTTTGAGCTCAATAAATAATCTTTTTCTGGTTTCAGTTTGCATACCTTTGTTCATTTTTTTGAGGAGTAATTATACTTAAATTAGCAATGATTGCCAAAGATCTCTAGTCCCATCTGGACATTTAATGTCTGACACGCCACTCCTTGCGTAATGAGTGTTCTCCGTTCACATCTCCTACTACTAAACGAGTGCTCGGCTAAGAGCCGAGCATTTGTGCCCTTCCCCGAGTATCCACATCCTTCAGATCGGCATTTGACATTAGCAACTGAGCATTGAATACTCGAGGGAACAGTTCTTTGGAGAGAGCCGATCGTATCTTCTCGACGTACCAGCCATTAATGCCTAACTATCATGATAGTAGACCTAGACTCCTAGAGTGTAGGTGCTCGCAGGCGCACATTTATTAGCCTTGTCACTATCATTGATTTTCGTAATAAATGAGGGGTCATATCGTATTAAATACGATGTTAGTTGTCGTACTCGGCTCTTCCGGATCACCATATCTTGGTGTATCTCCTCGGCTCCTTTTGGATATCACAATAACTTCATTATTCCATGGGACTGTAAAACCACTTAAAATCCCGCCAGTATTAGAGTAAGACTCTGGGTCATAGGTTGATCTTTCACTAAACATGACTTGTTTAGAGGAAGCTTACACGCACGAGGGATTGTAGTAACTTTAACGAAGATAAAGTAATTGATCTGTAGTTGATCTGGTAACAAGTGTGAACGAGCGAGGAGTTCCTTGAGGCGAATGCCGAACGGCAGAAGGCTGCCCAGGCATATTCCGTCCGGCATGGGTCTTCCTAGGTAGGTGCCGACCATCGTGGGGTCCCTTTATGCCTCACAGAAACAATAAAGAATAAAAGTGCATGCCTTTATATCATGGAAGAAAGAAATAAAATGAATTATGTGTTCTTATTTAAATTAACATTTCTAAACAGGAGGGAATAAACCAAAACCAACCCCCCCCCCAAAAAAAAAAAAAAAAAAAAAAAAAAAAACTTAAATTTAGGACAGAGGGCTTACTGGAAAAGAGAGGACTGTTCCCATTGCAGTTCCATCACTCATATTGGAGCATCCCTCTCCCACCACCACTAGCTAGAAAAGACAGAAACAAAGGGGGAGTGGGGTTGGATGGATGGTTATGAGCTCAAAATTGAAGTTGGTATTTTTTCCAAGTTATCATGCTGTCGCCAATATTAATAAGACCATGAAGAAACTGTTGGGTTTGACTGAACAATAAGGCCTATTCACTGTGGACATTGGTGAGTTGGAAAAAGAAACCCACCTTCACACTGTTAACACAGTTTCTTGTACCAACGGCCTTCGGTCGATGGTACTACTTAATCTTTTAAAATTTTATCTTTTTAAGGTTAAGGTTTAAATTTTTTGGACTATGAAAACGTGATTGATTGGTAGAACATAATTAAATTATTTGTACAAATCATATCCAAATCTCTGATGTAGCTTCAATCTCCACCAAAATACAATTGTATGAATTGAGAGACTAGATCAGTTCACGTATTTGGGATTTATTTTCGATTTTACTCAAACTCAAGAATCTAAATAACATAAACACGCTTCTATTCATCAAGGACAATTAAAAATTTTCCCCGTTATCCAAAAAATCATGTATTAGATTTCTTATTAAAGATAGTATTATCCAACTTACTATAAAACTTCCCCTAATACAAAGAATATAATATTCTTTTTCGTTTGTTCATATGGTGTATTTGAACTACCATCAAATACGAGGATTTTGCACCGCTAATTATAATTTGACTCTCAATCGTATTTCAACTCGGAGGGTTTTGCCCTACACTTCTCACCACCACGACTAAGCAACTAAGCTTGCCCATATTCTATTTTTTATTTTTTTCATAGTAATGTTAAGACTCTTGTTTGACGATGGTCCATCAAAGCATTAGAAAGGTTGAGAAGGTTATAAGTAGGTTATTGACTTCAAACACGTGGCGGGACCTATGGGTGTCGGAGTCTCATTTTGATTCACCGAAACGAATTCAATACGACATAATTTTAAAATTGACATAATTATTAAATATATATAATAAATAATTTATATTAATGTTTGACATTTAAAATATATTACATATTTTTTTTTCGTAAGTCTTAACACAAATACAATACAAAATAATCATATTATAATATATACATCAAAAGCAAAATATAAAAAAAAAATTATCTTTCAGAATACAAATTGTAATTCACCCGAAAAAAAATTATAAATCGTTGTTTATGATCTATGTCTGAGAGAGAAGACCCACGTCAGCAGTGATGAAATCCATTTCAGTGGTGCAGTCTCTCTTTCCCTCTCTCTTAAAAGTATCCCGTTCACTTCACTGAGTTGACGATATGGACGGTTCAGATCGCTCATTAATGACGAATCCAAAGGCCGAAAATTCGTCAGTGGGCACGCATCATTATCGACAAACAACGGTCCAAAAACTTCCACGTATACACACCAAGCGCGTTCTTATAGACTTTGATCCAACGGAGATCACACATTCACTCGGCAAACAACCTTCTCTCTCTCTCCTCTTTCCTTCCTCAAAGTCTCCTTCCCAAGTCGTTTTTTCCCGGCACCGAGAAATTTGCCGGAGAGCTTATCTACTTCTGTTTTCCTGAGTCTCCCTCACTCCTAAGCGTTAAATCTCTCTAATTAGAGTGGAGACGGAAGATTCTTTTGATAACTTGGTAGTTGTAGAAGTCAAAACTCAAAAACCCTAACTAACATCAGCCAGTTCATCTTCCTTTCTATTTGCTGAATTTTGTGTATTGACCTTCAACTTTTATCTCCTAACCGGTACGATTGAAAATCGCGACACTTCATCCTCTCGTGGATTTCGTTCTCAGACTTCTGAAATAATTCTGACTTCTTACTCTGAATTGAACATCTAATTTGATTTCTTGAACATTCGAAAAAAACTGTAATCACCAATTTCTTGATTTCGATCCATATCCTACAAAACCCGAGCTCTTTGGGTGAGTGAATGTCCAGAACTCCAACTCTCACATCATAGCCATCAATTTCGCTGTACTCTCCATAAGAAGTCCAATTTCTGGCTGTTTTGACATCAGGAAACTCTAGATATCCACAAAAACTTCCATCTTGCTTGATCGAAAGTCGATGGCGGATTCAGATAACGAGTCCGGAGGACACAGAAATGACAACAGCGAGCTTTCTCTAAAAGAGCAAGACCGTTTTCTTCCAATCGCAAACGTGAGTCGGATCATGAAGAAAGCTTTGCCGGCGAACGCGAAGATCTCCAAGGACGCGAAAGAGACGGTACAAGAGTGCGTTTCGGAGTTCATAAGCTTCATCACAGGGGAGGCCTCCGATAAGTGTCAGAGAGAGAAGCGAAAGACGATCAACGGCGACGATTTACTGTGGGGCATGACGACATTAGGGTTCGAAGAGTACGTGGAGCCATTGAAGGTTTATTTGCAGAGGTTTAGGGATTTGGAAGGTGAGAAAACAGCGATGGCTGGTCGGCAAGAGAAGGAAGGAGGAGTTAGTGGTGGTGCGAATGGCACTGCTGTAAATACAGGGAATAGTGGGGGTGGATTTGGTGAGAGTGGCATGTATGGTGGCATGGCTTCAAATATGATGATGATGGGGCATCCTCCTCATCAGCAAGGACACGTGTACGGGTCCACGGGTTATTCCCAGATGGCTGTTAGTGGACCTGGAATTGGAAAGGTCGGATCTGGTTATCTTGGATCCGGGTCTCCTACTGGAAGACCCAGGTAATGATCACATGACAATGGTGATTTGTTTTTTTTATAGTAGTAGCAAAATCGGATACCCGATTGCTTGTGTGTGCTGACTTGAAAATCCTACGATATGGAATGGGTTAGTGCTATTGTGGGTTTAGGCATAGACAATTCCCGGCTATATATAGTCTTAAATTTCTGCTTATGTGCATCTACAGTCATTAAACAACTGGATTCTCCAAACACCGCCACCTATAAATGTTTTGCCTCTTAAGCTGCAAAAAAACATAAAAAAAAAAAAAAAACCAAAACAAAACTTCCACATAACAACCCTTATGTGATTAGTGAACTAAACTGTAAAATTAGATTTTTCGTCTAATTTAACAGATTTTGTGAGCCACGGGCTAAAAAAACAAAAAAAAGTTGGTGTTGAAATATATGTTAAAATGACAAAATTACCCTCACATCCACCTTCAATTTCTCTATTTCTCTCCATTGCTAGAACCATCTATAATTGAATAGGGAAAAAGGGAAGGAAGATTCCAAAGACCACCTTTATTCCGACGGCTTTCCACGTTGGTCCCAATGCATGTCTATGCTTCTGATAAAAAATGATAAAAGAACGCTATAGTGGCAAGAGAAATTGAAAATCAATGGCTGCCTCAATTTTTGAGAATTAAGAATTTGATTTCATTCTACTTTGGCAAAGTTATTTGTGGTCAGTCATGGCGACAAAGAAGATTTAAGGCGACTGAGAAGAAGAATAAGAAGAAGAGAAGAGAAAAAGTTACAAAAAGGTATTAAGGTCATTTTATTGTTTCGTTAACAAAGTCAATGATGCAAATTAGTCCACAAAACTTGTGAAAATTATGTGATATTTATAAAACGTAAGGAGATAAAGTGTAGTTAGGGTATACCATATGAAAATAAAATAAAGTTTGTCCAAAAACCTATAATGCGACAATGACATAGCGACTAAAATTCGAATCTTAAACGAGTAAAAACATGACTACAAACACCAATCTTTAGCCTGTAGTCTTTGGTCAGTATAGCATTATCCTGGGTATAAACTCTTGGCAGACTCTGGTTTCTTGGTGGTTCAAACGAAAATCAGTATGAAAGCAACTGCAAATGATGCCCAAGTTGATTATGCAATCAAAACAATGCACTACACGAGATTGTACAATAATTTGACTTTTTTATATAAATATTTTATTCTATCTAAATATTATAATGCATTAGATGCACATTCATACCGACATAGACTGTAATATTCTCTTGTCCAGACTTTATATCATGATCAGATTAGTGGTTTAGTGACTGCTCCACTACATTAAGTGGAGTAACTTGCCTCTAGCAATTAAGATTATGACATTTAAACAGCTCACGAATAGATATAATTATTAGATTATAAATATTAGTGTGCATTTCCCCCACGGAGAATGCAAGATCCATCAGCTAATGCTGTTAATAGCACCGAGCTTTATGAGCTCAAGTCGAGCTCACTTTTCTAAACAAATTTAAAAAAAAATTTCAAACTCTACGAACTTTAAAAATGAACTGAACCCAAATCAAGTCAAACTCAAATAACTTAACTATTTTACATACAAATAAGCTCAACTTTATGAGCTCAACCCGACCCTTTTAGACTCGTTTCTAAATAAATGTTTAATCTCGACTTATTTAGAACACGAGTCAAGCTCGAGTCAAATCTTTTCCGAGCCCGAGTAGCTCAGCTCAATTATTAGCTCCACCATCAGCTTTTCAACTTCAACACGGATGCAGAAGTGCACAGAATTAACGATGATCTTAACTGCAAGGATGAGTGCCTGGGAAAGGGTGGGATGGGAACGAACACCACAAAGAAAACTGGGAACAGTAAAGGAAATCAAGCAGACATATACATACAATCCACAGCTGATTAGCCTAATGCAGGGACAGTCAAGGTCAAGTTTCAGTTACTTAGAGAACCAATAAATAACATTTTATGCTACATAGGCCACACTTCCAAAGCATATTATTAATAAAACATGCTTCTGATTACTCCAGGCAGTAAAAGTTGACAGAAATATAAACAACCGCCATAGACTAGTAATCGATAATTATTAAAAGAACCCAAATTACATGATAAAGAAACATCACCACTTGATGATGATATAATCTAATTTTAAAGCCATCCTGCTACCTCATCTTTAATGCTACAGCTAACACAAAGTATATAGCTACGCATTTGCATCAATGGGTTTGCAATGCAAAGTCAAATTTTGCACACCAGATGTTATGAAGGTGATGTGCCATGTGTTAAGACTCCAAAAAGGCTCACGACCAGGGCCCATCAGCCTGAAAAACCATCGAGTCATGAGCCGATCCAGCTCACTTCCTGGACAAACTGTGGATCTTACCTACCACATGCTTTCTCACCGGGCGTGTGATAGGTAAGATCCTAATTGGGCCGAATGAGGTTTTCCCAATAGCAATATCAGACAACAGAACCTAATTGGGAGAAACCTCATTCGTGCCTAGGCAGCCATTAGTCCCAAATAATTTCGAAACACAACTGGAAATCCATCTCATTTATGTCCTCAGAGGTAGGTCAGTTAAGTTAAAAATTTCCCTACAAACTTATCTTTGTGTACATAACAAGCTGCAATCTTGCAGTATAGATTAAGCACTTCTACCTCTACTGCTTCCTAGGAAACATGAGTTTGCCAGGTAATGAACGACTAAGAGCAAATTACAGCTGGGTTTACTCGGATACAGACAAAACACTAGACAGTAGCATAGCAGAAATATGAATAAATAAGGGGGAAAAAAGTGTTTGTGAAGAAACTGACAAGACATTAGCTGTACCATTCCCATGTAATCATGTACCATCCAGGTGGTCACGCCTCCACACCTTGGCCAGAAGGTTGCTTTTCATCTTTTTCAGCATCACCTTCATCTTCATCTTCCTCATCATCTGCCTCATCGGCAAGTTTGGTAAGCTCATCCTGGATCATAAGCTTTATCGATGATTTCCTGGGAGTAAGATCTGTATTGTATCGTTTGGCTGAAAGAAGAACAAGTGGTATTATGCACAATAAAGAAAAAATTTTGATGGAGATTTAAACACCCCAACCCATGGGAAAAGAAAAAACATCAACAACAGGCAAATCTTGGATTTTGCCAAAATTTTATCATATCATTTGATAATCTATCATGAAAAACCACATGGTGTCTCTCATATGTTCTTTATTACCATCGACATATAACACCTTAGCTTATGTAAAATTTCACTCAAAGGAACAGTATCACCAATCAGATGACAGAAGTATTGGATGATCATTTTTGGGCATCACTACGACATGATGTTGGCCCACTCACTAACAGTACTACTAATATCATTCACCACTCCATATTATTTATAGACATAAAATTCATAAGGTCACTTTCTGAAGAAAAAAATAGGAGGTCAAAAACATGAGACTTATGGTCATGCAAACTACAAATGACGAGCATACCAAGTTGCTTCAGAATGTCGGTGAAGGTAGCCTGCAAAGGAAACAAGGGTAGTTATGTTACTAGATAAAAAATCACCAATTACCATGAAATATAATGATTTCAGATGTCAGTTGAACTATACACTCCTAATTAGAAACCTCCAATTCAACCACCACAATCCCATCAAGTTATAAGTTTCAAATCCAACTGACATCAACTAATGTAATTTCTCCCTTGAAATGAAGTAGAGTCACGTATACTGCACCCATGAGAAACTGTAATGTGATATCAACTAATGCTAATGTGAGGGGTAAAGGTAGATTTAGATTAAATTTGAATGGGTTAATAAATAAGGATATACTAACTTAGGAGTTGACAGAAAATATAGCCGTGATGAAGCACAATGACGGAACAGAATTCATATATTCAACCTCAAAACAATTGGAAAAAAGCTCAGCTTAGTTGAGTTGCAAAATATGTTCCTTGTATGCTCAGTTTTGTAACAAAAACATGAGCATCATGCATGTGTTTAACAAAAGGAGTTTGTGATAGCATATGTAAACAATCACAGACATGCTAAAGAAATATAGTAGCACATGCAGTAACATTTTGTAGGTCCATTATACACATTGGTATAGTCTAACTTTGTCTCAAAGAAATTGTCTCAAAAATTAAAAACACAAATAGAACCCAAAACATGATAGATATCAGATCCTCACCGTGTTGAAGTCAACAACTTTAAGGATTTCACATATTGAATTTCTGAGTTCTTCGTCACTTAGCCTTACTTTATCCTCTTTAGGCTTGTCCTTCCCTTTCCCAACTTTTTTCCCTTAATAAAACCCAAAAAAAAAATTAATAACATCGATTTCAGATGAAAAAATTCTTACAGAAACTCCATTTTTGCCCATCTACAGAAAAGAGCCAAGTTTGACATGTTACATCAGTAACAACTGAAAGTTCTCCTCATGAATTTTCAATTTAGGAACAAAAAAAGGAAAAGAATACACACCTGCTGTCTCCTTAGAAGCAGACTTCTTTGGAGTTGAAGATTTCTCCTTAGCAATTTCTTGATTTTTCTTTTTCCTTGAGAACCGTTTTGGACTTGTATCAATATCATCATCCACCTTAGAGCGACTAGCTGGTGATTTGGTAGGTGCTTTCTTTGGTGGTATTGGACTAGATTTCTTAGGAGTAGACACTTTCTTGCTTCTAGCTTTTCCAGCAGATTCCTTCTTTGTAGATGATTTCTTTGAACCACGTTTGCGTTTTCCTGTCTCCTCCTCAGACTCATCTTCAGATTCATCTTCTTTCTCCTCACTTTCACTATGTTCAGGCATCTCATCGTCAGATACTTCAGGAGCCCCATTCACATTTTCTTGTTCTTGAAGATCTCCCTCTCTTCTTCTTCTTCTTCTTCTTCTTCTTCATCATCATCATCTTCCGACTCGGGTGTATACTTTTTCTCCTCACGTTTAGACTCACTTGCAGTCCTTTTCTGATCCAGAAAAATATACCATGCAGAGATAAAAAAAACAATGAGAAATTAAGCCATCTAAAAGAAAATAGGTAAAAAACGAAATATTATACAGGCTCCCATGCTTCTCCTTTTGTGCGTGTTTGATGGTTTCCTCTTCCCCAGATTTCATCAGAAGAAAAAATCAAAAAGCACATTGTGTTTCCTTCAGGTATGATTAATCAAGGATGATAAAAAAAATAAGTCACATTTAAAAACAACATAAGAAAAGAAGTTAGCAGCAATATGAAGCATCCCACAGCCTATCAAAAACCCACCCAGACTAAAGCAGCCTCCAGGCTGTGCAGTGCAGAGATTGGCATTCCTTTACATTTTTCAAACAGGTCGACACAAAGAACAAAAAATGGAGGCAGCAATTCACTATTAACTTCGAAAGTATATCCTTAAATGCATCACCATCATTCCGAGAACCATGTGCAAGCAAACAGTGGGGTGACAACGCCCAAAAAAAAAACATGAACCATGCAAAACTAGGACCTAATTCTATCTTATGGGGAAACAGACAGGAGCTAAGGTTTTTCAATCGATTACATGCTATGCACAAGGCATCCTATGCTAGGAAGAAATTTATCAACTATCAACCAATACTGCTATATATACATATCTATTTCTGGCATTAACAAGGAAAGGGTACCTTAGCTGAGCTTTTTGAATGTGTACTCGCAGAATTCGATGGACTTCCTTTACTCACCCTCTTTCGCTTTTTGCCCCTACTTGACTGGCACACATACAGTAGGCGTACAAACATAAAGAACTAAAGTAACATAGCAAATTTCCTAGTTGAAATCAAAATTACACTCAAGTAACAATATTGCAGTCAAGGTAAACTGACCTGCTCTTTTTCAGCAAGCAATTCAGTAGTTGTAGCATGAGGAGCAACCATAAAGTCTATCAACTTTACGACAATATCTTCCTGCACAGTTAAACCAAGCACGTTACAATGACCAGAATTGATCACCTTTAAAGAGATCTAAACTTGCATCACAGTGCTGCATCGAAATATGCATTTCTGCTACTAAGAAGAGGTATAATACATTTTTTATACTTGAAACAATACCACACAGGCTACAAAGAGAAATATTCATTCAAATAGATTGACGAGATGATCTAATCATGGTCAAAGTGGACGTGACAAAGTGTGTATGTCGACCACCTACTCCAGACTTGAATTGACTTGAGAATATCCAACATCGAGGAAATTGCAACAGTAACAGTGATACTTCACGTCCAGGAGAAAGGAGGTCATTATCAATTTGCAGGGTTAATAGTGCAGATTGGAAGTTTGAGTTGTCAATAAAATAACTAGATTTTTCCAGGCTAACATGCAGCAATAAGATATGAACAAACCTTCCTCGTAGTGGTCTTGGCAATTGGTATATCAAACACATCGCAGAAGTCCAACAATTTTTCTTTAACACACTTGTCCAATTTTTCTCTTACTTTTATCTTTTGCTTTTCCTGCAACCACAAAAATATTAAATTCCAGAAACTCACAAGTTTTCTAATTAACGACACTACCAGTCCAATCAAATTTTCGCAAACAAGTTGGTCTCCAAAATCCATATTATTTCTAATGCCCCAAGAAAGAAATAACAAGAAAAACCTCAATACTTAATAACACCATTTCCTTCCTTGGTATGTGTTTTCACCTCATTTTCATGCCACACAAAGCCAGAAAACCGAGAAATGTTATTCTTGACCTGAACTGCCTGCAGAAGTCAATAATTTCAGTCAAATAGAAGGGAAGTATTAATAATCAACAAAAGTCATTAACAGGAGCAAACCAGAAATTATATTGTACTAGGTAAAAAAAATTGCCAATAGAGAAAAAAAAGGCAGGTTCTAGGATCGCATGAGAATAAAGAATGATCAATTATTAGTCTACTGAAACGAGATGCTGCACTCCTGCCAAAACTTTAGGACACAACATGGGAGAGATATTTGTAGCAGTACCACAAAATAATAAAAAAAAAAAGACGAGAGCGTATTTCACACATAAAGCAGTTAAACAAGCAGGCTTCAGTAGCAAGCCAAGCTAGTAGAATTAGACATCTGAAATCAGCCAACCATTTGGCAGAAACTTACGCTAACGAGACATCATTGCTGATGCATTTTATTTGACAGAAATATCACAACTGAATAAGTGAGAATACAAATGCTCTTCCAATCACAGAAAAGCACAAAGAACCAGACCATATTTTGAGTATGTCCCTTGCATATATTTTCGCAACCAAGCAGATGGACAGCAGAAAAAAAGGACGGAAGAAAGAAGAAACCACAAATCTAGTTAAATTACCTTTCCCCTCCTCCCAAAGAGAATTGTATGAAGCAACTTAAAAGTGTCGTCACTCTTCCTCCTTGATAACTTGTATGCCACTGAAACAGAAAATATGGTTCAGACTTCTGACCTCAGGCACTGGTGCTAAATTCATTTGTTCAGCGGCATGAACAGACATAATACAACACCAAATATGGATCCTTCAAATTCAATCTGAATATGAAATATATTCAAAGAATATATACTAAACATTTCAATCGTGCTATCTATTGTCTTTCTTATAATAAACGATTTCCCTCTGAGAAAAATACTACGTCTCAGCTCTATTTCTTGGCCTTAGCATTTACTACCCAGATGTTAGTTGTCTAAGTTTTTTAAGTGCTCACATGATTCAATTCTCCAAGTATCTAAAATCAAATATCGTCAATGCACAAAATGAGATGTTTTGACAACTATACGTTGGCATGCCCTAGCTTTCTGAAAATCGAGATGATTCAAACAAGTAGGAAGTAACCAACCATTAGACATAACACCACGTGCAAGCAGACTCTAATGTAAACCAGGAAAACGTTGGGGATGTGAAGAGAATATTATAAGAAACGGATAATAGAGAAGCATGAGTTGATGAATCAGAAGAAATTAGGGATTAAAATCAATGCTCACTACTTCAATCAACAGATAATCAAAAGTCTCCACATAATCCTCACATCAATAACTTAAATAGGGGACCCAGAACCCCTAAAACTAGAGATACCTAGCATAACTATACTATAAAAACTAAAGATAAAGAATAATACCTAATTTAGTCCCCATTAATGTGGGTCAGGGAGGACAATATTCGGTACATAGCTAACATTTGGGGTTATTTGCAAAAAGTGGCAGCTCTCAAGTTCAAACCCACAACCTTAAGGTCATTAGGCCGAACTCTAACCACCACAAAAATTAATATACAAACGAAATAACTCTCAAATAAAGTATCAAATGAAATAAGCTTCTAATCTGTAATCTGCGATTCTAAGCTTCATCCTGTTCCTTCTTGTCCAGAATGACCAGCTTGCTCAAAAGAGAGAAAAGATCATACAATTTAAAACATAGACCAAAAAATATTTGCATGATTATTTCACCAAGCATAAAAGACAAGAAAGTTTGTTCCTGCAAAAGACACTAATAGAAAGTGGTGCCCAGACACAAAATAGTAACACAACAAGAGAAGAGGAATAACTTAATCGAAAAAGGATGGGACATCAGAATCATAGTGGTCTAACAAATATATAAAGTACAAAGCAAATTAAAAAGAATGTATTACATATGAAAATATATCTAATACTGATGCAAATGAAAAGGTTAAGAACTGTACCATTAGGGATATCTTTCAGAGCGGTACCTTGACCCTGCAATTTCCAAGTAAAACAATGAACTAAATCATCAACTAAAACAGGGACATCAAACTTTATTCTACAAACATTGGAATTTTATTCTACAAAAGCATTAGATAAAAGGAAGACCAAAAAGAACCTTTTCGATATGGAATTCCTTGGAAGTTTCTTTCTCAATAGATGCAACAAGCCTTTCTACAGATTTCCGCTCACGTACGGGACGATCAATTGCAGGAGCCGCGGGAGTTTTTGGCTCCTGCTTTTTTGACTCTTTTACCTCACTTTTCTTATTCTTATTTTTTTCTCCAGCAGTCTTTGCTTTTCCACGCTTCTTCAGCCCTTTTTCCTCTTTAACCTCTTCAGTTTTTTCCTTTTTGTCCTTTAATCCCTCAACCTTCTCCTCACTTTCCTCATCTGCTTCAGGCCCAGTTTCCTCCTCTTCCATTGGCTCACTCTTGGGTTCTTCCTTTTCTTCTTCTGTTTTCCTTTCATTTTCTTCTTTTCCTCCTTCTTCTTTTGCTTCGTTGCTTTCCTGGAACTTTTCTTTGTCCATGTCCATTTTCTGGGTCTCAACTTTCTCATCATCTTTACTGTCTTCTTCCATTTCTTTTACTCCATTCTCTTCGTCCTCTTTCTTCTCAATCACAGCTTCACCCTTTTCCTCGGGTGCTGCACACCCATTTATCACTGCCTCGGCTGCTTCAGTCACCGTATCTTCTTCAATTGCTGCAGTCCCATTTGCCACTGCCTCGGCTACTTCTGTCACAGCATCTCCCTCACCCATATCTGACAAAATAAGTAACCCCCCCTCACCAACCAATGTATTTTCTTTGTTTGCAGGCTTAGAGCCTTAGACTAATAAGACACCATTTCATTAAAAAAAAAATATATAGAAATTAACATCAGACAACAGAAATGAAAGGAAAAAAAAGTCTCTTAGCAGATAGCACTACAAAATTCTAAGGGAAGAAAAATAAATAGGCACAAACATAGAAATTAAAAAAAAATGTTATCATGATTAACAGGAAAAATGCGGCATACAACTCAAGCAAAAGTCAGTAAAAACACTGTTCATCCAGACTTGAAAGGGTAAACATTTTTCCCGAAGCTTTCAACTCATAGCAGCTCAAGAAAACCTCCTCCCACATACTTGGACCCACTTGGGTCAGCTTCATAAATCTGGTGCCCGCCCTTGTTCTACATCAAGGCCCTTTTTTTTTTTCCTGTTAAACCGAAAATTATTATATTATTTTTACTAGTTAATGTTGTTCTCCCATAATTCCCTGCATTACATTACCATAGAGAGCTATCAAATCACACTCTTCTACAAACCTGTCCCAACCGAATTTAGTCGACCTTAAAAGTTTTAAAAAAATATATATGGGGAAAAAGTGCAAGTTGATACACACAAGAAAGACCTACAACCCCTAACAAGATCTGCAGTAGCACGAACACACTTGGTAGCTGAGAGAGTATCAATTATAGCAAACAAATGACAAATAAAGCACAAACTAATAACGAAAACAAAAAAACAGATAGAAAGATTAGGGATTCTTAAGGGAAAATAACACAACCCTAAGCTGCAAAAAAACGCAATCTTTACTCGAGTAAAGAAGGAAAAAGAACAAAATTACAGCTAAAAACCAGAAATTGAGAGTTGACAGATGAGATAAGAGGCAGAGAATTGAAACTCACAGAGATTTGAGTGCTTAATTTGGTGATTCAAAGCTCCCTCAGAGGTCTGCTCTCAAGAGTCTCTCTCCCTCTCTCTCTCTTACTCTGATGAGTTTCAACGTCTTCACACTGAAGAACCTCGAAGTGAAGGGGGCAGAGTCGGGGGAGTGAAATTGTATTATAGTCCGGACTTCAAATCCGGATTTTAAAAGCAGTTAAATGCCATGTCGGATGGGACTGTCAGAGACACTGGGCGGAATTCTAAAACTGGAGCTGGATTGACGGACGAGATTGGTTTTGATAGTGGCATCTGGTAACCAACGGTTGAGATTTGACATTCGTTTTGAGTTTGTGGATTTTAACCGGCAACTGGAAAGCAACCTTTTGCCAATCCGTCATGTTTTAGTAACGAGTAAATTACATTTTTTCCCCTGAATTATTATCTTTATTCTATTTTATACCTTTAATTATAAAAATATTTTCTTTATACCCAAAATATCAATTTTATTTCACATTACTCCAATTGATTAACGCAAACTTGAAAAACTATCAAAGGAGGGAAGAAAATCCCAAAGAACTTTCCCACAAGTGCCTACAATCACTTTATTTTACCTTTCTTTGCAATCAAATGGTTGCTAGTGATGATGCACAAAAATGATTTTGAACACCACCTGTCAAGTGTAAATAATAAATGCAGTAAAAGTAAAGAGAGAATTGGAGGAGACAAGATTTATAGTGGTTCGGTCAACTCGACCTACGTCCACTCTTGAATGAGTTTCGTTGTCGAGTACTTTATTAATTTAAGAGTATGGAGATAGATAATACAAGCTTCGAGAGAGAATAGAGAATCAAGGAAAGTGTGGTGCCAGGCAATCAGTGTCCTTTCAAGTGTTAATGGAGCGTGCAATTTATAGTGGCCCCCTAACAGGTTAGAGCTATTTTCCAGCGACTAAGCAAATATTTCGGTGGAGCTCCCGATCTCTTCTCAACGAGCGAGGAGGTTGAAGAGCTCTCCATGAGATGCGGTCAAAGATGAACCGTTTCTTTCGGTGGTGCAGATAAAGCTTCTCATGCTCTCCCCCTTGATGACGTGGCTAAGCAAAGAGTCTAACTCGTCTTGGACTATATTGGGCTTGGTGGATTTTTCATAAGGTTGGGCTCCTTAATTGGAGTTAGACTTCTCACATAAATTAGGCTATTTGGGCTTGACCCATCATTTGCCTCCCAATGCCCCGTGTCCAAGGATACCTGCAGAAGGGTGCATTAACTTACATCTTGAGTTTCATATGGTGGAAACTTTCTATCCTAGATGACTCTTTCTCTGCATGATGTATTTTCGCTTTGGTACACATCTCAAATTTTTTCCACTTTTGCTAGGATTTTTAAGAGAGCCCATAATTTTTAATTTGGTTTTTTCCCTCTTTAAAAACCCTAGGCTATAAATATAACTTTATTCTTCATTCTACCCACTCCTTCCAACTTGCCTTTTTTTTGTTTGAAATCCTTGGAGGCCCAAAGCTTGAGACTCTTGAGTTGGAGCATCAATGAAGAGAAAAACCAACATTGCTATTGAAGAGGATGTAAGTAACGACATGGAGGTGTCTCAGGCATCCATTTGCCACCGTTATTCATGCACCCAATGGGTTGTCCGAGCTTGGGATGCCGAAAATAGGGGAGCCCATGGTTCCTGTTGGTGATTCAAGGCCTCAGGCAACGGAGCTCCCGCCTTTGGGCGCCGGTGTTGCTGGAGGTGTTGTCCTGGACAGCTGTGGTACCGAAAATGTTGTCCTGGACAACTTGGGCGTGCAAATAAGCAAGCTGGGTAGCACTTTCGTGCGAATCAGCGAGCAGGGAGACGGTCTGGGCAGTGCAGGAAGGCTGGGCAGCGCGCAAGGAGGTCTGGATAGCGCAAACCCGTGACTGGGTATCGTGCGCGCGCAGTCTGGCGGACTAGGCAGTTCTGGCGCGCTGGGCAGCTGCCTGAGCGCTGATTTTTCTGTCCTGGACAGCCCAGACACGTTGGGCAGCTGCCTGGGCGCTAGTTTTGCTGTCCTGGACAGCTCAACCGCGCTGGGTAACACAAATTCTACTGTTTCTGCTGTCCTGGACAGCTCAACCGTGCTGGGTAGCACAAATTCTGCTGTTCTGGGCAGCGTTCGAGTGTTGGGCAGCAACATTTCTTCAGCAAAAAGTACTGGAAATCAGTCCAAGGTACAGTAGAGAGCTGGGCAGCGGCATGGGAGCACGGACAGATCTGAGCACCACTCCAGGTGCTGATTTGGGCACCGTAGGCGCTGATTTGGGTGCCAAAAATTTGGTTTTGTGCAATTTTGAAGGGTCAGGCACCCTTCCAGCTACTGGGCAACTCCGTTTTGGCGAGCAAAGGTAGTCAGACACCCTTCCAAGTGTTGGGCTAGACATTGCAAGCGGTAAGGAAGCTTTGGGTGCAGCTTTTGATGATTAAGACCCTACTGTGACTCCTCCGATTCAAGTTCTGCAAGACTTCCCGAAGGGTGATTTAGATTACTCCTTACAGCCCCGGAAGAAAAAACCTAAAGGCAAAGTGGGACTCGATGATGACGGGTCGAAGGTGAGTACCCTTTCCAGTCTGTTCCGTTTAGATGAAAATATCTTGAGGCTTGTTTTTACTTATCGCATTCCTCCGACCGTGCTGTACCGTCGTGCTGAGTTGGGCAAGCTTGCTTGCGATGACTCTTCTGGTGATTTTGTTGTTTACGAGGAGATGCTTGAGGTTGGATTAAGATTTCCCATGTCCTCTCCTATCTGTCGTGTTTTGCACTACTTTTCCTTGATTCCGGGGCGACTAGCACCCAATGGTTAGAGAGTTCTATTGGATTTTCTTGCATTGTGGAGAAAAGTGTACCATGAGGATGTTTCTCCTATGGAGTTCCATGTAGCATACAATTTGAGCGTAACCCCTGCACCAAATAAGGGGTGGTACTACTTTACCAAACGAAGTGGTACTACTTTACCAAACGAAGTGGTACAGTGCTTACAGGAACACGTTCCAATTGTGGCGGCTGAAAATCTTGTTTCTTTTTTATTGGTGGAGAGTGGGCTTCAGAAGCCGACAGAGCTTTGGTGCCAACACATTGGGGTGCTGCTAGAAAATTCGGCACGCTGCACATTTTTTTTTTTATGTGTATGCATGTGTGCTCACCTTTTCCATGCAGACACGTCTGTGCTTTCTCAAGACTAGGAGTGGAAGTTGGAGGCTATCAAGGCTTGCCCTTGCAAAGATTTGGGAGCTCTTTTGCCCAAGTATACTAAGGTCGTTGCTCCATCTCAGAAATCTGGTGGTTCCTCTTCGAAGAAAAGGGGTGAGCTAGTTTCCTTTTTTTTTTTTTTCTCGGTATTTTCCATTTACCTAACACTTCTCTGCTCTTGCAGCAAGTAAAAGGGTGGTGGTGTCCCGTTTTTCTAGTAGGAGTCCTCCCTCTTCCAAAGTGGCAAGGACGAATGATGCCCCCCTAGTGACTCCCACGGTGGTTCCTCCTCAGCTGACAACTTCTCCAGTTGCTACTCCAGAATCTTCCTTGCCAGGCACATCTGCTCCACCTTCATCCCCTCCTTGTGCTGCCCCTCCTTTGTCCCTTCCTTGTGCGGAAACTTCTACCCGAGTGCCGATTTGGGCTGGTCCTATGATGGGAAAACTGCCAGCTATCAGGGCAAGGCTTGGGAGGTTTGTGTTTGGGTCTGAAGTTTCTCAGCTTAGCACTTCGGGTACCGATAGTATCGTCAACACGTATTTGGAAGGTCTGGCTCAGGTAAGGGTCTGCTATTTCCCTTTCTCCAGTCGTTTCTTGTGTTTTTGACTTTTCTCAATCTCTTGTCTCTTTTTTTTTTTTTTAGGTTTCGACTTCCTCTATCTGTTTGCTTTCGAGGGTCTATAATCAGGATAAGTTGAAGCTGGATCTAAGCCTTGTGTAAAGGGAGCTTTCTTACTGTTCAGGAAAGGATTGTTGAGCTTGATTTTTTACTTTTGGCGACCCGTGAGAGGGACGCGCTTTGGGAGAGTGGGCTTTTGTGGCGACTCATGAAAGGACTTCCAATTTTGAATCTGAGCTTTTGGCGACCCGTGCGAGGGACGCGCTCAGGGATGGTGAGCTTACTGCGGCCTATGATAAGACAATTAAGCTTGAAGCTGAGCTTCTAGCGGTCCGCGAGAGGAATGCGCTCAGGAAGGTTGAGCTTGCAGAGGCCCATGGGGGGGCCATGCTCAGAGAGACTACTGTTGCAGAGGCAAAGTTGAAGGCTGCTTGGGAGAGAGTTTCTCGTGCTGAGGAAAACTTGAAAAATGGTCTCGCAGATGCTTTCATTGATGATTTCGAGGATCTCCGAGGGAAGGTTTCTGTCGTTTTTCTTAACATTGACTTCTCACGTTTCGTACCCACTGATGACAGTGATGAGGGGGGATCTGATGATGTTGATGATGATGAGGAGGAGGTGGGGGACGAGCGTAAGAGCAGTTAAAGTGTTTAGGACTTTTTATTTTTTATTTTTTTTTCAAAAAGGCAGTATTTGACCTTATTTTTGTTTTGATACTCCTTTGAAATGAAATGCAAAAGATCTTTTTGGAGTAAATGACGTAAAATTTTTTATTGATTTATTGCTTATAAAAAGCAATATTGGGTAATAATTCCCAAAAAGGTACATTGAATATTGGGTAACGCTCCTAAAAATCAAATCAAGTCCCAACTTCTACTATTTTGATGCTCTCAAGGTGTCATTGATAATACCTTTTTAAATGCTCTGCATTTCATGGATGGAGTAAGACTTTTTTCTCAGAATTCTGGATCTTATAGGTGTCTGATCTCACTACTTCTGTTACGCGGTAGGGTCCTTCCCAACTTGGTCTCAGCTTCCCTTCGTGTGCATCCTTTGTGGCAATGATTACTTTCTTGAGGACCAAATCCCCTGGTTGGAAGGAACGAGGCTTCACCCTCGAATTATAGTACCTTGCCATGCATCGTTTGTACTCCGCGTTGTAGACTATAGCCATCTCCCTCGCTTCCTCCACCAAGTCGAGGTTGATACGGAGTCCTTCCTCGTTGGTGATGGGGTCGTGGTGCTGGACCCTTAGAGAGTGTATCCCTATCTCCACAAGAATGACCGCCTCAGTTCCAAAGACGAGGGAAAAGGGGGTCT